TATATTCGATTGAGGTTTTAATGATTGAATGACTTGAATCCTGATCAAATTCCTGTTGTTTCTGCTTTGACCTAGAATGAGAATATCTGCCTAGGTTAATAGAGTATCCTTGATTGAAGGTAGGGAGTTGGTGACTTTAGTCGAGGAGCCAACTCACTATTCTGTACCGGATTTACTCCGGTAGTGGAGGTTTTGTTCTTAGGGCCTCAATCTGTCTACTCCGGTGGAGGTTAGTCGCCCGCTAGAGATTCAGATTGAGAGGGTCTGAAGACCTTTAGTCGAGACTTCAGACTATTTAAGAACCTTCCGCAGTATAACTATCATAGAAACTGAACTTGGTAATTACAATCCGGCTTAACTGCAGTTTAGGGGGAACCATATCCGGGTGACCTCTCTTAACCTGAATACAACAGTTTACTTGCTTTGTTAGTTTGTTAGTTTAGACTTGCATTCCAGTTTCATTGCTAGATAACAAGAATTCACTGAGTAGTCATCACATCTAGGACCCGGGTTGATAATTAAACCCAAACCCGCTATACTACGCTTTAGGAAGTGGTTACACTTGGCCAATTCCTGGAGTGACAGTAGAGTCGAGTCAAGTTTTTGGCGCCGTTGCCGGGGACGGCTAGGTTGTTGAAGAAAAGTGATTTCTGTTAATTTAGCTTTTCTTTTTGCTTTGTTTGCTTTGTCCCACTTGTGCCTTCACGGGTTTGCTTGCTTGAGTGTGTGCAGGTAGTGCATGACCCGTAGCCAGTCAGGAGGTTTACTGCCGTTGAATCCAGAGATTGACCGCACCTGTCGCCAGCTCAGGAGACAACAGCGAGCTAGACTGGCTACGGAAGAGCGCATAGACGGCCACCTGAGCAGCGATTCTGAAGAAGAGCACGGGATGGACGGAGACTACAACCAACACCAGGGGAATCCACAGCAGGTTCCCCCGGTGAATCAGGTCCTGGGGAACAACCCCATACCCCAGGATCATGGAGCTCATCATCCACCGCAGCCGGGTCCCACCTTGGAGTACTACTAGACTCCGCGGATTGCTGACATCCGCCCGGTCATCCTCTACCCGCCGATCCCAGCAAACAACTTCGAGATCAAGCCATGCTGGATTCAGCTCATCACATCTTCTATCCAGTTCCATGGCTTGAAGAATGAGGAGGCCAGGGTACATCTGTCCCGTTTTCTGCAGCTGACAAACGGGTTCAAGCTGAACGGTGTTCCCGATGATGCGATCCGCCTTCATCTCTTCGCCCATTCTCTGGCGGGGAATGCTAAGAGGTGGTTGGAGACCCAGCCCCCATTGTCCATCACCTCTTGGGACGATCTGGCGGACAAGTTCGTGCATAGGTACTATCCGGCATCGAAGACTACAGAGATTCAGCGGGAGATCACTCACTTCCGCCAGGAGCCAGATGAGTCACTCCGTGATGCTTGGGAGCGGTACATGGGCTACTTCTGGCAGTGCCCCCACCATGGCTTTAGTGATGCTTTCACTGTGGGGAACTTCTACAGCGCTCTCTCCCCAGATAGCCAGAGGGTGATTGAGTCTTTATGCCTAGGAGGGGATATTCTTACCAAGACTCCACCCGAGCTGAACCAGATGATCAGTACTTTGGCTGCCAGAGATCATTCTTGGGGACAGGGTAGCCGAGGCAGACAGTCCTGGGACCGTGGTGTGCACGCCATGGAGACCAGATCCGGGCTCGAGCAGCAGGTAGCTGAGCTAGTGCAGACATTGAAGCACCCCAACAGTCTGATTCCGGGCAGAGGTTTGGCTACACCTCCAGTAGCTCAATGTCAGTGGTGTGAGAGCTCCAATCACCTAGTGGAGGACTGCCAGGCTATGAGGGAGTCTACCAGGCCCCAGGAGCAGTTGGCCTTCATCGCCAATGCGAGGCGCCTCGATCCATACAGTAGCACATATAATGAGGGGTGGCGCCAGCATCCCAACTTTGCCTGGAGCAGCAACACCACTAAACCACCTGGTTTCCCAGCACCAGCAGGTGGTTTTCAGTAGAGGCAGCCCTTCCAGGCTCGCCAGGGGCCAGACCCACAGCAGCAGCCCTACCAGCCTAGGCAGGGGCAGCCATTCCAGCAGCCCCAGCGCCAGTTTGCCGAGCCAGCAGTAGCTCCAGCCCCAGATGACAGGATGACAAAGCTGGAAAACATTCTAGCTTCATTCATGACGAGCACTCAGGCGACTATCACGAGGTTGGACCAGAGTGTAGCCTCACTGGAGGCAGGTCAGAGGAACCAGGGTGCCATTTTGCAGGATCTGCAGACCCAGGTGGGCATCTTGGCCCGCCAGTCCACCACCAGGGCACCGGGGACTTTGCCTGCCACCACTGTTCCTAATCCTCGAGATCCTCACCAGCATCAGCAGCTGGATGCCATTTTTACCAGGAGCGGTAAGACCATATCTGCTGATCCTGTCCCGGCCAGACAGGAGGAACCACTGCCTGCTCCAGCACTTCCAGCCGACGATGCAGAAGTGCGGGTGGAGAAGGAAGCCCCTGCTCCCAAGCCACAACCAGTGGTTAAGGAGCATGTACCCCAGCTTCCCTTCCCCACTCGCCTACAAAAGGACAAGCTGGAGACTGAGTTTGCCAAGTTCATGGCAATGTTGAAGCAGCTCAACATCAGCATACCGTTCATGGAGGCACTGTCGAAAATGCCCAAGTATGCCAAGTTCATGAAAGATATCTGCACCAACAAGAAGAAACTTGGGGATCTTTCGACAGTGATGCTCAGTGAGGAGTGTTCTGCTATCCTGCAGAACAAGCTGCCCGAGAAGCGCAAGGATCCAGGGAGTTTTACTATCCCTCTTACTATTGGCAGCATGCATGTAGGAAAGTCCTTGGCGGACCTAGGCGCTAGCATTAACGTCATGCCATATAAGTTGTATAAAATGCTAGACCTAGGTGAACTTAGCCCTACTAGGATGAGCATTCAATTAGCTGATCGTTCTATTGTGCATCCTAGGGGAATCATAGAGGATCTGCTTGTTGGTGTTGGTGCATTCACATATCCTGTTGATTTTGTTATTCTTGATATACATGAGGATGTAGATGTGCCCTTGATTCTAGGTAGGCTATTTCTTGCCACCGCCAAGGCACTAATTGATGTGCATGATGGTAAGTTGATCTTGCGTGCTGGGGATGAACAGGCTACTTTTTCTGTGACTGAGTTTGATCACTGTGCTATGATTGCTGTCACGCCTGTGCATGCTATGTCTGATCAGGTACACGAGTCTGTCGTGTACCCTTCTGCACCTCCTATTTTGCAGGACCCTCCTATCATTCCTTTGCCGCCACTCCATCAGGCCTCGCCTCCGAACAAAAAGCTCAAGGAGGAGTGGCGGCCGAAGCCGCAGGTTGCTAAGCCTGCACGTAAGAAGAGTGGAGACCACTATGAGCTGGTCCCACCTCCTACACCACGACCACCCTGGCCGTCTGGGTACTCACTCGCCTGCATCTTGCCAGATGGGCAGGTCGAGCTGACTGATGATAGTGGTCGCATCCGTCGGGTGCATGGCCACAACCTGAAGCTGTACCTCAAGAGCGACGTGGATCCGCTCTTGGAGGCACCTGTTCCTGCACCGCCCTGAGTATCCACCATGGGCGTCCAGCTAATACGACGGTAAAGAAGCGCTTGTGGGGAGGCAACCCCACCTCGGATTGATTTTCTTTCTTGTGTTTTGAGTCGGATTGTAACCCGGTTTGGGTTTGGTTTGTTTTCTTTTGGTTTGGATGATATTTTATTGGGCTGATCGTTGAACCTAACATATTGTGTTTGAGCTCTTCTGTTTCCCTTTGGCTGTGCTTGCCCCGACTGGCCCGTTTCCAGTCTCCTGCAGTCCGTGCCTACCGATAACATCGTTCCCCTTTCCCTTCCCTCTTCTCCATTGTGGGCAATGTCGAGCTTAAGTGTGGGGGGATGTTTATCTTTTGACTGCATTAGATCTGTTTGGGTGCTTGGAGCCTAGTCCACTGTCCAAATTTTTAAATTTGAGGGCTCCAAGTACGTGTTTCCTTGCAATTGCCTGCTCAGTATGCTTTGAATTGACAGTCTTTATAGTAATATGCAACCTAGGGAGGTAGTGTAGCACTATGGAGGATGTTGATGCATTTAAGGAGTCTCATTTCTTCTTCATATTGAGTTGGTTGATTGAGTGAATTAGTGATCTTAGGACCCTTGAATTGTGTGGTGTTGTGGATTCTCTACCTGTCATGGACTCTTGTATCATGTTTTGAGTTTAACAGGTGCTCGAAAATGTGCTTGAAAATAAACGTCTCCCGTGCGAATAGGGCGAAAGTGTAAGGGGAGACGGGAATTCGTTCCCAATTTCCATCTACTACCTCCAGCCCCCTTACATGTCTTTCCCCCGCACGAGGCTCGAGACATCCGCTCCTGGCATGGCCGGTAAGAGCAGGTTGGGACCCTTGAAAAGAAAAAAAGAAAAGAAAAATAACAGAAAACAAGCAAAACAGAAAAAAGGGGTTCCAACCATCTTCAAAGAAAATCGAGCACCTTGAAAAATGTGAGTCCATGATCCTTTGTTTTTGAGAATCTCTCCATCCACGATTCATTTGTCCTCTGTTCACTTTTTGCCATGATGCCGACTCGATAAGAAGCTTTGAGATGACTTGTGCGTCGGTTGACCTCGTAAGCTGCTAAATGACCTAGGAAGTCCTCTACTTACGATCTGGGTTGTTTGTTGCTATGAAGGTCTGGAGAGTTGCATTGGTTTGAGTTAGGTTTGCTTGAGGACAAGCAAACGGTTAAGTGTGGGGGAATTTGATAACGATGTAATTGCACATATTTGCGCCCCTAGTTCTTATCCGTTTGAGGGGCATAGTCGTGTGTTTTGGCCTATTTTACGCCGGGTTGTGCTATTTTGACATGTTTCAGGTCCCAGGCATTAAAGGGAAGGCTAACCGCGAGTTTCGGGGCATTCGGAAGTCATTTCGGTGAGCTGGAGCCAAAACACGGGCAGCCTAAGGCATTACACGGCCGTGTACTGCTGGCCGTGCTTTTTATGCCGAGAGCAAATTCAGTTTGGCCAATTCAACTGCAAACACGGGCACCGAAGCACGGCCGTGTTCCACCAAAGCACGGCCGTGTCCAACGCGAAGCACGGCCGTGTTTAACCCACTTGTTGGCCGTGTAATTAAGCCCTGGCCGAGACACGGGCGGAGTCAGGCAAAGCACGGCCGTGCCCTCGACCGTGCTTTGGCCACTGATGTTTTTAAGCAGATTTCAGCCACAATTCAAGGGGATTCGAGTTTTTGAGAGAGAGATCAGTTCCTAGAGAGAGAAAGTGATGAGCAAGAGTTCCCAAGTGCCCTAGATTGATCTTCAACACCATTGGAGGCCAGCTTGAGCTTGGAGAAGTGCCAATCAACGTCCAGAAGCAGGAATCCATCCTTCGCAGTATGAATTCCGTGTCTGAATCTGCTTTTGCTTTCTTCTCTATGGAGTAGTTCTCCCATTCATCTGGGTATGTAGAACCCTAGATTTGTATGTTAGGCTTTGATTGTATGAACCCAAGTACTGATTCTATGATTGATTATATTCGATTGAGGTTTTAATGATTGAATGACTTGAATCCTGATTAAATTCCTGTTGTTTCTGCTTTGACCTAGAATGAGAATATCTGCCTAGGTTAATAGAGTATCCTTGATTGAAGGTAGGGAGTTGGTGACTTTAGTCGAGGAGCCAACTCACTATTCTGTACCGGATTTACTCCGGTAGTGGAGGTTTTGTTCTTAGGGCCTCAATCTGTCTACTCCGGTGGAGGTTAGTCGCCCGCTAGAGATTCAGATTGAGAGGGTCTGAAGACCTTTAGTCGAGACTTCAGACTGTTTAAGAACCTTCCGCAGTATAACTATCATAGAAACTGAACTTGGTAATTACAATCCGGCTTAACTGCAGTCTAGGGGGAACCATATCCGGGTGACCTCTCTTAACCTGAATACAACAGTTTACTTGCTTTGTTAGTTTGTTAGTTTAGACTTGCATTCCAGTTTCATTGCTAGATAACAAGAATTCACTGAGTAGTCATCACATCTAGGACCCGGGTTGATAATTAAACCCAAACCCGCTATACTACGCTTTAGGAAGTGGTTACACTTGGCCAATTCCTGGAGTGACAGTAGAGTCGAGTCAGTCTATTCCTATTCCGACTCGTTTCTCGCAGGCACAGGGTAATCCGTTGTAGGATCGGGCTATGGACGATGAGATTGATGCGCTCCATGCCAACCATAGGTGGGATTTCGTTCCCCGACCTCCGCCGAGGTTCCTATTGTCGGTAGTAGGTGGGTATATACCCTCAAGATTAAACCAGATGGCACTCTTGATAGATCTAAGGCTCGCATGGTTGCCCAGGGCTTCACTCTGGAGTATGGTAATGATTTAACCGAGACCTTTGCTCCAGTTGCCAAGATGGTTACCGTTCACTCCTTGTTGGCAGTTGCTTCTCTTCGCAGTTGGCCTCTCTATCAGCTGGATGTGAAGAACGCCTTCTTGCATGGTGATCTGCAGGAGACAGTTTACATGGAATGTCCCCCAGATTATGCTCTGGGTTCTCCTGATAAGGTCTGTCTGCTTCGTCGCTCCTTTTATGGTCTCAAACAGGCTCCTCGTGCCTGGTTTAGGAAGTTTCAACATACGGTTCTTGAGCTTGGTTTTCAGCAGAGTCTTAATGATCTGTCCTTGTTCACTCGTCGTACATCTCGTGGTCTGGTTGTTTTGATACTTTATGTCGATGATATGTCGTTACTGGTGATGATCCGGAGGGTATTGAGGCTCTGACTAGTGGTCTCCGCAGATCTTTTAATCTTAAGGAGCTTGGCGAGTTATCATACTTTCTTGGTCTGGAGGTTCAACAAGTTCGGGGAGGCATTCTTCTTAATCAGCGCAGGTAAATTATTGTTCTTCTTAACTCAGCTAAATATAGTGATTGTATCCGGTTTCCACTCCCATGGAGACTAATCTGAAGTTGGGACGTGAATCTGGTGAATTCTTACCTGACGGGGGGAGGCAATATCGCAGTATTGTGGGTCCTTGATATATTTGACTTCCACTCGTCCAGATATTGCGTATGCAGTACAAATTGTCAGCCAGTTTATGTCAGCTCCTCGAACTGCTCACCTTGATGCAGTGCATAGACTGCTTTGTTACCTGCAGGGGACAAAGGAGATTGGCTTGTTCTTGCCATCGACCGGTAGCTTTCAACTCGAGGCTTTCTACGATGCTGATTATGCTGGGTGTGTGGATACTCGACGTTCTACTACAGCCTGGTGTATTCGTCTCGGTGATTCCTTTATCTCTTGGCGGTGTAAGAAGCAAGATAGAGTCTCCAAGTCTTCTACAGAGGCTGAGTATCGAGCTATGTCGGATGTCACATCAGAGCTAGAATGGTTACAGCGCCTACTTGGTCAATTGGGTGTCGACTGTCTGCTTCCTATGCAGATTTATGTTGATAACACTAGTGCGATTCAGATAGCTACTAATCCGGTGCTCCATGATCGGACGAAGCATATAGAGGTTCATCTGCACTATATTCGGGGCTTGGTCAGTGATGGGACAGTTCGTCTCTCCTATGTCACGTTAGAAGATCAGATTGCAGATTTGTTGACTAAAGTATTTACAGCCGGTCTTCATTCTTATCTTGCTGGCAAATTGATGATGAGAAATCTTCATCAATTTGGGGGAGGCTGTTGAGTTATGGGTTTTGGCCCATGCACGTATGATCAGGCCCATACGTAGCATAGGGGCTCTCGGCCTATTAGGGTTAGGGAAGCCAAGTATATATTTATGTATATGCATGTTATTGTTGAGCATAATAATATACGAGACTCCGCTTCCTCCCGTGGACTAGTCTTGCTCACACCGAGCAAGGAAACCACGTTAAATTCTGTGTCGTGTTCCATTTCGATCTTGTTCTTCGTTTCGTTTCTTCGTTTCGATTAACACGTCATAACAAAGATGTTTGGCTCCAAAGCATTTGAATTTAAGTTCCAACTGTTGTAGTGTTGTTGTGTCATTTTGGTGATTTACATTTCGGGCACTTTAGTTTGTTTAGTAGAACATTTGAATCATAAACGTGGGTTGGTGCAATTTGTTTGGCAACTTAATGCTGAGTTTTAGTGAGGTGGTTAGCTGAATTTTAGGGTTAGTTGGTCAATAAACTTGTCAATGTCCGTGATTGAGTTTTACATTGTGGTATCAGAGTCCAAGCAAGTTGTAACAAAAGTTTGAGTAATATGAGAGAGTATTTGAGAGAGAGATCTGCAAATTAGTATAGATAAGGGTTTGGGAAACACGAGTGTGATCTTGTAGGGGTGGGCAACGGGACGGGACAGGAAACCCGTCCCGTTTGTAACGGGTACCCGGTCCCGTTTAGAGACCAAGGTTCATCCCATATCCCAAACCCTTAAGGGTTAACGGGTACCCATTACCCGTACGGGACGGATAACGGGTACCCGTTATACCTGTTTATACCCGTTTGTACTTGAGGAAAATATAACATCAATAACTTGAGGCACAATATATCTCCTGGAAAAATAACATTTACAATGCTACAACCTGCTGCTGCTGCCCCAACAGTAGGTTATGTACCTCTTATGGTGCATGTTTCTATGGCTATTCCAGATAACAATCTCCAGCATCTACGGCTAACAACCAGCCGAACCCCCACATAACTCATCAGTCTTTCTTAGCTTCTCGAACATAAAAACAATTAAGCAAAGGCTCAACCTAAAACTTCCCAACTCTTACACAACACAAAACTTGATCTGTTTATCCAACAATATGCTCTTTTAAAAATCCAAAGACGAGCTTAGAATCACCTTGAAACCTCCATTGACATTTGACCAAATCACATCGGATAGAGATTAGAATCCAAAACAAACAAAGAGCAGCCATCCAGGGATATAAGATTCATTGTTCCACTATGATTCAGTGGTTGAGGCCTAACCTCTGTATTAGCTCGAAAATGAATTGAACAATCCAACTTACCCAAAAACGAACTGAACAATTCAGAAGCTATGTTATGGTTGCCAGCGTCGGGTGCGACAGAGAAGGAGCTCCAAAGTCATTGTCGGCGTCGCCAGAGGAGAGAATTCGAGGATTCGTTCTTCTCGTCTGCTTCCGAGGGAGATCTAGAGGAGAGGAGCGGGCGACGACGTCGGGCTGAGATATAGAGGAGAGGAGCGGCCGGCGGCGTCACTATTCGTCTTCTCTAGGTCTGCTGGGCGGCCGCGAGGGAATGGTTTTGCACGAGTCGTCCACGAGCACTAGCAGTTGCCTGTCGCCGCCGAGAGAGGGAGAGGAGATAAGCCAGGCCAGGCCATTCCAGTTTGAGACTCCGCGAAGAGAGGAGATGGGCCTAGACGCCTCACGCCTGGGCTCGGGTGCATGGGTTGGTAGATATGAATTTTGGGCAGCTATTGTGTATCGGGTAAAACGGGTACCCGTTATACCCAAACGGGTATAAACGGGTAACCCGCGGGTACCCGCTTTTGAAATTATCAATCCCAAGTCCCATCCCGCAATTATAAAACGGGTATTTGGGTACCCGTTACCCTAAAAAAACGGGACGGGTATGGGTATACCCAAATACCCGTTTCCCGTTGCCCACCCCTATGATCTTGTGAGGAAGCATATGGGAAAGGGGAGTAAATCAGTCTATCACTAGGTGTCAAGGTGATTATTGTGAGAGAAAAGAAATGAGAAAGAAAGCAGCTTTGCACAAGTATGCATTACCATGTTCGATGGGAATTATGATCACAAGAGTATGTTGATGAAAAATTTACTCAGATCAAAGTACATAGTATTGGCAAGTGGTGATTGCTGGGATCACTGAACTAGCTAGCAGCAGGGAGAGAACTCACCACTGATCAAGCTAAAACTGCAAAAGATTTGAGATGAGAGGATTTGAAAACCATGAATTACATTATGTAATAGAGTTGTTCAAACTAGAGCATTTGATGTGGTGCGTGTGTGCCTATTGTGCTCTTTCACAACTTACATGAGATATGAAAGAGTTTTTCTTTCCTGTCGACGGACTATAAAAGCAATCATCATAGAACTCTTATGCAAATTCAACACATTTTTTAGATAGTTTGAAAAAGTGTCATAACTACAAGAAGAAAACAAACCTACTTCTCTTAAGCGTCACAGAAAAACAAGATGTTGTGAGCATAAAGATGTGAGGGACCTTCTCAATTCTTAATTCATAGCTCATTCATGAAGAAACCCTCAACTAAACCTTGAGCTTAAATAGTGTCCAAGATGCAAAATAAATCACAAACATGAGAATAAGCAAAAAGAGAGATAAATGCGCACCTTGCTTGAGTTCCCTCCAATCCAGGAAAAAACAAAACACACAAGCTTTCTCATGCATAAAATTTAGCATTGAAATTTGCTTATAATAAATTTACTATAACAACATATAATGGGTAGATAGATAGGTAGGTCTTATTTTTTCGCCAACGAAAATATTTGTACCCTTTCATCAGGAACATAAAAGAATAAATATGCATGCAATAATTTTGCTTTACTCAAATAGCAGTGTAATACTCTCTCTATCTTCTTCTTGTTGTGAATCTCTTTTAAGCTGAGGCAATTGCTGCGGCAGGTTGGAACCTGCAAACCTTGCAAAGAGGCGACATAAGAGACGGCGTTTTGTACTTATCCTCCCCTCCCAAAACCGGCATCGGCACGCCAACCTTCGCCGGACTGACGTAGTCAGGACGGTAGGTCTTGCCCAAAACTCCCTCCACCTTCTCCGACAAGTTATCAAACTTAAACTGCGTCTCGAGGTGAGCAAAAACGTCGCCGTTCGGGATCTGGTAGTTGTGCACTCTATCCTCCTCTTTCCCGATGGGCCGAACCCTAATGTTCATCTCCACCAGCCCCGAAACCCTAACTTTCACGCTGTTCGTGTCGGCGGTCCTCTCCACCACCACGCTCCGGCTTTCTCCAGTGGAAGTGCTCCACTCGGCGTCTCCCTCGGTGGGGAGGGTGATCTCGTCGCCGTTCCACCTGACGGTGAGGGCGTCGACGGCGTCATCCCAGCTGGACAGCCTCTTGGCGGCGATGACAAGGTTGTTGGAGTCAAACATGAGGTTGAGGGCTTGCACCCACGTGAAGTCTCGGGTCCTTCCCTCGGGTCGGGTCCCGATGAAGTGGGCGTTGATCTGAAAGTCGGCGTCAGAGACGATGGCGAAGTTACCTCCTTTAGCTCCATGGAAGTAGAACATCACTCCATCGCCACCGACAAATCGCGGATCGTAACAAAGGGAGCCATATCCATCACAGTTTGGCCTCCTGACTGCATGCATGCAGTAAACCATTACGTTACAACATGAGTCATCAACGGAGCTAGGTTAAAATTAGCAGGGATATAGTATTTGAAATATAGATAAAATTGCAACGTAAAAATATAGTGGTCGAGAGAGAAGGCGAGAGCTTACACTTGCAAACAACCTCACAGTTGCGGTTGCAGTCGACGAAGCAACCCTTGCTCTTCTTGTTCTTCTTGGGCTTCTTGGAGGGGCACTCTGGTGGGCAGACGAGGATCTTGTTCTTGCACTTGGACTTGGCCTTGCACTTGTGCCTCTCCAGCCCGTTCCCTTCGCCGGGCAAGTCGTCGAAGTCCTTCTCCGTCGGGCCCTTCTTCTTCCCGTTCCCGTTTCCGCCGATGTTGATGTTGTTGTCGTTGTTGTTATTATTGTTGTTGTTATTGTTGTTGCCGTTGTTGGTGTTGCCGCTGTTGTTGGTGTTGCCGTTGTTGTTGTTGCTGTTGGTGTTGTTATTGTTGTTGTTGCTGCCTTTCGGAGTACCATATTCGGCAGCAAATGCTGCCTCCATGGCCATCAGCATCGCCAACACAGCAGCTACCAGCACCACAAAGGACTTGGCCATGATTTCTTGGCCAAAATGGAACTCTTTCTAGCTTCTTTGAGGTCGTGAGATTGTGCTATGTATTGTGGTGGAAACTACGAGAGGAGATGATGGGATGGAGAAGGATGGAAGTTTGGAGGTGTATTTATAAGGGGATCGTGGGTTTCGTTTTTGCGTAAATGTGCATGCATGCACGCGGAGAAACGGCAACAATTTCAGGCGATCGATAATATGATTCCCCTTTGCTTTGCGGTGTTAAAAGTTGATGGAAGGGCAAATGAGATAAAGGTGGAAGGTATCACTTGGATTGTCACCAAGAGCTAGTTAAGTTAAATTATATAATTTAGCGTATATATGTTATGTATACAGCTAACTATAGCTAGGTCAACGATATATTGATGAACAAGTTAGAGAAGATGGTATTGGAAGGCGGAGGTGGAGCAAGTTACGTTGCTTTCAGTAGAGAAAAGGTCGAGTTAGTTATCTTCATTGCCACGATTGGAATCTTCGCTAGCTAGCTGTTGGTTCTGACTTCTTTTATATTGCCGCCCAATTTGGACGATTGGTTTTGATGCTAAATCTTTAAAACACGAATGGGGGCCGGATAGCGTGACAACCCCTTTAGGGGTTGTCAATCTCGCTTCCCCCTTCCTAGCCCTTCATCCCCTTATATCTCCATCCGACGATTGATGATAGACAGGGGCAAAAAAGAGAGCTTCCACACTGGATCCAGCTCCCATTAGTTCTCTAACGTCAGCCGCGTTTTGAAAAGGCAAAGAAATCGGTGGTGGAGAGAAATTAGCCACCCTCCTCGGCGAACCATTCGTCTCCCCAAAACAGCCTGTACATTACTCCACTGAAACCCTTTTCCTCCGTCTTCTCCCAAAGCATCCCCTTTCAGCGTCTCGGATCGCTTTTCTCCGCTTTTCTTGATAGCAACTCGTCCGGTCCCGTTCGATTGCGAAGACTTTGTTTTTCAGAGCATAGGTAATTCAGGTAAAGCAAAACTTTTACAATGTAATTTTCATTCAGCCTCCTTTTATGCTTGCTTTCTCGCCCCGATTCGTCGGCTCTATCGCTCCTCTCCACTTCTTCATCTTTTTCTATTCACTTCTGGTTATCCTAACTAGTTTTTTTCTCCTTCTGGTTAAGCGCATAGGCGAACATCCTTTCGCCGTCGTTCCTTTCTGCGGCCGTGCAAACAATCGCCGGTGAGATTTCTTTACACTACTGCTTTTGTTTTCCGAATGCAACGTTGGAATAAGCCACATGAAGGCCTGTCTTTCTTGTGTGGTGTGTTTGTTTGGTGTTGGTATGATCCGTTGGTAGTCTTAAATTCGTATAGTGCTAGTGGTAGTTGTGTTACTGGTACCCATAACATTGATATGCTAATAGTGGTGGTTTAATGGAATGGTATAACTTGTTCTAGATGTAGTGATAGTAATACCAATTGATTTGTACCAGTATCAATGAATTGATACCAGTACACACTTATTGGTACAAGTACCACTTATGGGGGCTTCAGGTACCGTTGTATTTGTTTCGGTATGATTGAATGGTAGTTTTCTATTGGTACCAGTTGTAATGGTAATTGTGTTACTGGTACCAATGACAGTGGTATGCTAATAGTGGTAGTTTAATGGAATGACACAACTTGTTCTATCTGTAGTGGGACTAGTACCAATTGATTTGTAGTAGTACCACTAAAGAGTAACCATTACATACTGATTGGTACCAATAACATTCTAGATTGTTAGTAGTAGTATTGTACAGTAACATTCTACGTTGCAAGTAGTAGTAGTAGTAGCAGTACTTGTAGTGATATCATTTTAGAAGTGTGGATCTTAGTGACAAGATAACATTCTAGATTGTTAGTAGTAGTATTGTACAGTAACATTCTACGTTGCAAGTAGTAGTAGTAGCAGTACTTGTAGTGATATCATTTTAGAAGTGTGGATCTCAGTGACAAGATAACCCTCTTGAAGTTTTGAGTAAAAATTCGTACCAAGCATTTTTTGTTGTTGTTGCAGGAATGGCAGAACAAAGATATCAGTTATATCATCCGGGAATACACACAACCTGATGGTTGTGCATCTCAACAGGTAGCAATACGCTTGGGGGACTCAAGTGATTCGAGTGCTGGGCCTAGTAAAAAACGACCACGTGATGAGGATACAAACAGTCGCAACAAGAAGAAGAAGCAATGGACTGTAGTCCAACTTCAATCATCGAGATTATGGAGGCCGGTATTTCGGATGAGAAGAAGGTTGGGCTAGGTTGTGTGTTGGATTTAAAGAGTAGCATAATTGCTTCATGTACATTTCCAAGTATGAAGAAGTTTATGGGTATTTCTTGTCTTTAATTTGATCTTGGGTAAAGTACTATTGCTTACATTGACACAATTGGTTTGGTGTTTGATTGTGAAAATTCAGTACCTTCTCCACTGGCTATAGAAATATCCCTTCACTGGTACCAAATCAATGGTACTGTTAACAAATCAATAGTACTGATGCCAAATTTATGCCACTGATAACCATTAATAAGACTGGTATCAAATTAGTGGTACTCGTACCATTAATAAGACTAGTACCAATTAATGCTACGTGTAACCATTACTAAGACTGGTACATAATCAGTGGTACTAGTTACATTAATACGAATGGTACCAAATTAATGGTATTGGTAACAATTACTGAAGACTGGTACCAATTGAGTTTTACTGGTACAATTTTAATGGTAATGTCTCCACTGTAAAGGTATTGGTACCAATGTAAATGACTATTGATGGTATACCTTTAGTGATATTAGCAAGTCGCATTATTTACCCTCTTACCCGTATCCTACTACTACTAGGAAGTACCACTAATTAACTACGACTAAATAACTACCACTAGATGACTACGTGTCTACCACTAATTAGAAACATAACTAATGGTACTTTTTTTTGAAACATTAGTTGTACCGATAGTAAAACACTAAAAATGGAAAGGATTCGTAACGGCTTAGGGGTTAACCCTACCACCATTGTTGGCATCGACGCTATTCTCCGCCTCGCCGTCGTCGGCATCAACGCGATCGGGTGCAACATGAAATGGTCGTTCTTCTCCACATCGAGGCCATATTGGACGTGGTCCGAGGTTCCGGATGATATTCATTCACCAGCTCCTCCACTTCCAAAACGTCGTCAACATCCACCATGCACACATCATCGCCTTTGTCCGTCGGGTCCGCCTGGTCAGCTCCGGCCTCATATATATCCTTGTCGTTGCTTGTTAATGGGACATTCAGATCGAACCCAAATAAACACGTAGGTTCAGCTCCCACCTGTCGTCATCGTTGCTGATGTAGCCGTCCATTGTATGGCGGCGGCCGCGTATTTCAGATGAGAAGAAGGTTGGGCTAGGTTGGGCTAGGTTGTGTGTTGGATTTAAAGAGTAGCATAATTGCTTCATGTACGTTTCCAAGTATGATGAAGTTTATGGGTATTTCTTGTCTTTAATTTTATCTTGGGTAAAGTACTATTGCTTACATTGGCACAATTGGTTTGGTGTTTGATTGTGAAAATTCAGTACCTTCTCCACTGGCTATAGAAATATCCCTTCACTGGTACCAAATCAATGGTACTGTTAACAAATCAATAGTATTGATGCCAAATTTATGCCACTAATAATCATTAATAAGACTGGTATCAAATCAGTGGTACTCGTACCATTAATAAGACTAGTACCAATTAATGCTACGTGTAACCATTACTAAGACTGGTACATAATCAGTGGTACTAGTTACATTATTACGAATGGTACCAAATTAATGGTATTGGTAACAATTACTGAAAACTGGTACCAATTGAGTTTTACTGGTACAATTTTAATGGTAATGTCTCCACTGTAAAGGTATTGGTACCAATGTAAATGACTATTGATGGTATACCTTTAGTGATATTAGCAAGTCGCATTATTTACCCTCTTACCCGTATCCTACTACTACTAGGAAGTACCACTAATTAACTATGACTAAATAACTACCACTAGATGACTAAGTGTCTACCACTAATTAGAAACATAACTAATGGTACTTTTTTTTGAAACATTAGTTGTACCGATAGTAAAACACTAAAAATGGAAAGGAATTCGTAACTACCACTAGATGACTAAGTGTCTACTACTAGGCGGCCGCGTGGATTGTATTTTCCGGAGGTATTGTGGTATGGTTTGATGAGGGAGGAGTCAGAAATGGAAGGGAAAGAGTCCCATCCAAAATCGGTTGTTCAGCTCCCACCAATCACGCTCCCAGATTTGCACCATGCATTTAAGTTGTATTTCAAAATTATTTCAGTTAGTTACTTACAAAAACACCCTTCGTGCGCTCCTGGACGTTGGATAAAGAAGGAGGACGGACGGCTATAAAGTGGGAAGTGAGATTGACAACCCTTATGGGTTGTCACGCTATCCTATCCCACACGAATGTAAGGATCTGGGGGCCCCGGATTGATGCCGACATTCAAGAAGCTAGTGTTTTAAGTTTTAGCTTACTATCACTAATCATGCCCATAATTACAATTATGACTAGGGATGGCAGAACGGTTTTCGCTTAGCAGTTAACCGGACGGTTTCAATCGAACCGATCGAATTTCGGCTAACCGAAAAATCGGTTCTGAGTGCAACGGTCAGTTTGCGGTGGGGAAGGGCAGGGGTTCGGCTAGCCGACTAACCGGGGTCGGAAACCGGCGGTTAACCGGCTAACCGACCCCTTCCCTTTCCCCAAAAACGACCCCGCAGAAGCCCCCACTAACCCTAAGTCCGCAATACGAAATCGATAACCAACCCGGAGAAAGAGAAAGATCTCTGCTCCTACTCTGTCCTTCATCCGCCACCAGTCTCAATTTCCAATCCCCCTGCAAACCCCAATTGCCCAGGAGGTATGATATTATCAACAACGCCACTGTCTGCTCTTCCCCAAAATTTCAATTTCAATTTCAATTCCCCTCTCTGCTTTTTCCCAAATCCACAATTTCATATCTCTGCTTCTGTAGAGCTAGCTTTTTCAACCCTTCCTTCACATGAGTGCTTACTCGTTCTTGTGGTGTAACCCTAAAGCATGTTCGATCTCATGCATCGCAATAGTCTACAATCCACGAAGGTCTCTAGCTGAGTAATATGTGTGTGGTCAAACCTTCGACAACGGCGGCGGGCGACAGGCGGCAGGTGCTTAAACCTCGAAACCACGTGCTCCAAATGGATAGCAGAAGATTAGCTAGGGTTCTTCAAAACTCTCAATCCCATAGAAGGACCAGAATCCATAGGAGGAGGAAGTTGGAGATGCGGGCTTCAAAGGGGTCCGAGAAGCAGGTAGAATCGTAATATCCGCAGAAGCCCCAACCACTCCGCTCGACCCCGCCGCTCCGGATATCCGCTTAGCTGCTCATCTTTTCCTTGCAGCCATGCAGCCAGATCTCTAGATCGATTCTGAATCTATGGATTAGTAGGTGCGGCGGGAGAATTGTAGCGAGTTGGGGGATAATAGATCGGAGGAGATAAGAGTTGTCGCCGTCGTCGTCCTTCCTCCTTCTTCTCCTTCTTGGTAGCGGCGGTCGGATTGGTGTGGGAGGGATGAGAAGATGAGAAGAGATGGGCAGTTGGAGTTGGGCATTGGATTTTTAGTTTTTTCCCCCTTTATATCGGGTAGTAGGCTAACCGAGGGTTTAACCGACAACCGGTCGGTCGATCGGCGGCAAATCGTGGCATTGTGGGCGGTCGGTGGTTGTTAGTGTCATCTTGGTTGAACCGATAACCGAGAAATCAGTTTTCGGTTAAACCGAAACCGACCGACTGACATCCCTAATTATGACCCATACGACCATACTGAAGGTAATTTATTGTGTAGGGATGAGAATAACCCCATCGTGGTACCGACTGCTCCGACCAAATTAGTATGGGGCGAGTGGGAGTAAAATCGGTCAGAAAATTGATAAGAAAGTGGGAGTAAAATCGGTCAGAAAATTGATAAGAAATTGGGTAGGTATGGTTTTAGATAGAGTTGGCAACGGGGCGGATCGGGGACGGGTAGTTAGTTCCCGTTACCCATCTGTCAAGGCAAATAGATTTCCCTGTCTCCATCCCCGTAGCTTTAACTACATCTACTGACTAGTGTTCAAGTTCAAAAGGAAGAGATTCATAAACAAAGGCAGTCAGCCTCAATAACATCATCCATAAATCGAACTAAAACCTATACTACTAGCACACGAGTTTCTTTGATCTTTTCCTCCAAAAGCAAGCAACACTGTAGTGGAAACCAACTCAACAGCAACATCATCCTTGAAAAGCAATCACCGCAAGAAACAGAGTAGCAAACACAGTTAGAGAAGTGAAACTCATTTTAAATTGAACAAGTTAAAAGCTCAAGTCTGGCTTAATACCTTGAGCCTTTCAACAAATCACTTGTCTAGGGATATTAGATGCTTCTTCATCACAAGTCCCCCTTGAACTGCAAGAATAAAAAAATACAGTTGGAGATTGAAACTATAAGACTAAGTACAATCTAAATTGTACTAATTACAGAGGAGCCAAAATTGAGAACCAACTATCTTACCAGCTTCGTCTTGATCTTCAGTACTGAAATCTGCAATTGCTAGAGCTAAGAACACCCCTTCCATTGCCTCTACAGTAGCCTTCGATAATTCTACAGATTGAAGAAAACAATGAAAAAGACAATTAACATTCAATCCAATTAACATTAAAAAACTAATATGGGAGTAATTGCAAGTTACCTTGTTGCATTTCCTCCTTAATCAACTCCTGGGTACGCATCATTGCCTCTATTGTATCATAGTGCAATCTACTCTGATAAGGGTCTATTAACCTCCCACCAAAGCTAAAAGCAGATTCAGAAGCCACTGATGTGATTGGTATGGCCAAGAAATCCATTGCAATTGCTTGCAAAGTGGGGTACGTAAGGGCATTCAGTTTCCACCACATCAATATATCAAAGTCAGGAGACCTTTTAGGAATCAGTTCCTCAAGAAGATAGTGATCCAGTTCAGTATGGATCAGAGTTGCTTTTCTTTTTTTTCTCCGACTCACAAACAGTTCAAAATCATGATCATCATTTGCAGGAGTAGAAGAACTATCATAAGCAGTTGAGCAACCAGAATTGTTCTTCTCATACTTGGTTTGGTAATCAAGCACCAAACCACAAATACATTGCTTAATTTTATCAGCCACCAAGTCAGTATTGGTACTGCCAAACTTAGCAGCATAATACTCAATCACATGCAACTTGTATCTAGGATCAAGAACCACTGACACAACGAGAACCAAGTGTATATCATCCCAATACTTAGAAAATTTCTCCCACATACTCTCAGCCATGGCCGAGATAAGAGAATTGGTATCAGCACACCATTCCAACAATTTCAGTCTTAGATCACAAACCTTGGGGAAAAACAAATTAGCAGTGGGATACTTGCTGTCAGAAAACAGCTTTGTAATCTCACTGAAAATTTCCAGCTTATCAATGACCATAGCAGCAAAATCCCAGTGCATACTAGTAGGGACAGTGGTGTATTGATTATCCCACTACCTCAAATGAGGAAAAAAAACATCTCTATACACATTGACAGCAGATAGCATATCATAGGTGGAATTCCACCTCGTTGGACAATCAAGCACAAGTTGCTTCTCACAAGGAAACTTGTTTAGAAATACTGTAATGAAAGGAACATAGGAGTTTATCGCAAGGTATTTGACCAAATAGGATCGTCCAGTTCCTATAGAACCTATCAATAAAATATCACTAAAGGGGGATAGGGCTAAGCGGAGCGAAAAGGGTTTTCCATGAGATGGGAAATGAAAACTATTCGCCCCACACGAGGTTTGTTAATAAGTGATTGTTTGATAATGAGCAAGGAATATCCGTCTTGAAAGCTAAATAGGGTGTATTGAACTCATAATTCATTATATACTTTTTATGAATGTCAACTAAGTATGGTAAGTAAATTGCTCCTGGCTCTTCAATCATTTGACCAGAGTCATTCTTTGATAAATGATCACTATTAGTCAGACTCGATAGAATTTGATCTTTAAGTTGCTTGGCAGTTTCAAAGAAGGTTTGACCCTCTTAGGAGTGGACTTCCAGTACACACCACTATCTCTAACAAATTCAATGCCATCCTTGATGACTTCCAACCCATCTTTCACAATAAGATTCAAAACATGAGCAGAACATCTCTTTTGAACCAGCACACCATCCAACAACAAATCATCCATAGCAAGTTTAGTTTTCATATGAGTAATCATGGCATCATTGGTGCTATAGTTATCCCAATTCCCAGGTAATCGAGGACAACTTCCTATCAAGATTCCAACCAAACAAACACTTGAACAACCTATCTCCCAACCTCTTGCTAGTATGAGGGGCAGGGACATAGACAAAGCTCAACATCATGTTTTTAAGTTTCCAAGAATTGTAAATAAAATGCCCAGTCACCGTCATATACCCCATATTTTGGTTAGTTGCAGTCCACATATCAGTTGTGACTGCAATTTTACCAATATTACCATCTAAAACCTTCTGAAGCTTTGCCATTTCAGCCTCATATAAAGCAAATATGTCCCTCTTTACTGTATTTCTACAAGGGACAGTGAACTGGGGTTGCAAAGAATAACAGAAACGTTTAAACTCCAAGTGTTCAACAATGCTCAGGGGATACTCATGCACCATAATCATAGAGCACAATTCCTTCCTAGACACATCAGAATTGAATTGAGTAGCATAAAGGAGGGGTTTTCCCGTTGGTTTATAATCAGGACCAAGAACTCTCTGCCAGTGGCGGACCCAGGAATTACATCAATGGTGTTCAACAATGAAACAAATTTAACAAGGATTGTCAAATAATTTTGAATTCAAATACCACCATTAATAAATCAAAATTTTACAAAGAAATTTTGTTCTAAAATTGAATCAAGGTTTGTCAGTTGACAAACCTACCACCAACCTAGGTCCGCCTCTGCTCTCTGCCTACCATCATGTTTCTTTCTTTGTGTGCAAGTTTTGTAATGGTTCCTCAGGTGGGAGGTTCCATTACTAGTATCACCACCTAAACGTTTTCGACAGTATTAACACTTGGCTTTAATCTCCCCATTAAACTTCACCCTCACAAAATGTGGCCAGACATCATAAGTCAATTTACGATCTTCATCCAAAATTATTTCAACATTTCCATTTCCATTAGTCAACGCATCATTCTCAGAACCATTAGCAGTAGCAGTAGCAGTAGCAGTAGCAGTACCATTACCATTTTGATTAGAAGGCACAGTAGGATCATTCACATCAAGGCACCATTTTCAGTAGCATTATCCATCTACACAAACAATTAAACAATTGCATGCAATCAATCAACCATAACTACCCAAACAAATCACACAACACACAATACAAATTACAATCGAGAGTTGAATTGGAGTAAGGTTATGCCTAACCTGTAATCTGGAGAGGGAGACTCTGTTCAGCAGACTGCAAACGATGAGCTAATGCCTAATGCGAACATGAAGAACTCCCAAAAAAACCAAAACAAACAAAATAACATTAGCATGCATCGATTGATAAAGACCTAGCTCATGAATCTGGACAAATGAAGGCATAAGTTTGTGCTTACCTCGACTGTGCTCTGAGCAGAGTGCAGGTAATGGGTTTAAGGAAGAAGTTAGGCTGACCAATGACCTAAAATTAATCGAGGGGTTACTATATATACGAGAAGAAGGAAAGAAAGTGCAACAGAATACGAAAGGAAAAGGGAGAAAGAACTTATCTCGCTCGATGTGTGATATCACGCTGATTTCCCCCAATAACTGCAAATCGAAGATAGGGTTTTTCATGTTGTTTCCCGACGAAATCGTCGACAAAACTAGCCTCCAATTGGCCAAATTGAGAGATAATGATTGCCTACTGGCAATCATAGTTGTATAAACAACCTGGATTGGGAGGAAATCGTGGGGAACAACGAGATTTTTGAGCGGATTGGATGTTTGGGAGATTCGATGGAGAGAAAATAGCTAGGGTTTGGGGAGGTTCTCAAAGAGGAATGGGAGCAGTCGTTGGGGAGGTCGAGGGGAAAATGAAGATGAGGGTTTCCCCTGTGATCCATTTGTTTTATATACAATGTCTAAAACGACGCCGTTTTATGATACGGGGCAGGGGCGGATACCGCTTATTCCGTCCCCACCCATCACCGGCAACTCGCGGGTTTCGGGTAAACCCGAATCCGCCAAAAACCCACAACGGACGGATATTTAGGTCACCATCTGGGCGGGTTTCGGGTGGATACCCAACGGGTCAGTCAGGGTTGCCAACCCTAGTTTTAGACTTCCCGTCCAATACCCATACTCATATATGTTTCACAAAGAATAGCTATATATACAAAAAAAAAAATTAATGATTGGATGTTCAAAACAGTGATGCATTGTGGATTAATAGATGTTGTAGGAGAAATTCAAATAATAACGATTATACATTGGTTAACTTGATAGTTTATTAGCTTTGTTTGATGTTATAACTGAAACTTACAAGTTAGTAAGCTTAATAATTGTATTAAATTTAGGTATAATAATATTATATATATATGTGTGTGTGTGTGTGTGTGACACATATTACCCGTGAGTATCCTAAAACCACATGTATTAGGATGAGGTTGCAATATCTTTCTCTGCATGGGTCTGTAGTAGCTTGGGATTTTGAAAATGTGATGTTTTAGAGGAATCCGCCCCAAATCCCTATTCATTTGGTATGCAGTGTAAGTTCTGTCGGTTTGTATTGCAAGTCTTATTCATTTGTACATTAGTGGTTTTTAGTAATGCAAGTTACTTTTAATTCAAAGACTTTCATAGCTACAATGAATAAATAAGTAGACAAGGGATCTTATTTACCTTAGTCCCCCTTTTCATTGCAAAGTACCCACAAACCCCCTCAATTCAAACCAATACTAACATAGGAGTACAAACACAAGCCTTCAACTAATGGAGATGCTTTTCAGAAATCCCATAGCATATAAAAAAAAAAACACCATTGAATTGAATAAAAAACTTTCATGATGTCAATATTCACAGTGGAACGAGCAATAATGTTTTCTTATGATAATCTCTCACTAACTCAAAGGCTAATTAACAGTATATTATCACTAATTGAGCGCCCTTTAATAAAAACTTGTTGAGAAGAGGAAATTAGGGAGAGGAGAACATGAGCTAACCTGTTTGCAATAACCTTGAAATCTCTTTGTAGAGTGTGTTATAACAAAATATTGGTCGGAATTCCTTCATATTCTCTGCATTTGTTACCTTAGCTATCGAGGTAAATAAGGTAGCATTGATAACCTTTGACTAGGGGCTTTGTCTTTACTAAGACCCTTGAAGACTCTCAGGATATCCTCTCTAGTCACTTCACTCTTTAACAATACACCCTCTTATGCTGAAAGTTTCTTTGTAAGCAAATTTCGATAATATATAATCAATTGGTTGATTTTGTACATATTTGTTCACTTCACCAATGAGGCTTTTATAGAAATCCACAACAACTCTCCCCGTTTCCTTAACATCAACCACTTTATATCCTTCAGCATTCTTAAGATCAATTAGTTATCTTATGCTTATGAGTTCGAATTTTCATTGCTTTATGAAAGAAAATATTCATATCATCTTTCTGAATCCTTTGAGCACGTGACTTCTAGTCATAAAAAGCCTCTTTGTCCCTCTGACCTTCCTTACACTACTAAGCTAAAACCCTTTATTATGCAATTAACTCTATTGTTGGAGTTTTCAGCACTAATTGCACTAGTTTCGGTCATTTTTCAAGATATCTTTCCTTAGCTGAGATATCTGCATAAATCTCCTTATTGAGCCTTTTCAACTTCGGTTTGATTTGTATTAGTTTACCACAAAAAACATAGTGAGAATAGCCACTAAACCAATATCCCAAGCCTCTGACACAAACCCTCCATAAGAAGGGTGTTGGGACAAGAACCTGAATTACTTGAATGGCTTTGGCAAGTACCCACCTGAGGTATTACAACCAACAGCAAGGCACAGTGACCTGAGACACCTAGTGCTGATGTTTGAGTTGTACTAGCTGAGAAAGTATCAAGCCAAACGTCATTAATAAGGATCCTATCCAATCTCTTAGCTGCGAAATTCCCTTTCTGCTTATTTTACCATGTAAACCATGTCCCCATAACCTCATGATCTACCATATTCATCCCTTCATTCCATTCCTTGAAATCCATCACACTTGTAGTCATACTCACCAAATTTAAAGCCTCATTTGGTTCTCGTACAACATTCAAGTCTCTTAGTATTGCCATAGGAGAGAAATATTCTTGATGAGGGAGAAATTTCCTATACAAATGACAAACCAACGGACTATCCCCTTCCATCCTAACCTTCAAATAATGCTAACTATCTGCAGTTTTTGTAACAACCAGACAGCTTTACAGAACAACCTTATTCGACCATTGTGGGAGTTTGGGTAATTTTTTAAGTGTTACAAAAGATGCTTCTAATATTGTGGAATTTGCGGTAATTATTAAAACCCTTGATATTCCAACTGAAAACTCTCATTACCCATTCGTTTACCTCTCCTTGTACCCTTAGGGTTAGGAGGAGCAGAAGGGGGGAGGAGTCACACTTTGCCTAATCATAGGTCTATTAAAAAGAAAATCTACCCTCATCTAGAAAATGATTACCCAATCTCGAAAAATTGATTCCAAATGCAACATTCCGAGTTTTTTATTTTTGATTTCTCTTTGTCATTAATTGACTTTCTTGCTAATCACCCCCTTAATTAATCATTTGAAAAGTTCGAACAAACTAGTTTTTTTTTATAGAACAAATTAGTTTTTAATTGCAAAATTCAAGCCAAATTGGAGTGTGAATATTATTTTTGTTAAGGAGGGGTGAGATAGAAGTCATTTAAAATGTCAAGGACTGTTACAGAAAAATGACAAGGACTACTACAAGAATAAATATTAAATAAATGCTAGTTTGAGGACTTCAATCGTTAACATCTCAAAGTTGAGGAACCAAAAAGTCATACAACTCCAACATCAAACTCATCTTTCTCCCCCTTCCAAGTTCCAAGTTTGAGAATCGATCTACACTGTCCCATACCTCGTCGGCAAAAACTACCCTTCTTGCGTTCGCCCCAGAGATTCCGACGGACAACCTCATCACACGAGCAGCTACAGGCCGGACGATTGGCCTTCCAAGTCCTACGCGAACTTGCGCTCTTTAAATCCCACAACTAGCCAATAAGAAACCTCGCCTGTTTTCGCCTTTTTTTTTGTTGAAAATTTCCCTTTTTGGGGAACTTAGGGCGACGAATTGGGCGAGCTAATTCGTGCCCATCAAGCAATCAGCTGCTTCATCTGTCTTCTTTTCCTTTGCGGCTTTGCCACAGGTAAAACCCTTCGACCTACTTTCTATTTGATGCTAAAAGTTTCGACCTTTGAATGTTTACGTTAGGGTTTTGGCAAAAATCCGTCGGTTCAGTAAAAGCTTGTAATTTAGTTAGATGGGTAAACAGGAAGGAGAAGAAGAATTCGAAGGAGGTGTTAACAGTAAACGGGGAGTAATGTCGATTGCGGCGCCTGGCCAGCTCAACGTGACCGAGATGGCTACATGGGGATCCCGAACTGTTGATAAGTTCGAGAAGTTGGAACAGATTGGGGAAGGCACTTATGGGTGCGTTTCCTTTCCTCTTGTTTCTTCGAAGAAAATCTTTACCTGCAATTGTGATGGGAGCAAAGGGAAATGTACGTCACAAAACCTAAGGAGAATCCTCTTTGTATTGATGTATTCTGTCAGAAACATTGCTTGTCCTACCGGTTTCGTTTTTATAGTTTGTATGCACCATTTGAAGCTTCTCCTCTTAGAGCATGTCCCGATGGTAGCAGCTTCTACCCTTTCCAGTTGGACTCTTGTCTCAAAGCTCTTTCCTTGACACTTATTAATGAGTGGCGAATCCCTGATTTGTTTACTTAGGCTAGTGTTGTTTTTCTGTCTTAAATCAGTTGACGTAAGTATTTAAGATTACCATCAATGTATAGGTCACTGTTATTTTATGAAGAATGTCTTTTGGAATAATTGTTGTCTAATCACTCTTTGTGTCTGCCTCTTGGGTATGACTAAGTATGCATCAATCTCATGTTAGGTGAAAGAAAAGCTTTAACTTGTCTGATTCTAATGCAAAACTATGTAATGCACTACTACTTCGCTGTCAAAATATGTGTTTCTAGTTTTGGCTCTTGCTTCTGAATGCTTCAGGGAGCAATCTATTTTTGAGGTTCATTTGATGTTGTAACTGGCGCCAGAGATTTGATTCTGGCTTTGTGTTACTTGCTCCTTCTTACAGTCAAGTTTACATGGCTCGTGAAATAGCAACTGGAGAAATAGTTGCCCTGAAGAAGATAAGAATGGACAATGAGAGAGAAGGGGTAAGTTATGTGGTCTTTCTTGGTGGTGGGGCGTATATATCTCTTGGAATGCGTTTCGACAGTATTTTTATCCGACTCCAGTGTTAAGGCGAGAAGAACATAATAGCTTGGCAATTGTTCTACCCTGGTCTAACTAGTAATGCAAGCCTTTTCTTTCTTCTTGTTCTTGCAGTTTCCTATAACTGCCATTCGTGAAATCAAAATTCTAAAGAAGCTCCACCATGACAACGTAATTAAGTTGAAAGAGATCGTAACATCTCCAGGTAATATCTCAATTTTGAAAGGGGTAAGTGGTTTAATAGCTTATGATCCCGGGAGTTGGTTCACAATGCACCTTTAACCACCAACTTGGAATTGTTGATTGTCTTGTGTAGTTATCTAAATATTTTGTCATGACTTGACAGGTCCTGAGAAGGATGATCAAGGAAGACCTGGCAAGTTCATTTCTTTCCATATAAAACATTAGTCTGTTTACTGATATTTTAATAATGAAGGTGTATTTTGGTATTGCCAGCTAAAGTCATTTAAACTTTACTCGTCCGGGAAGCTATATGATTTCTGACTAGTGTCTTGCATGTGTGCAGATGGTAACAAGTACAGAGGTGGTATCTACATGGTCTTTGAATACATGGATCATGATTTAACTGGTCTTGCCGATCGTCCCGGAATGAGATTTTCAGTTCCTCAAATTAAGGTATTCAACATTTTGAAGACTGCATGGGTGTTTCATAATGAATGAAAAATTTAGGTGACTTGAAATTGATCCATTCCTGTGCCTTATGATTTGTTCTTTTATTATTCCCTTTCTTTCTCAGTGCTACATGAGGCAGCTCTTAACTGGGCTTCACTATTGCCATGTTAATCAAGTACTTCATCGTGATATCAAAGGTAGATAATAGACCCAAAATCTCTGTAGTTGTTATTGTTATTTCACTTGTGATGTGATTTAATGAGGGCAATGGTGGTTCACTGTGTTCTTTGGCAGGTTCTAATCTTCTCATAGACAATGAGGGGAACCTAAAGCTTGCTGATTTTGGGCTTGCTAGGTCATTTTCGAATGATCATAATGCAAATCTTACAAACCGTGTTATTACTTTATGGTACAGGTATGTACATGTCCTACTAGAAAGAGTTTGGTCTTGATTTGCTCAAATTTGTCTTTTAAAGAATATCTACTATCTTTCTGTTGGCCTATGATGGAGACGTAACGAGGAAATAGTCAAGAAGGAATAAGTACCAGTTATTTGCAATTTTTGCAGACCTCCAGAGTTGCTTCTTGGGGCAACAAAGTATGGTCCAGCTGTTGATATGTGGTCTGTTGGCTGTATCTTTGCTGAGCTTCTCCATGGGAAGCCTATCTTCCCTGGGAAAGATGAGGTAACCGCAGTTATGATGTGATTTGTATGTTCTACAGTATTGAGAGATTCTTATAAGAACCCATTGTTGTTTCGTTGCTTTCCTCACTAACCTTTAGCTTTTATATTGATAAATACTTTAGAAGACCAAAGGAGCTTATTTGTACACTGGTAGGACCTATGTTTTGTTTGGATGTTGTTGTCTGAGGATCAGTTTATATTTTTGTTTGTGTTGTAGATTAGGCAGTGTGGTCTTCATAAAGTGCTTCTATTATTAAGATAAATGTAGGTTGAAGGAAATGATGTGGATTTAAACCCCTTTTGGTTTGGTTAATGTCTTTTGAATGTTTGCTTTCTACCTGTTTATTGGTCTTTATGATTGTTGCAGCCTGAACAACTAAACAAGATTTTTGAGCTTTGTGGATCACCCGATGAGGTTAACTGGCCTGGTGTGTCTAAGATTCCTTGGTATAACAACTTCAAGCCTGCAAGGCCAATCAAGAGACGCCTGAGGGAGGCTTTCAGACAGTGAGCGCCAAAACTTGTCTTATTGTGCCAGATTGCTATGTGCTGCTCGCTTTTTACCTTTCGAAGCTATTTAAGTGTTGGAACTTTATGTTGCTCTCTCTCTCTCTCTCTCTCTCTCTCTCTCTCTCTCTCTCTCTCTCTCTCTCTCTCTCTATCTATCTATCTATCTATCTATCTATCTATCTATCTGTTTTGTCGTCAATTTCCTATCTTCTGATTTTTGCTGCAGCTTTAATGGCCATGCTTTGGAGTTGCTGGACAAAATGCTAACTCTTGATCCTTCTCAGGTAACTTCTATTGCAGTTTTTCTTCATGAATCATCTTTTATAGTGACCTATTTTCAGAGGTTTCTTTCGGAGACATGTAAATTATGGAGTCATATATGACTGCTTATCATTGTCATTTGGAGGCTCCCCACCCCTTCAGCTTCTCATAAACCAAACCATCATCACGTATTACTTGGTCTGTTGACATACAATTCTAGAATTTTCCAAAGCAAGCCAGCAATACAAGCACCAATTAGCAAGCCTGAACCTAGAAACAAAACCCAAGCTTTCCTTAGTGATTAAATAGTATTAGCGCTCACTATCTGTAGTTTTTTTGTACTTAGTTATTTTGAAACTGGACCTTCATTGTCTTTTGAGTTGTGACTTGAGATTGCCTTATTGATTTTGGCATAATGCTCGTTTGGATGATTTATAGTGGCTAATATTGCTTGACATTGTAAAATCAGAGAATATCAGCCAAGGACGCTCTTGATGGCGAGTATTTCTGGACTGACCCATTGCCTTGTGATCCAAAGACGTTAGTTCCGGCGCTCTCTTTTCCTTTTATCTACTGTGGTTCAATATGGCCTCCTACACGTTTGTTTTGTACTCAAGGTCATTTATTTTGGCTCAGTTTGCCCAAATACGAGTCGTCGCATGAGTTTCAAACTAAGAAAAAGCGGCAGCAGCAAAGACAACATGAAGAGAACGCCAAGCGTCAGAAGCTACAACATCCACAACCACATAGCCGCCTTCCTCCCATTCAGCAATCTGGGCAGGGTCACGGACCAATGAGATCGGGCCCTAATCAACAACCTGTCCATGGCTCTCAGCCTCCAGTTCCTGCTGGAGCAGGTCACCATTATGGTAAGCCTCGGGGACCTGCAGGTGGGCCAGGCAGGTATCCTCAGACTGGAGCTGCTGGTGGTGGATACAACCACCCGAATCGCGGTGGCGGTCAAGGAGGTGGTGCGGGAGGTTATGGTAGCGGGCCATATCCTCCACAAGGCCGTGGCCCTCCTCCATATGGCTCGAGCAGCCAGGTGCCTGGTGGCGCTCCACGTGGCAGTGGAGGTAGTGGCTTTGCAGTTGGCGCACCAAATTACCCTCAAGGTGGTGGTGGTGGATCTTACGGGGGCTCTGGCACTGGCCGTGGTTCAAATGTGAATCGCAATCAGCAGTATTGGCAGTAGGCATGCCTTAATGCCTGTGTAATGCAACAAGTGAAGGTGTGAAACTTACGTTTTAGTTCAGTGATTAAAGGGACAAGGCCCAACGAGAAGCAGGGATTAATCTATGCCGGAACTTGATGGAGAGGTAAAATGGGCGGGTGCTGGTTGAGCTAATCTGTACAATAACCATCTGTTTTTTGGCGGGAGGGAACAATTATCATCATGAAGTTGGTACTAACTTATGGTGGAGGGGTTGAGTATGCAGTATTTACCTTTTGTGATCCGTGGGGTGGAAATTCTATGTTGTGCTCTAGTTTGGGAGGGTAGAATGGTACGAGTACCGCCCCGCCCATATGCTTGTAGCTGCTCAGAACTGAAAAATTGTCACTCTTGTAATGCTCTTTGTTGTTTACTTCTGTAATTGTTATTATTGTCGGGCAATGAAATGATTGGCTTCTGGGTTTGTTCGAGTTCTCCATGATAACATAGAATATGCAAAACGATGATCAAGGCACAAGAGCATTGGCTCTAGTTATATAATCCCATATTCCCATTCATTAGTCAAAGTATTCACGTATCAATTCACATTTTCGCTTGATTTGTTTCTCCCCTCGTGTTTCCTTGACGACGATGAACAACGCATGGTAAATGGAAGGGCTGTCGAAAAAGGTTGTTCAGACTGCCAATAGGGAGTGAAAAGAACCTGGAGATGAATGGAAACATCTACAGACTAGAGCACGGAAAGGTTGCATAATGGGCTACCTAAATGCAGTAAATCTAAAATAATGTAAACCCAGAATGAAGGAGTGAACTGGCTGGCGCATTGTAACGTCAAAACTATCATTAAGAAACTGATTTTCGGGATACAGAACTGTAACGTGTCAACATGAAGTATCCAACCATTTCCTCAACCTCAAAACTTTGACCGCTTGGTCGTGCGTTAAGTGTGAAATACTACAAAACTGCAAGCTTTTCTTTCTGCTCTCATCTCTAGCTAAAACCAAACGCAGCTGGTTTGTCTCCTCCTTACTCATCATCAACAGCTTAAGAGTGTCTACCAGAAATGGGAAAAATGCTTCAGGCCGCACACAAAAAGGCCGGAAAACAAGAAACAGGGCTTTCATATCAGATTCAAACTGATGGATTCCCTCGCCTGAGAACTGGAAACTACTCGAGAAAATGCTGGAATAGATGTAATGGTCTAGCCCATCAGCAACACTTCTCCACAAGTCAAAAAAGTCCTTTGCATTCAGACTTGTGTTGAGGACTTGAAGTTGGCCTCTCAATGCGTCCAGCCCTTGCACAAGGTCGTCAGAAACCACTGCTAAACCCAGGTCATCTTGCCTTTGTTCAAACTGTCTTTTGTTCTGCGTGTAATCCCATGAAGATGTCTCAAAATGATGTAGAAGAACAGAAGCTATCTCCATTAGCCAATTAGTCTGCAGATCTGCCAAACTTCTGATCTCTTCGCAGAAGAAGCACTTCTCATCCTTACCATCAAAATCAGGACCCCTTTCAGCTATTCTCATCTCCAGGAAATCAATGTCATCACTCCTTTCTTTCAATTTGGACTCGAGATATCTGGCTGCATTGATTGACCCACATACTCTGATTAAGGCATCAGCTATGTAGTCAGGAGAAAACTCAGTGTTCTTACAGCGGTAAACCAATACATTAAGAAAGTACCAAATGAATCTACAAGCAGACAATCTCACGAATTGGACACGTGGCAAAACAGCAGGAAAATGTCGACTCTTCTCAATCAATTCCCAGATGATTTTCAGAGAAGATTCTGCTAATGGTGGTGCTTTGTGTTCTTGACTTGTGGACAGCAGAAAATGTTCAGATTCTGTACCAATCCGAATATCATCTCTAGGGTTCCTACTAATTGACCAAGCTCTCTCATCTCCAAGCTCAGGTTTCAGTTTGTTCCAGGAATCTTTGAGCTCTATTTTAGCCCAATGCTTCAGCCAATCTGGGTTTTCACAAAAAACCTCTAGTACTGACAGACTTCTGGACAGCCCTTCAAACCTTTCAGACTCTTCCAGGAAGAAACATGAATCTGAATTGACTAGTGCTCGCATCTGTTTATCAAAACCAACCATGCAGTCTATGAAGTGGAGCCATGAAGATGTAGCTTCTGATTTTAAATCTTTCTCCTTGTATTTTGCAACAAGAACCGGGAAGACTTTTCTAGCGAGAAACCCAGAAATCAGCTGGACCATTGCAGAAACCCAAGCTTCTTTTGCACTGTAGCTAACCAGCCTTGCTTTATCAATCAAAGGCTGTAAAATGTCATCCACTCCCACTATAAATGCACTGGTAGTCTTGTGCACGAGAGCAAACATTAGCTCTGGCTGATCAGCCCATTTAGAGAAATGGTATTCCATTCGCGATGCAATGGGTGAAACCAGTTCATCAATAGCCCAAAGGCCAACCCCGTGCTCCTCCTGTTCAGTGCTCTTATGTTGGCGATTTTCTCTTCGAGTTTGCATATGCTGCAATGCGCAAAGAGCCAGAAAGCTTTTTGAGTAGAGCTCTCGTTTGTCTCCACCCATTAAAACTAGTGGGTTGGGTAAAGGATCTTGTCTTCCAGTCCCATCTGCTTTTGACGTTGCCAGCATAGGTGGCCAGCCAAAAGAGGAAAGAAGGGCACGGTGATCAGCTAGAACTTGTGGCCGAACTACAGCCAAAGTTCTCTCAACCCTAGCATCGACGGAATCCAAAAGATGGCACCACTGAGAACGAGATTTCACTATTTCAACCAGGACCTCCTCAATGTCATTCATCAACTTTATGGCTTGAGTTAACAACTCTTGCTTGGGCCCAAAATCCTGTGATCAGAAGTATGCATGATCGTGAAAATGCCATTTATTAGCAAAGTGCTGCTGTGGAGCAACAACGAAAAGGGTAACAAAGTTCTTTACCACTGAAATTTGAGAGGTGAGAAGCTTTACTGACACCATATTCCTCAAACTGAAAGTGCTGCTAGAGAACACGACATCCTCAAGATCTCCAACCAGAGCTTCTAACCGCAGAGCAGTATCTGCAGCAGTTGACAGGTAAAAGTTTAGCCTGTTAGCACCAGAATAGTTTCCTGTGTTAGAAAACCAAGCAATACAAGGTTCTTCTTGGGAATCAGGGCAGCAGGACAAAATCTACCAAGTGAATATGAGAGACTATCCTTTGAGACCAAGATGGTAACTCCTAGGGCATCATTTGCACTACAACTAAAACATTCAAAATAACCTGAAACTTGTGGGTTTTGCTGTACAAAGACAAACACAATGGTTCTGTACATCAATCTTAGAACTAACCAGCGTATTCTCGAATAGTTTGGATCAGCAGGACCTGCTTGGCAAGTTGAGGCAACTCCTCCCTCACCACCCTCTGAATCGTCCTCGAACCAATCCCACCTGAAAAAGTCCAACGAAATTAGACTAAACCCCAGAATCTCCTTCGCCAAACAAAACACTGGACAAAACAAAGAAACAACGAGGCGCCATTCCAAAGCGTGGAAAAGAAATTCTCAAACCAACATTGAGACGTGACGAGGCTGAGATTCTCCAACGCCAAATTGAGGTTGCGGACGGACGATTTGGCCGCGAAGGAGCGAGAAATCCATGAAACGGAGAGCTTCGTGAGTTGGCGCTGCAGTTGGAGGAAATCGGCGTCGAGCTCGGCGCATTTGGCCTCTAATTCGGCCGAGAGAATCGGAGCCCTGGAGAGAAGATCTTCACGGGTCGCCAATTTCTGATTCAGAAATTCCAAGTGGTGCGACGAGAGTTCCCCTTTTCTGGGAAGGAATCCATTTGTGCGAGGCGAAGAACCTGAACAGGAAGGAGAAGAAGAAGAAGAAGCCGGCGATTCCATTCTCACCGAGCAATGAAGGCCATTCCGGTGCGATGAGCCCTTGGTAATAGTAGAGGCTCCTGCATTCTGCGAAAAAACCTAAAGGCCCCGACCGACAGAAAAGCATTCCCGAAAGAGAAGTTGGGGTGCCAGCCACTAATAGGATACGGATTAAACGCACTGCTTAGACTCAATAGCAACGACAAAGATCGTTGCTAAAGCATCAAGCTAAAACTGTACGGTTTTGCGGTTAACCGCAAAACGACTAAAGCAATGTAGTCAAAAACGGGTTTCTACGTATAATCGTGTTGGTGATTTAGAAAGATAAAATCGTAAGCTTTAAAGTGTAGTTATTTACTACATTAGTTATATAAACTAAGATTATGCGTAGAAGCGTTTTGATGACCTAAAAGCGTAAAACCGTAAGTTTTTATGTTTAAATCGCGACTTTGACTACATTGAGCACAAGAGTCAAGAAGTGCTTAAACAAGGGCAGTGTTACGTAGATGTCCCTTCGGACGAAATTCTACGCGTTGAATTTTTTATTATTGAATTATATGATAGATTTGTCGAAATGCGCAAGTATAATTGATTGTCGATCACAAGATAGTCTGTTACTCTGTTTACATATTCTAGAATCCCATCGTCAGAGTTCATTAACCCACAAAACGAAAAATTGTGGAATTTTATAAATCAAATAGACAAAATCATGCCCAAATGAAACACTCATTCTCTTATTTCAAGAACAAAAAACAACAATAACTAGATATATCCATCTAGCCACCCACAATTGAAGAGAAGATCAATATTTGATCATTAGAGTTATGGAGTACATTGCAATCGATTTGTAGAAAATAAATTGAACATACATATATAACACAATTTATGTCATTATTAATTCACCCCATCTCAAGAATTTGTGTAGCAAACTCTTGTCCAACATCCATGCCCATCACCCTCCCATGAATCCACAACTTCATTCATATTTTCCACACCTAAGAAATCCTGCAGGTCCAGAAAAAAAACACACACACACACAACAAAGATCAAATTTTGTTGTCGCACCAAAATCTACCATTAAGCACCACCAAGGCTTATACAAATTTTGTTCAGTCATGTGCACAAATATAAGCGCGATCGTGATCGAATCGACTTACGTGTTGCAATCGATCTTGGGATCGATAGGGACGGGGACACTGACTCTGCACAAGCCAGGGAGGGCCTTGGCGACGGCAGGGTCGACATGATAGGAGATTGCAGCAGGCTTGAAGCACTTGCAGAGCTCCTGACGAATCGCGGCGGTGTTGGCCTCGTCGTTCAGCTGCTTGACATTGGAGCAGCATTGGGCAGGCGGAGTTGCGACTTGCTTGGTGAGGAACGGCAAGCAGGGGAGCAGCTGAAGCAGAGCACCTGGGCATGTCACGGGGGCTTGAGCACTCACGGGACTGGTTGTCGCCATGATTAGCAATGCCAACATGAAAGCTACTGTAGCTGTGCTGTTCATGTTACTGTTCACTGATGTGTTCACTGTGAAGAACAGAGAAAGACTGGATATGATAGAATGCTTGTGTTTGAATGGTGGAAGGCTTCTTGTTTGTTGGTGGGTGTGATTTGCAGAGAGCTATGGCTGTTGGCTTTTTATAGTGACCAAAATGTGTTGAGACTATTGTGGATTTGCTTTTCACAGACCATGAGAATGTTATTAGAAGGGAAAGAATCTGGTCATGAGTTTGATTTTATTGCATTTAGGGGGGATGTGATTTCATATCCATGTATTGAGGATAATTTGGGGGATTTAATGCTAAAAATTTGATAATGAATTTTATGTATTCAGAGAAATCAATCTATAGAAATAGAAATGTGAATCCTGCATAAATAAATATTAGATCCTCGTCATTAAATTTAACCTAATACGTAAAATATTTTAGTATCATATTTATTGTGGGTGATGTATATAGGCAAGTCATTCATAATACACTTTTTATTTTCTGACCTAATGATGAGATGATCAAACTAAGAATAATACGATTGAGTATGTAACATAAATTCAAAATAAGAGAGTATGCACCTGTAAAAATCTCCACATTTACGGAAACTGATTATTGTTTTCAATGAAAATTGAATAATGGATTGCAGAGATTCACACACCAGTATAATTTGGTTAATTTATCTAGTACCATAACCATTAGGTGATTTCTAGCATATATGCCTTGGTTTATGGTATTCATTTAAATTTTGTCACGGGTATGCATTATCAAACTTTTTAGCAAATGCTAATTTGTTTCTAATTTGGAATCGAAAGTTCTGTTATTGGTTAATATTGTTATTTCTAGTATGGATTCTCAAGATTCTAGTACCCATAATGTGATCTCTAGTATGGATTATCATACCTGATTTTATCAAGTGGTCGTACGTTCGAATTTCAACGGCATTTAATATTAACAGTTGATTAAAACACAAGGTATAAGATACAATTGACTTGTGCAAACTTCAAGTATGTGAGTTGGCTTTCGCTTGAGAGGTGTGTAAGAGAGTAGTATAAGCTTCATAAATAACATTCTCCCACAACTCTGAGTTATTGAGACTAGTTAGTTTATGACATAGACAATTTTTCACCATCCACCAAAACCTTAGAATGGGTGGATTTTAGCCAAAAAATCATCTAGTCCACTCATTTGCCATTTTTAGATACTATGAATTTGCCAATATATAATTTTTTTCGTTGGTCGTTGGCTGCAAAGTTCGAATCTAAACTGTGGTAGATGTTTTCATCCCCACATTACCGTTACATCAACTCCAACTTAATTAAGAGATTTTCTAGTATGAACTAGGCATTTTTTTATCTTAGTTTTCTTTCATAAGGATTGGATATTGTTGTATGGATTAGTCAACTTGTCTTATAGATTAAGCATGGTGTTTAAACCTCTATTCATGACTCTAAATTGTCAAATTATTGGAACATATGAAGTTAACATATACTAAGCCGATCCGTGAAGTTTTTTAGGTGAGACCGGTCAGTACAGTTTCGAACCTCAAAAGCGATCTGTTGGGCATGTGACTCGGATCGCACCCCACGGCAGAAGCACTAAGGAGTCGCGCCAAGGTTAAGCGCGCGAGCCAAGCAGAAGCACTAAGGAGTCGCGCCAAGGTTAAGCGCGCGAGTCAAGCACACGAGTCACGCCGGAATCAAGCGTGCAGGCAAAAGCCACCCCTGAAGAGGCTCGCGCAAACACTGAGCGACGACGCTTGGGACAGGCGTGGGCCCTTGTCGAGGAGTTGTAGAAGCGGCGCCGCGTCATCCAACGGGTAGTCACCATCACAGTCCTAGGTATAGTCCTGCTATGTCAGTAGTCACATCAGGGTCCTAAAAGTATGGTCTAAATCCCTGACATGTCAGTGGTCACATCATTGTGCCCACTTGTAACCCAACCACTCACCCACCAACATGTAGCCTATAAATATGGCATTTACTCCGGTGGGTGAGGGGATCGGATTTTTCAGACTCTATCTCTAAGATCATCAACTTCTCTCTCTAAGACGACTTCCATTTCCCACTCTTTTCGTAATCTCCGGAATCTATCTATAACAATCGTTCCTTCATTGCTTACTCCTCTTGACCCATTTTCACGAGCCTCCCTTCTACACCCAGTTAGGCTCAAACAATTGGCGCCCACCGTGGGGCCAAGTAGAGAAGCAAAGAAAATCAACCTATGGCAGAGCATAACTCCAACTCGCCTGACGAGTCAACCCCAATCAAGGCGATGACCAACCCAAGGGAATTCGCGGAAGCCAGCAATATCAACGCGGTGCTCTTGGAAGAGGAAGAGCCCGAGCTCACAGCCAGAGAAATGAGACAGCTGGTGGCGAAGCAGAACGACGTCATAGCTAACATGCAGAAACAAATGAGCCAGGTCATGGCGCTCATGATGAGCAGAGAGGCCGCGGCAACAGCGGGCGCGACACCATCCGCGCCGGGGACTGTCACCCACCAAGTTGCCGCGAGAAGAGCAGGGACGCCGGCAGCTCACGCTGCCGCGGGATCAGCTAGCGCAGCTGCACAGCGGACATAAGCAACACCCCCCTCCCCCACAAGAGCAAGCGCAGCAAAGAAGATCACCAGACAGGCGCGCACCCCACGCGTTTACACCGCTCAACGACTCCGTAAAGAACGTGTTCCACGTTCTACGCGAGAAGGGGTACAAGCTCAATTGGCCCGCGCCCCTGAAGTCCTTGCCCCACATGAGACATCCAAAAAAGCATTGCGACTTCCACAGGGCAACGGGGCACTGGACGGAGGATTGCCGAGAGCTGCGCTACGAAATAGAGGGCCTCATATGACGAGGGTTGCTAACCGAGTTCACACACGAAAAAGAGGAGCAAGTTGGGGGACCCCAAAACCCGCCACCGCCCCCGCAAGCCGACTACAACGAAGCCACTGCAGAATATGTAGTGCGGAAAGAAATAGGGGTGGTAACGGTGGAAGGAGATCGCCCGAAAAAGAAGACCAAGCGCGAACGAGCAATCGAATTCGCGGCAGCGGATGTACGAACAGGGGGTCAACTGAGCTTCGACGACACCGAATTACCGCAAGGAGTTCCGTCGGAAGACCCGCTCATTATCGCCCTAGTGGCCGCCTTCAAAATTCACGCCTCCTGATAGACGGGGGTGCCGCGGCAGATATCCTCTTCCAAAGCACCATCGACAAGATGGACATCGACCCGCGATTAATCAAGCGCGCCCAAGGGAACCTGGTCGGCTTCTCCGGAGCGAGGGTGCCAGTAATTGGGGTGGTCACTCTCCCCGTGGTCATCGGTGACCAAGAGCCGCGCGTCTCAAAGCAAATCGAGTTCACAATAGTCGACTGCAAATCGTCTCACAAGGGCATCTTGGGCCGACCCTTCTTAGCAAAATTCATGGCCCTTCCTTCCACGTGCCACCAAAAACTCAAGTTTCCTACCAATATGGGAACCGGAGAGGCGCGCGGGACACCATGGGGAGCCCTGAAGCTAGAAGGAGAGCCCCGACAAACGAACATTGTCGACACAAGGGCAGAGGAGCCCCGTCCGGAATCAATGGATTCCGATTTCGAGGTCGCGCTGGATCCAGCCGAGCCGACCAGGAAAATACGCATCTCGACTCACGTCTGCGACGACGCGATTGAGCCGCTGATCGCGCTATTAAAGGAATACAAGGATCTATTTTCCTGGTGCACTGAAGACATGCCAGGGGTACTAAGGCATGTGGCCCAACATTGCCTCGCAGTCCCACCGAGCGCGATTCCGAGGCAACAAGCGCGCCGCGGCTTCACGGGCGACAAGCTGAAGGCCATCGAGGAGGAGGTGGCGCGACTCTTGGCGGCAGGGTTGATTCGCCCGGTCAAATACCCAAAGTGGTTGGCGAATGTGGTCCTTGTAAAAAAATCGTCGGGCGCTTGGCGAATGTGCGTTGACTACACAACAATCAACAAGGTATGCCCGGGAGACCCCTACCCCCTGCCGCGCATCGACCAACTGATCGACGCCACTGCCGACCACGAGACACTGTCTTTCTTGGATATGTTCTCAGGGTACCATCAAATCCCGATGTCGCGGGAAGATGAAGAAAAGACGGCGTTCATGACTCCCTTCGGAAACTTCTGTTTCGTCGGAATGCCGTTCGAACTGAAGAACGCGGGCGCGACATACCAAAGGATGATCGATTCGGTGTTCTCACAACAGAGGGGGCGGAACATCGAGGCGTATGTGGATGACCTCATCGTCAAGACCAAGGCTGGCAGCTCGCACCTGGAAGACCTGCGAGAGACATTTGAGGCGCTCCGCAAGCACAGCCTCCGCTTGAACCCATTGAAGTGCGTCTTTGGAGCAGAAGCAGGGAAGTTTTTGGGGTTCATGATAACCAAGCGCGGCATCGAAGTGGACCCAAAGCAAATCACGGCGGTGCAACAACTACGAGCCCCGAGGAGCGCTTTGGAAATTCAATCCCTGAATGGGAAAATAGCAGCGCTAGGGAGATTCATCCCAAGGTCAGCCGACAAGTGCGCGCCCTTCTTCAAGACACTCAAAAACGGCGCGAAATTCTCATGGACCAAAGAGTGTGAAGCAGCCTTCCAAGACCTGAAGGCATATCTTGTATCCCCCCCTGTGTTGACAGCTCCCAAGCTTAATGAAAAATTGTTCCTTTATCTGGCCGTGTCGACGAGAGCTGTAAGCGCAGTTCTGATATCCAGAAGAAACGATAATACCGACAGCCTGTGTATTACACTTCACGCACGCTAATCAGCGCCAAAACGAGATACTCCCCAATAGAGAAAGCGGCCCTGGCATTGGTGAGCGCGTCGCAGAAGTTGCGTCCCTATTTCCAAGCGCACCAGATCACCGTCCTGACCAACCTCCCACTAAAGAAAATCCTGACTTCAATGGAAGTATCAGGGCGCACGGTGAAATGTGCGGTCGAACTCTCAGAGTACGACATCCAATACGCGCCGAGACCAGCAATCAAAGCCCAAATCCTAGCAGATTTCATCGTTGAAGGAGTCACGCTCGAAACTACACCGGAGGGGTATGGGAAGTTTACGTCGACGGAGCGGCAAGTAAACACGGTGCTGGCGCGGGGGTCGTCGTGCGTACGCCAACAGGCGTCGTTCACGAGATAGCTATTAGATTCAGAGCGTTGAAGACAAATAACGCGGCCGAGTACGAGGCCATTTTGGCGGGAATGACCGCCGCCCACGATCTGGGCACGAGAACAATAAGGGTACTCTACGACTCCTCGCTGGCAGTCAACCAACTGAACGGAGCCTTTGACGCAAAGGAAGACACCCTGGCGCATTACATGGAGCGTGTCAAGCTGCGAGCAGCCAACTTCGAGGCGGTAACCTACATGCAAATACCGAGAGAGGAAAACGTGCACGCTGACGCACTATCCAAGCTAGCAACCGCCACAGACTTAGAGACGATTCGTCTCGTGTCGGTACAAAAGGAAGAGGAGGAAATTCGCCAAGAAGTGGCGATTAATATCACCCAACTCACGAGCGATGAGGATTGGAGAGCCCCAATTGTGCGGTACCTACAAGAGGGTACGATACCGGAAGACGCTAAAGAGGCATGGACGTTAAGGCAAAAAGCGGCCCGATGCACACTCATTGAAGGAGAACTGTACCGACGGTCGTTTTAGGGTGTCTACCTGAAGTGCATCGGACAAGAGGAGGCGCGCGACATGGTGCGCGACATACATGAGGGGCTGCGCGCAATGCACGCCGGCCCGCGCAGCATGGAGCGCACCATTTTGCTTCATGGATACTACTGGCCGCGAATAAAAAAGGACACGAAGAAATTCGCGGACCAGTGTCACAAGTGCCAAGTCAACGCGTGCCAGCACCACCTCCCATCCACAGAGCTCCAAGCCAACCTGAGTCCGTGGCCTTTTGCGCAATGGGGAGTAGATCTCTTGGGCCCCTTCCCAACAGCTAAAAGGAAGCGCAAATACATTATAGTGGCCGTAGACTACTTCACCAAATGGATCAAAACTGAAGCACTAGCCTCGATAACGGCACAACAGGTGACGCGCTTCCTAAAGAACAACATCTTGTCGCGCTTCGGTGTCCCGAACGCGCTCATCTTTGACCATGGGAAGCAATTTGATTGCGCAGAAGTGATAGACTTCTGCGACCAGTTGGGAACCATCGCAAGGTTCGCATCGGTAGCTTATCCCCAGGCCAACGGCCAAGCGGAATCCGCCAACAAAGCAATCCTGCACGGTCTGCACACCCGCTTGAACGACGCCAAAGGTAACTGGACCGACGAACTCAATACTGTGCTATGGGCGCACCGCACCACATACAAAGTGGCAACGGGCGAAACTCCTTTCGCCCTTACATATGGCACAGACGCAGTAATTCCCATAGAGACAACGGCCCCGACTTATCGAATCACGAAGTACAGCGAAGAAACCAACGACGAAGCGCGTCTGCTGGAGCTGGAGTTGTCTCAAGAAAGGCGCGAGCTGGCAGCAATCAGGCTAGCCGCAATGAAAGAGCAGGTAGCCAAGTACCACAACGCGAAGCTCGTCCCACATAGGTTAATCCTCGGAGACCAAGTGCTGCGACGTAACTTCCGCCCCGACCCCAAGCACGGAAAGCTCGCCTCAGTGTGGGAAGGTCCATACCTAATCCGCGAAGTGGTCGGCGCCAAAACCTAAGAAAATATCATCGAGCAGCTTGAATATGTATTTTTCATGCTACTGCGCTTTGCCGCAAAGAAATGGGAAGAAGTCACTTCGCAAAGCAATAGTTCACCACTACTCGCGCCCATTCAGTTCGCAAAGAACAAAAACAATTAGCAATAGTCCAGCACTATTCGCGCCCATTCAGTTCGCAAGAACAAAAACAATTAGCAATAGTCCAGCACTATTCGCGCTCACTCGATTCAAAGGAACAAACAAACGCCATAAATAAGTACTCTTTGGATTCAATTAAGCGGGAGCAACCAAATGTCGCAACTACACTTGATAAAAAGAAAAAAGGAAAACAAGAACAAAAGCATCAGACTAAAAATGACCCAGCGCGACAACACTCAAGCACCAACAGTATCAGACTGAACATCCTCTCTGCTTTGCTTGCGGCGCAACAAGGGCTTAACATTCTCTTCCTCGTCGTCGTCAGCTTCCGCGCCTCCTCCGCTCGCGCCCCCTCCACTGGCGCCCTCAGCTTTCTCCCCTTCAGGACGCTCCTCCTCCTCCTCATCCTCATCCTCCTCCCCAGACTCAGAGTGAGATTCCAAGGGCTGCTTCTCGCCAATCCACACCTTGACGTGGTGAACCATCTCGCGAGTGTCCCAACGGATCCCCGGGTTCTCTGGCCGAACCTTCTTCCCGACCGCGATCACGGCCTTAGTCATGGCATCCGCCAAGATCTTCCCAAAGGAGGGGGAGGACTTGAACTGACGAACGGCCGCGACTTCGGCCGCGCGGACGGCTTCCTCTTTCGCGACTTGATGAAGGCGGACCAGGTCATCCTTCTCCTTTTGCAGCTCCTCGCGATCCTTCTTCAGCTTCTCGGCGTAGGAAGCCTCCAGCTGCTCGCGTATGGAGGCACGCTCCTCAGCCCGCACTTGCTCTTTGGCCGCCTCCACGTCGGCGGCCAACTTACCCTGAAGGACGCCGAGTTCCTCCATGGCCTCGTTGGCCTTATTGGTTGCCACATCGGCACGGCTATTCGCCCCAACAACCTTTCCCTCCAGTTGGACGATCTTCGCCTCGTCGTCCTTCATCTTTGCGCACTGCACAATGCGCTTCTTCTGGGCTCGGAAGGCCGCCAGCAAACCCTACGCGCGCGAACGCCCCAAGACTTTAGCAAAAGAATACATAGCAAAACCGATCACACGAAGACGAGCGATCAAAAATAACCTTACCGCAAAATGAATCTGCGCCAGGTCTTGCAGCGGATCGGACTTCTCCATCCGCGCAGGGATGCTCAGGTGGGGCCCCAGCGCGCAAAGCGCGGTGTTTGCTGCCACGCTGTTGCAAGCAGCGCCGGTATGAATCCGCACGTCGCGGAAGTAGTTGATGGCCGAAGCCATCTCGGGCAGCCGCTGTCGAGGCGTCGCACCAGAAGAACTCCCGGCCGTCGACTTCTCCGGACGCTGCGATGCATCAACGCGTGCGCCGGACGCGTTCCCATCCAAAATCACGAGCGGCAGCTGTTGACTCGCCCGTTCAGTCACCCGCTCCGCTGCCCGCTCAGCTTGAGCCACCTGCTCGGCCACCCGCGCCGGTGAGGCATCTACCCGAGCCACCTTGCGGGGATTCTCTGCCGCCGAAGGCTGCCCAGCTTCCTTCCTCTTGTTGCGCTCAGAAGGCGCAACTTCCTTCTTCTTTGAGCGCTCAGATGGCGCAACTTCCTTCTTCTTCTTCCTCTCGCCCCTTGATGCCCGCGGAGCCCTCGGCACCACATCATCAACAGACATCATGCTGACCAAGCTTGAAAAGTCAACACCTGCGCCAATAAATTGTAAGAGAACGGTTAATATAATCGAATGCATAAGGAAAGAGACGTAACTAACCATCAGCAAAAAGCTCCGCCAAACAAGCTTCGCGGACCCCGCCCAGGTACAAGTTGAACTTGTGGTCCAGGACCGCTTCATACTCAGCGTCGAGCCTGTCATACTTGCCCAGGTCGCGCTCGTAGCCTTTGATGCTACCCTTCTTCCACACAGTGGGTTCCTCCATAAACTCACTCGCCCATTCCCCCGGCGTGGGCTTAACATAGAAGAAGCGCTCGAACCAAGTCTTCTTCAGCTTTGGAGACCCGTACACAAAACCGTCGGGCCTATTGTCGCGCCGCCTGATGGAGAGACAGTCACTCCTCTTGGTTGGCTCTTTGATTTTGTACATCGCGCGAAACAAACCATAGGTCGGCGCGATGTTGAGCCTTTTGCACGCGAGTCGGAGGCAACTCGCGTGCATAATGACGGATGGGGAAAGACGACCCACAGAGCAATTGAGCCGCCTGTAGATTGCGCACAGCAGCAGGTCGATGGGAAACTTGAACCCCATCACCCAGTACTCGGTGTACACCCCGATCCACCCGGCGGGGCAGTTACCAACGGTGCTCCGCGTCGAGGGAATAGCATACTCCCAATGGGGGGGGGGGGGGGGGGCAGCCCCAATCCGCGCACGATCTCCGTTACTTCCCGCCTCCCGTAGATCGACATGTGATCGGGACCCCTGAGCAGACCATCTTGAGGTGCGGGCTGATCGCCCCACATTTCCGCCCAATCGAGTATAGTGTACGTCGCGCCCACACTAAGAAACCCTAGGCGGCTTATCGCCTCGGACACTCGCGCGACGCAATGCTGCTCTGGCGCCGCGTCAGACTCTTCGCGCGCATCACGACTCGCGCTCCCAGACGCACCCGCACGATCGCGCCTAATAATCAACACCCCACGGGCTCCGACGCCGGACGCCACGTTACCGGACACCGTCGCCTCCGCATCTAATGAGCCACGGCTGCCCAGTTCCGAATCGACGTCGTATGACGGCGTCGCCGGAACCCCACCACCACCATCACCGCCGTCGTCCCCATGCCCAGAATCGTCAAGATCCAACGAAGGATCAGAAGAAACATGTGAGGGGGAGGAGAGTTTACCTTCTTCGTCTTGTACGACCCCGATCTCGTTGATGTTAGCCATAGCAAACTCCGGAGTTTGACAACAACTGATTGAGAAGAAAGGTTGTAGAAGAAGGAGAGGACTCTCGAACACACCCGACGAAGAGAGAACAGAGACTAAAATCGAAAGAGACAAAATGGCAGAATAAAACCCAGGTCCCCTTATGTCAGCTATTTATAACCGAGGGAGGGAAGCTGAACAGTTAAAGTTACTTCGGGATACGCAACCGTTAGAGATTTTCGAAATTCAAAACGGCCGCCAAAACAAGACAACCACACAAGGACACGTGGACACCTAGCGTAGGAATAGGTAGTAGGTACTAGTCGATGACGCCACAAGTGCCGCGCATCGCCTGGGGGGCAGGACACACCCGTGAGAAAGAAAAAACAATCCATCCCCAACTTAAAAGTAACGCGCACCAACGAGAGAACATGATCTACGAGCGCAACTCAAGGTGACGCGCACAACAAGGGGGCATGACACACCAACTTCTCAAGGTAACGCGCGTCACTGGGGGCACGACGATGACGCAGAGACCGGACAGGACACGACTCGTCCAGATCACGCACACCTCGGTCAATGGCGCGGAAAGGACGGAATTGCGCGGATCCGAGTCAACCACGCGAAGATCAAACAGGAGGCATTCGCGGAATACCCCCTGATGGGGGGCAATTGTTGGGCATGTGACTCGGATCGCACCCCACGGCAGAAGCACTAAGGAGTCGCGCCAAGGTTAAGCGCGCGAGCCAAGCAGAAGCACTAAGGAGTCGCGCCAAGGTTAAGCGCGCGAGTCAAGCGCACGAGTCACGTCGGAATCAAGCGTGCGGGCAAAAGCCACCCCTGAAGAGGCGCGCGCAAACACTGAGCGATGACGCTTGGGACAGGCGTGGGCCCTTGTCGAGGAGTTGTAGAAGCGGCGCCGCGTCATCCAACGGGTAGTCACCATCATAGTCCTAGGTATAGTCCTGCTATGTCAGTAGTCACATCAGGGTCCTAAAAGTATGGTCTAAATCTCTGACATGTCAGTGGTCACATCATTGTGTCCACTTGTAACCCAACCACTCACCCACCAACATGTAGCCTATAAATATGGCATTTACTCCGGTGGGTGAGGGGAACGGATTTTTCAGACTCTATCTCTAAGATCATCAACTTCTCTCTCTAAGACGACTTCCATTTCCCACTCTTTTCGTAATCTCCGGAATCTATCTATAACAATCGTTCCTTCATTGCTTACTCCTCTTGACCCATTTTCACGAGACTCCCTTCTACACCCAGTTAGGCTCAAACACGATCGTTTGGCTTGGGTTTAAGGAAATCAATCTCCTATTCATGGGTTGTATACCCATACGTTTGGACTCAAGTGTCATTCTCAACCAAGAGGGAAAAGATAAAAAAATACTAAAGCGGATAAAACTCGCTCATGACCCCGAACTCTCAAACACTGCGTTCAACTCGCTTCGACCGGGTTGACCCAGTTTTAACAAATTCACAATTTACCCAACCTGTCAATTGCAAAAGCAGATAAAACTCGTTCTCGATACAAAACGCGTCAACGATGGGTCAGAGTTCAATTGTCATTCTCCACAAAAAGGAAAATGAGAAATTCAAAAAAAGAAAGCGTACAAAACTCGCTTTTGATCTAAAAATGGTCAACAACGTGTTCAACTCGCTTTGAACAATTTTTTAACAAATTAACACTTGGTCCAGGCTGCCAACCAAAAGAAGAAGAAAAAAGTAATTTATAAATGTTAATGTTTGTTTTCAAGTCGCTTTGACCGGATCAAATTAGGTTGGATACTCATGGATTTGGTTCAATTGTGATCATGATCAACAAAAAGGGGGAAAAACACTAAAGAGGATGAAACTCGATCCTGATACAAAACTCGTGGTAGCGGCCTTGGGAAACGATGGTGGGGAACAAGTTAGGATTCCGTCGACAGTATTTCGAGATGGGCTGCAAAATGGTGAGCAAAGGCGATGATTTGTACAAAAAGTCATAGACGGAAACCTAGCGAAGGGGTTGAAACTTCATCACTAAACATAAATGTTGTAGAATGGAGAGTGGGGTAAAAGAAGGGATTGAAACTTCATCACTTACACTTGAGTATGAGAGCCACTAATAAATAGTAACTCTCATGTCAAGCTTGTATATATTAATGTTGAACCAAAAATAGCTAGGTATATGATATGTACTGATAGTTGATACCCACACTTTGGAGTTATACATAAGAGTACATTGCAAATTAATTTTGTTTAGATGAAGGTGAAGACATTGCAAAAGGATTCTAAAAAAGAAACACATATATAAAACACAACTGGTGTCTTTATTAATTAAGCAAGCTAGCTGTTTATTCCGACTTCCTTTCCCTATGTGTGCACTAATCAACCATCGAAGAACTGTGTTTTATGTATCATCATCAACGCCATCTCAAGAATTTGCATAGCAAACTCTGGTCAAAGATCCATGGATGCCCATCGCCTTTCCATGGCTCCACAACTTCATCCATATTTCACATCTAGGAAATCCTGCAGGGGAGGAAACACACGAAACACATACCATTAAGTACAAATTAAACCAAAGTCATAATACAAATTTGTTCACACCATGTGCACAAATATAAGCGCGATCGCGATCGAATCGACTTACGTGTTGCAGTCGATCTTGGGATCGATAGGGACGGGGACACTGACTCCGCACAAGCCAGGGAGGGCCTTGGCGACGGCAGGGTCGACATGATAGGAGATTGCAGCAGGCTTGAAGCACTTGCAGAGCTGCTGACGAATCGCGGCGGTGTTGGCCTCGTCGTTCAGCAGCTTGACATTGGAGCAGCATTGGGCAGGCGGAGTTGTGACTTGCTTGGTGAGGAACGGCAGGCAGGGGAGCAGCTGAAGCAGAGCACCTGGGCATGTCACGGGGGCTTGAGCACTCACGGGACTGGTTGTCGCCATGATTAGCAATGCCAACATGAAAGCTACTGTAGCTGTGCTGTTCATGTTTCTGTTCACTGATGTGTTCATTGTGAAGAACAGAGAGACTGGATGATAGAATGCTTGTGTTTGAATGGTGGAATGCTTCTTGTTGTTGGTGGGTGATTTGCAGAGAGCTATGGCTGTTGGCTTTTTATAGTGACCAAAATGTGTTGATACAATTGTGGATTTGCTTTTCACAGATTATGAGAATGTTATCTGTAGAAGGGAAAGAATCTGGTCATGAGTTTGATTTCATTGCATTTAGGGGGGATGTGATTTCATATCCATGTATTGAGGATAATTTGGTGGATCTAATGCCAAAAATCTGATAATGAATTTTATGTATTCAGAGAAATCAATCTATAGAAATAGAAATGTGAATCCTGCATATATAAATATTAGATCCTCACCATTAAATTTAACCTAATACGTAAAATATTTTAGTATCATATTTATTGTGGGTAATGTATATAGGCAAGTCATTCATAGTACACTTTTATTTTCTGACCTAATGATGAGATGATCAAACTGAGAATAATACGATTGAGTATGTAACATAAATTCAAAATAAGAGAGTATGCACCTGTAAGAATCTCCACATTTACGGAAACTGATTATTGTTGTCAATGAAAATTGAATAATGGATTGTAGGGATTCACACACCAGTATAATTTGGCTAATTTATCTAGTACCATTAGGTGATTTCTAGCATATATGCCTTGGTTTATGGTATTCATTTAAATTTTGTCACGGGTATGCATTATCAAACTTTTTAGCAGATGCAAAATTTGTTTCTAATTTGGAATCGAAAGTTCTGTCATTGGTTAATATTGTTATTTCTAGCAAGATTCTAGTACCCATAATGTGATCTCTAGTATGGATTATCATACTTGATTTTATCAAGTGGTCGTATGTTCGAATTTCAACGACATTTAATATTAACAGTTGAACAAAACACAAGGTACAAGATACGATTGACCTGTGCAAACTTCAAGTCTGTGAGTTGGCTTTCGCTTGAGAGGTGTGTAAGAGAGTAGTATAAGCTTCATAAATAACATTCTCCCACAACTCTGAGTTATTGAGACTAGTTAGTTTATGACATAGACAATTTTTCACCATCCACCAAAACCTTAGAATGGGTGGATTTTAGCCAAAAAATCATCTAGTCCACTCATTTGCCATTTTTATATACTATGAATTTGCCAATATATAATTGTTTTCGTTGGTCGTTGGCTGCAAAGTTCGAATCTAAATTGTGGTAGATGTTTTCATCCCACATTACCGTTACATCAACTCCAACTTAATTAAGAGATTTTCTAGTATGAACTAGGCATTTTTTTATCTAGTTTTCTTTCATAAGGATTGGATATTGTTGTTGATATGATCCAATTTAGCCGCCTGTTGAAGCTCGAATCAAACGCCAAAGGATCGATCAACGTTGGAAGGAAAAACGGAAGAATTTGGCTAAGTGTTTGGATCATCTCATGGTGCTTACTTTACGGATTCATTTCTTACATGTTGGTTGATGGAATCACAGGAGAAGGGTGTGTAATTGAACTACATGTGTTTCTTTATACGTTTGAAGCATTGTCCAAGCAAGATCGATCGATTGAGGGTCGTTTTCAGGAGTCCCAAGTTGCTATGGTGAAACTGGAAGTTTGATTGTTTTTGGCTGTCTGGAACAGGGTTGGGACACCAACTTTGGAGGCTTAGTAAATGCAGCTGGGGCATCTTCGAAGGAAAAGGGGAGTTGGAACTTGTTCTACAAGTTCAGGAGAGCAAACGACTGAAGCTAGTTTGGATCAAACACTCCTGGAACCCCACGATTAAGGGCCTCAAAGTAGCTATGGATGCTGGATTAATTGCTTGCGCAGGAAGGCAGTTGCTTGGATGAGAAGCTGCTGAGTTTGTTTCCTTTTCAAGTTAGGATTTTGTTTCCTTGTTCAATTAGAGTTAGAACTTATTCTTCCATGTTTGTGTAGGATTAATTAACGTAGTCAATAGCTTATTTAAAGGGGGGTTTGAAGCCTCGTGTAAGGGAGATTATTATTGAATGAAAAGTTGTGACTTTGTCACCAAATTCTTGGGTGTTGGTCGAGTTCCAGCAGCAAGTTTGCTTCGTATCGGTTGAAACCCCATCAATCGTGGCCGAGCTTCGACTTAAACCAATCGAGCATCTTCCCAAGTGTGAAGTTGTACCTTTGATCCGTTTTATTTTCGTTTTAAGTTGATTACATTCAAGTTTCGTTGGGAGAGAGTTGAGCTGTGCACTTTGATCCCCTACAAGCACACACGTGCTCGTATTAGTTGTATGGATTAGTCAACTTGTCTTATAGATTAAGCATGGTGTTTAAACCTCTCTTCATGACTCTAAATTGTCAAATTATCGGAACATATGAAGTTAACAGATACTAGGCCGATTCGTGAAGTTTTTTAGGTGAGACCAGTCAGTACAATTTCGAACCTCAAAAGCGATCGTTTGGCTTGGGTTTAACATTATTCGAGCTAGGAAGTCAATCTCCTATTCATGTGTTAGTCAATAACAATGCATAAGTTAAACTTTAGATACTCAACTCTTCGTTGAGAAATATTGAATGTTAGTTAAGTTGATCGTAACAAATACCATGAATAATGAAATTATTCTTGATATTTTGACCGATGCCAACAAGATAAAAATAAAACCTGTATAAAAACATATTTCTTATGCAAAAGCCCACTCGCTATCCTTTCACGTATTACAAAAAGAAATATTTTAAAGAGTAATAATTTTAATGTTGATCCAAAAGTGAAAGTAATCTTATTTCATAGGTTTGTTATTTACAATAACATATGGTCGATGAACTTGCATAAGGTAGAGGGGTTGTCAAATAGATTATTTATGTTTAAACTTCTTCATGATGTTGATGTTTCAATTTGTATGGTTTTTTTTTCTTGGGTTTGAGGTAATCGTAGTTCTCCTTTATGAAATTTTGGACTGATTGCAGGTTTGAATAGGTTCAACTCGCATTGATTGGGTCAAATTAGGTTGGATACCCATGGATTTGGGTTTAATTGTCTTTCTCAAACAAAAGAAAAAAGCGAAATGAAAACCACTAAAGCTAAAACTCGCTACCGACTCAAAACTCGTCAACACCAGGTTCAACTCGCTTTGACCCGGTTGGACCGAGTTTTGGACAAATTCACACCAGACACAACACGCCAATTACAAAAACAAATAAAATAAAATCGGCTTCAAGTCGCTTTGGTCGGGTCGAATTAGGTTGTATACCCATATGTTTGGACTCAAGTGTCATTCTCAAACAAAAGGAAAAAGATAAAAAAAAATACTAAAGCGGATAAAACTCGCTCATGACCCCGAACTCTCAAACACTGCGTTCAACTCGCTTTGACAGGGTTGACCCAGTTTTAACAAATTCACAATTTACCCAACCTGTCAATTGCAAAAGCAGACAAAACTCGTTCTCGATACAAAACGCGTCAACGATGGGTCAGAGTTCAATTGTCACTCTCCACGAAAAGGAAAATGAGAAATAAAACAATAAAGCGTACAAAATTCGCTTTCGATCTAAAACTGGTCAACAACGTGTTCAACTCGCTTTGAACAATTTTTTAACAAATTAACACTTGGTCCAGGCTGCCAACCAAAAGAAGAAGAAAAAAGCAATTTATAAATGTTAATGTTTGTTTTCAAGTCGCTTTGACTGGATCAAATTAGGTCTCATGGATTTGGTTTAATTGTGATCATGATCAACAAAAAGGAAAAAAAGAAAGAAAAAACACTAAAGAGGATGAAACTCGATCCTAAAACAAAACTCGTGGTAGCGGACTTGGGAAACGATGGTGGGGATTGGGGAACAACTTAGGATTCCGCCGACAGTATTTCGAGATGGGCTGCAAAATGGTGAGTAAAGGCGATGATTTGTGCAAAAAGTCATAGACAGAAACCTAGCGAACAATAACTAAACACAAATGTTGTAGAATGGAGAGTGGGGTAAAAGAAGAGGTTGGAACTTCATCACTTGCACTTGAATGAGTATGAACACTAATGAATAGTAACTCTCATGTCAGGCTTGTATGTATTAATTAATGTTGAACCAAAAATAGCTAGGTATATGATATTAATGATAGTTGATACCCACACTTTGGAGTTATACATCGAGTACATTGCAAATTAAATTTTGTCTAGATGAAGGTGAAGACATTGCAAAACGATTGTAAAAAAGAAACACATAATATAAAACACAACTTTGTGTCTTTATTAATTAAGCAAGCTATCTATTTATTCCGACTTCCTTTCCCTGCGTATCCACTAATCAACCATCGAAGAACTGTGTTTTATGTATCATCATCAACGCCATCTCAAGAATTTGCATAGCAAACTCTGGTCCAAGATCCATGGATGCCCATCGCCTTTCCATGGCTCCGCAACTTCATCCATTTTTCACATCTAGGAAATCCTGTAGGGGAGGAAACACACAAAACACATACCATTAAGTACAAATTAAACCAAATTCATAATACAAATTTTGTTCAGTCATGTGCACAAATATAAGCGCGATCGCGATCGAATCGACTTACGTGTTGCAGTCGATCTTGGGATCGATAGGGACGGGGACACTGACTCTGCACAAGCCAGGGAGGGCCTTGGCGACTGCAGGATCGACATGATAGGAGATTGCAGCAGGCTTGAAGCACTTGCAGAGCTGCTGACGAATCGCGGCGGTGTTGGCCTCGTCGTTCATCAGCTTGACATTGGAGCAGCATTGTGCAGGTGGAGTGGTAACTTGCTTGGTGAGGAATGGAAGGCAGGGGAGCAGCTGAAGCAGGGCGCCAGGGCATGTCACGGCAGCTTGAGCACTCACAGTGCTGGTTGTGGACGACGCCATGATCAGCAGTGCCAACATGAAAGCTACTGTGGCTGTGACATTCATGTTTTTCACTGATGTGTTCATTGTGAAGAACAGAGGGACTGGATGAGGGAATACTTGTGTTTGAATGGCGGAATGGTTCTTCCTGTTGGTGGGTGATTTGCAGAGAGCTATGGTTGGTGGCTTTTTATAGGGACCAAAATGTGTTGGACAATTACGGATTTGCTTTTCACATATTGTGAGAATGTTAACTATCTATACATAGAAGGGAAAGAATCTGGTCATGAGTTTGATTTCATTGCATTTAGGGAGATATGTGATTTCATCTCCATGTACTAATGATATTTTGGGGGATTTATTGTCAAACTTTTGCTATTAAATTTTATACATTCAGAGAAATCAATCTATAGAATTAGAAATGTGAATCCTACATATAATATAGATTAGATCCTCGATATTATATATTTGAAAGCAAGTTATTAAATATAACGCAAAAGATTTTATCCTATTTCATTTTGGGTGGGTGGTACATGTAGGCAAGTGATCCATGGTATACTATACTTTTATTTTCTGACCTAATGACGAGATTATCAAAATGACAATATACGATTGAGTACGTGACATAAATTTAAAATCGAGTATATACGGTATATTATCTCCACTTTTACGAAAACCAGTTATCATTATTAGCTTTCGTCGATGAAAATTGATTAGGAGGGATTCACCCACCAGTACCAGAATTTGGCTAAATTATCTGATATTCATTAGGTGATTTCTAGCATATTTTCCTTGGTTTATGGTATTCGTTTGAAATTTTATCAAGGCTATGCATTATCACATTTTTTTAGCAGATGCTAATTTGTTTCTAATTTGGAATAGAAAGTTCTGCCATTATTGGTTAATATTGTTATTTAATAGTGTTGTGGATTCTCAAGATTATAGTACCCATTAGGTAATCACTAGTATGGATTACAGATCATCATATCTGGTTTGACCAAATGGTCGTGAGTTCGAATCTCCACGATCCAATGTTAACAGTTGATTAAAACACAAAGTATTGTTCACTTGTACAAAATTCAAGCCCGTTAGTTGGCTTTCGTTTGATAGGGTATGTAAAATAGTATAAGATTCATAAATAATATTCTCTCTCAACTGGAGTTATTGAGACTAGTTAGTTTATGATAGGACATTTTTCACCATCCACCAAAACCTGGAATGGGTGGATTTTAGCATCTAGTCGAGTCATTGCCCATCTTTAAATACTATGAATTTGCCAATACATAATTTTTTTGTTGGTTGTTGGTTACAAAGATCGAATCTAAACTGTGGTAGATGGTCTCATCCCCATATTATCGCTACGTCAAGTCGTCAACCCCAATTTGGTTAAGAGATTTTGTATTAACTAGGCATTTTTTGTATCTAATTTTCATTCAGGGATCGGATATTGTGTATGGATTAGTCAACTTTTCTTATAGATTAAGCATGGTGCTTAAACCTCTATTCATGACTCTAAATTGTCAAATTATTGGAACATGTGAAGTTTATATATACCGGGCGGTCCTTAAAGTTTTTTAGGTCAGACCGGTCAATGCAATTTCGAACCTCAAAAGCGATCGTTTGGATTGGTTTTAACATAATTCGAGCTAGGAAATCAATCTCATATTCATGTGTTAGTCAATTACAATACATAAGTTAAACTTAAGATACTTAAATCTTCGTCGAGAAATATTGAATGTCAGCTAAATGTCAGCTAAATCGTAACAAATACCATACACAACTTATCAATTATTCTTGATGTTTTGACATATGCCAACGAGAAAAAAATATAAATATGCATGAAAACAAATTTTCTTATATATGTTGCACCAAAAAAAGCTAGATATATGATATATTGATACCCACACTTAGGAGTTATATTCGAAGTACATTGCAAATTAATTTGTTTAGTTGAAGCCTGAAGGTGAAGACATTGCAAAACGATTCTAAAAATGAAACACATATATAGAACACAACTTCTGTCTTTATTAACTAAGCAAGCTAGCTGTTTATTCCGACTTCCTTTCCCTGTGTGTGCAGTAATCAACCATCGAAGAACTGTGTTTTATGTATCATCATCAACACCATTTCATTAATTTGTATAGCAAACTCTGGTCCAAGATCCATGGATGCCCATCGCCTTCCATGGCTCCACAACTTCATCCGTATCTCACATCTAGGAAATCCTGCAGGGGGGAAACACACAAACACATACCATTAAGTCCAAACCAAGTTAACTATACATATTTGTTCAGACCATTATAAACAAATATAAGCGCGATCGCGATTATATTACGTGTTGCAGTCGATCTTCGGATCGATAGGGACAGGGACATTGACGCGGCACAAGCCAGGGAGAGCCTTGGCGACGGCAGGATCGACCTTGTAGGTGATGGCAGCAGGCTTGAAGCACTTGCAGAGCTGCTGACGGATGGCAGCGGTGTTCGCCTCGTCGTTCAGCAGCTTAACATTCGAGCAGCATTGGGCAGGCGGGGATGCGACTTGCTTGGTGAGGAATGGCAGGCAGGGCAGCAGCTGAAGCAGGGCGCCTGGACATGTCACGGCGGCTAGCTGCGCATTCACCAGTGTAGTTGTTGACGATGAGCCCATGGCTATCAATGCCACCATGAAAACGGTCGCTATGGCATTCATTGATGTTTTCATTCTGATATAACCCACAAACTGATGAACACAAATGCTTCTGTTTGAGAGTTTGCAGTAATTTGCTGGTGTGGTGAGTGCTTTGTGGGTATGAGATGGGGAAAAGGGTTGTGTTTGTTTGCTTTTTATAGGGACCAAAATGTGTTGGACAATTACAGATTTGTTTTCTCAGGTTACGAGAATATATTATCTAGAGAAGGAAAAGAATCTGGTTTATGAGTGGGGATTCAAGCATTATTTAGGGGCTATCAGATCTCATATCCTTATATTCCTTATAATGATATTTGTTTTTGGTGTATTTAACCTCAGGGTTTTTGTTAATAAATTCAAATATACCCGAAGGGGAAAACATATTCTTGATTCTTTTCTTTATGGGGATGGATTAATGGTCTTTAATATAAAATCCACGTCTGAATTTTTCAAATAAGGAACTAAATTTTTATTAAAGCTATGTTTGCATACAATTAAATTGGCTGATTTGATATCAAGGTATTTGAAATACGTTTATATTAGTTTGCTTTGGTTGAGATAATAACTCATACAAAAGAATATATTATCTTCCTTGGAAAAAATTCTCAAGTTTGTAGTTTCAGCTTCAACTATTCAGAAAGGGAAACAAAATCAGAAAACTCCATAATACATCTCTTCTACAAAGAACTGCAACAGCAGACATTATATAGGAGTAGTAACTACTCTTCAGCTAGGGCAAGCCAAGATCGACTTAAGGCCATACCTCTCTTCATGTGCCCCAAGCCCCCAACCGGTCCCCTTTTCTTGAAGCATCCTTGTAAGAACTTGAGGCTGCTAAGCTTTCTTCTTGTTGTAGAAATGACAGTTTAGGATGCTCATTTACAAGTTCATATGACATTTGAGGTGCATTTGAGCATTGACGAGGCCGGTAAGAAAAGATAGACGACCTTTCAGAATCATTTGCTTGTCAAGAAAGCAAGCCGCAGCACCACCTTCTTGCCCTGTCTCCATCAATTAGATTGTCCGGGTTTGGTAAATGGTATAGGCCAACAGAAGTGGAATGGCAAGGGCATACACTGGGAAATGGATCAATGGATTCATCTCAAAAGCTTTCATGAGAGACCTGCAACTCTATTATGACAAGAACAAACAAGAAAACTAACTTATCACCATGCATTCCTAAATAGTCAATCGATTCTGAACAAAACATGGAATTGAAAGGTTTTCATTTCAACGGGCTAATATGTCATGAATAATGGGGAGCATGCTCTGAAAATCATATGCTATGAACATGCGAACATGTGTATTTTCTGAAGACACAAACCAAAGCCTACTGTTGTAGAAGGGTTGCTCATGGATGCATGCAGTCCACGCCGAATTCTTTACTTTTATCTTTTAATGAATGATAAGTATGGCCTCTTACACCATGGCTGACAAATATCTTCCAGCGAATAGACAAGGTCTCTTTGTTATCCTATATATTTCTGTTGAACTTCTACCTAGATTTTTTATAATGTGAACTTTTACCAAGATTACAGGTGAAGAATCAATGAGAGATGGCATAAAAAGGCTACAGGTGAATTGACTGACAAAACAAAAGGATGTTCCTCGATTTCCCTCCAATTGGCAGTTTTATCAAAACATTAGGGAGGGAAAAAGTTCATGAACCCCCAAATCCCCACTTATTCTAGACTTTATGACCAGTTAAACAAAAACAAAACTCATCCAGTTTCACCTCAATAGGCTAGCTCCAAGAGAAGGGTGACTAATTTACCTTAAAATGCTTCCAGTAAATTGCTAAGGCAACCACCAAGAGAACCTTTCGGATCCACCTTCGTCCATACCATTTTGATGTTCTGATTTTCTGACTGCAATCATCGTCTTCTTTCTTTCCTGACAGGGAAAGAACGTGTTCTCTGTAAATACTTCTTTCAGCCACGAATCCTCCTGTCACAAAAATCGTGGGCAAAATCACAAAGACAAGATGGGGAAGAACAAGCACCATCACATCTGGGACTCCAATATATTCATGCTTTCCCTGCTGATTAAAAGATTCCACAGCCCATCCCATATATGTCAAGTACACTCTCTTCTCATTGTGAACAAACACTTGCCCCAAAAACCAAGGGCATACTATGAGGTAGATGACATATCCCAAAATGCCAGACCATACAACTGGAAGCCTGCATAGTTCTAGCAAAACCCATAGTATCCCTCTAACGAACCCTTTTCCCGCAATGAAATATCTGTAAGTGTATTGTTTCCTTGAGAAAATGAGGAGAGCTTTCGGAATTAGAAGAGTGGACAGTATCAAAGACACAATTGACCACAGAATCGGGTAATATAGTTCAGACCATTGAAAACCCATTACATAAAATTCTTTCCATGTCCATGAGGTCTGAGCAGTTATGCCATCAATAGAAAATGCCCTCATTTCACTGACAGTTGATCTTTGCATTGCATCAATCGCTTCTATTTGCAGCCAATATCTGTCAGGAGATGGGTCTTCAAAGGCCCTATAATTCCATGGAGCAGCATAAAACTCAGCTCTGGATGATTCTCCAGAAATCTTTGTCATTTCCGTCTCCATGACCATATCAAAAGTTCCAGGTTTAGAATCATAAATCCTGACCACCACTGATAAAATTGGGGAAGCAGAAAAAACAAGAGCCCTAACCGTCTCAAAAGAGGAAGGAACCATATGTTGACACTCATACTTTCGACGTGATGAAGATGTTAACATGAACCGAGAGTCAAGTGGAAATGTGGGAATTACAATAGTTTTCCTAAGTCCAACCTTAAAGTCTAAATCAATGTATGAAACATGACCTCTATCAATAGCCACGATACGCATTGCTCTGCTCCTCCTCCAGTCACCCATCTCCCACTCCCAGAACTCATTGGGTGGTGTGGCTCCAAATGAACAATTAATTGAACTGTCTGAAGGCAAGTGGTGCATATTGAACTGGACCAACTTCTGCAAGGACCGAATGTTATCACTTACTTGGTGATGTCTTTTCAAATTCTTACCAAACCTTGTATGAAGATGACCACATAGATAAGCAGACACGGAATGCTTGAGAAAAATATCTTCCAGGCTTCTTTGAGACTGTGAGAGTGCAGAGAATGAAAGCGGGAAATGACCAAAGGGTATCTTGATAACTGGTTTGCCAGGTTGAGAATCCCATTGTGAAAGTTGCGAGTCTAGTTCAGCCAGTAATTCATCCGTTGGGTGCCCAAAGAGATTAGTCGGACCTCGTAAACCGATCGGCATTGTGGTATCCAGCCCAACAAATAGATGCTTGTACTTTGCAGTCTGCATAATACAAAAGAGCAGGAAAAATGGAAGCTTAGCATCCCCGTCATTGAGATGCATAAGACGGATTTCTTAGAAACTGCAGTTCAAACTCAGTATGAATTGTACTTCTAGACATATTCCCTAGTTTGCATAAATGCATATACACAAATCAAATAGTGAAGCCTGTTAGAGATTTCAGTAGATTAGAATTGCTTCCACTCAGGACTTGCATTAAAGTTAAGAAGAGGTTGCTCTTGTGATAAGCACATTTAGCTGAGGAAGAAACATTTGCATTATCGGAACATCTAAGAGCAAGAGGGTAATGGGGTTAGACTAATAGTAAATATAAAGACAAAAACTTTACATCTAAGTTCGACACCAAAGACTGTAATATATGAACTGAATTCTCCAAATGACTTCCCATGAAAAAAATTCTCCAAATGACCAGAAAGGGAGATAGCTTACCTCAAGCGTTACACTGTTGACCCTTCCTGTTCTCTTCAGCTGCCCATTAATGCTGTAGTTTGAAAAGAAATCGAATGACCCACCAACGACAGGCACTCCAAAACTATCGTGATTCCCTCTGAGATCATAGAAAATGTTCTTGTCAAGCCCACTCCTCTTCACAACATCTTCCATCGCAGACTTGTATTCAAGCCACTCAATCTCGTCCTGTTTCATTGTCAACAAGTCCTTGCTTTTTCCATCTGTGAAATGGGGAGAAAACAGGCACTTTGATGGGAGAGTTTTTCCAGTCACCATCAATTGGGGAAGAAGAGAAGAAAAGGGAAAGAGAAACTTATACCGGTGAGATCGCCGGTGATAAGGACGAGAGAAGGGTTGATCATTCTAAGAACAGGGCCGATGATGTTGATGAAATCAAGAGCCCTTTCAGGGTTGTGGACGCTGAAGTGAAGATCGGAGAGTTGAACCACCCACACGACTGACTCTGGACCTCTTCCTTCTTGCACATCTATAACTCTGCCCTGCCGTTGTTCCGCCGCCGAAGAAATCAGCTGCTCTGCGATGCCGGCGACTGAGGCCGGGATGATGACAATGGCGGCAGCAAACAAGCCAAGAAGAAACGTGCTGGCTGTCATCTTGTTTGATCGAATTGAGAATCTGGGAAACACCTCCTTTCTCCCAAACTGGCCAATCAATCCATTCCCTGCACTCGTTTTTTCAGTAGTATGAAGAAGAAGAACTCCTCCTGTATGAAATCAGCAAATGGTCACCAAATTTTATGTGTATTATAAATTTGATAACAATACTATTTTCTCTTAACCAAATGGTACCTCATTAATAGGTGAATGTCAATAGAGTTCTCTCCCTCACCCTAACTAACGTCTAGGGATAGCAAAAATATTCACACCAATGGATATCCGTCGAAATTACCTAGGGTAGGGTAATGAATTTCTTATCACGAGTTATTGTATGAGGTTAATGGCCCCATTTCACCATTATCGTTTCCCCATTTATTAGATTTGAATGAATCTATTATTGTTGGGTGATCAAAGACTAGCAGTCTAAACCCCTCTTTTCGTATGAGCCTCGTTTCTACATTGTAACTATGACAATGTCTAGCCATAGCATGGTTGTAATATTCTAACTCCTTTTATGATCAAAATATTGTATGTTTTGGATAAATATTTTATGTTTTAGATCTAGTCACACATGCATGTTTGACTTTTGAGTGCATCATTGTGATTTTCAATTTTTCAGAGAGGTCACCTGTTTTTGGGTTGTTTCATTTTGAGCATGTTTAACTTCAAAATTCGTACAAGAACTCATCCCTTACACCACAAAACGTGTATTGTCAGATAAGGTAGGATTGTTCCATATAGCTCATGGATCTCTCATGCCGTGCTTTTGTCGATATGGGATTTATCTGAGGTGTTACATTACACCCCCTCCTTAGGGAGTCAACATTCTCGCGAGGTTTGTCCCACCATCATTTTAAGAGGGATGTTGAGAAGCTCTGATGCCACTTGAAACATCCCAAGTGATCTTTTACTGCCCAAAATATTGTCCATTTTGGATCTAGTTCGAACCATTTTGCTTTTGGGTGCATCATGGTGATCATGGTAACTCCCCAAATGCATTGCTCCACCTTAAGCAAGTTTAATTTCAGAATCCTTACAAGAACTCATCCACTTCACTCCAAAATGTGTCTTGTCAATTAAGGTTGAGTTGTTTCTAAGAACTCATGGATCACTTTTGTGCTTTGTCGATGTGAAATTCGCTTAACCTAATAGAGTCATACTTTAGGTGTATGGTATGGAGTGATGGGATGTTGGATGTCATGTGCCTTAAGAAAATAGTTTAGCTTATCATATTTTTCGGCATAGATATTGTAACTATGAAATCCAATTTGGTTTCCAAGCAATGACTTGAATTAAGGAAAGATAATAGAAACAACATACTTGTTTCAAAGGAAACAACTAGATACATTTAGTCAAATGATCGAAAATAGTCAAACAATGATGTAAAGCATTGACATATGGGATAGGGGAAGAACCTGAAATTTCTAATTATATGAGTTATAATAGTAACATAGACAACGAATGATCAACGAAAGTAAAGTAGCGACTTTTGTCACAAGTCACAACAATATGACTGTCAAGTGGATGAAGGAAGGAGGGATAGCGAGCTATGTAGGAATGATAATGGGTCTAGAGCAGCCCACCCTAATCGATGCACAGGTCGGGTTAGGAATTGTCCCATTTAGAAACGAGTTAGGTCAGACATGGCCCAAAAAGGGATGGGTTGGGCCAACCCATCGGGTCTGGTCAATATTGTCATCCCTAGAGTTATGCAATGAACCATCAAAGAGAGTAAGACATAGTCTTGCTACGATAATCATTCACTCACTAGAGAAGATGGATGGCTTACGAAATCAGTCTACACTCCATTTTCTTAAACCCAGCCTCCCACACAATTCTCAAACCTTGAAAAATACCTTGCAAGCTCTGCATGAATTATAGATCCACCACCCAGATGTACTGCAAAGGCTCGAACAAAGCGCCTTTCAACGGTCTATAGCACGCCTCCAGCAGTCATGCTGCGTTAGAAAAACTTATCAGACAGTATTCAAACCAAGCCACCCCCTTTGTGGAGTCTGCAATTAATCAACTCCATTCTGCGAGCCCCCGCATTCCCCATGGCCAACGCTTTCTCAAATGCCCACCCCGTCTTCTGGTGAAGAGCCTTAATCCGCTAAATTAACCGAGTAGTCGACGTCTGCTTGCCTTCAAATACGTGCAGATCCTGATTCTTTCATAAAGAACCGCAAAAAGGGAATAATAAGAGAACCATGATTGATTTGTACCTAGTTAGTTGGTTCAATATTTGGTTTCTCGGTTTAGAATAGTCTAAACAAAATATCGAATATTGACCAACACTCTTCCGCATTTTGACTCGAGAGTCATGCGTGTTTGGTTCAACAAACCAAATTGTCATCAATTCTGTCTAATCTTATTCGGGTTTTACCAAATTGAATGTTCACCCCTAACGCTCGCCCAAACACAATAAGAGTCATACATCTGGCAAACACTAGCAGCCATGTCAGCAATAAAAAAGAAAAACAAACCAAAATCATTAAAATAATTATAAAATACGACTGAAGATTTGGTGGACCCTTTTGACACACGAGGGTTTGATTCAGTCCAACATGAGCTCCCAGCCAATCAGAAAACTACATTGTGATAATTTGATAATGAATTAAAATTTCCCCCCTCCTCTCCCTCCCTCTCAGGTGCCGTACACCAGAAAATCCCAGTAATTAATTACTCCATTTTACCTACGTAAAAAAAAAAAAAATTACTGCAGCTTGTATACCCGTAGAAAAGGCTGGTGCTACCTGCCTGATGACTAGTGAGCTCTCCTCCTCCTCTTCTTCTTATCTCCGCTCGCCATCTCTGCGCCGGCGCCTCCTCGTTAGGGCTCATCCCTCTTTTCACTTTCTTTCTCCCACCGCCATTTCTGTTCCAGTCTAAAAGCTGTGATTTTTTCCACCTTCCTTGGCTATTTGAAAAAAAAAAGATAAAATGAAAAAAAAAATGGCAGCGCTGGTTTGGGTTTGGCGGTTTTGATCGCTCAACATTTTGCGCTCACTCCCAATCTCTCTCTCTCTAAGCTCCACCCCGCAGATATCTCGTGATATTTGACGATATGGGTCTTCCTTTACTCGATCTGGGGGAGATCTCCTACTCACATTATGCCTCTCCTTCTCTCTTATCTTCTTCCCGCAGCGCCCACCCAGTCCTCAAATGTAGAGTGACCTCCCTTTTTGGCTAGCTCCATTTTTGGATGCCGGATGTGGGTTTGTCTTTGTTTGTAATGGTTCATTTATTCTTTCCCCCAAAATTCTCTCTCGCTCTGTAATTTTTTCTTGCTATGGGTTGATCAAGGGGCCGCCGTCTCCAGCTCTGTTTCCGTTTTGATCGTCTCCATTTTTTCTGCATTCCTTTCGATTGCGGCTTGCTTTTTTAGTCTTTTAGCTCTCTGCAACTCAGAGTTCGGTTGAGTTCACCGGAGGGAGAAGAAAATCTCAGGCCGGACAGTTTTTCTCTCTCTTTTGTTGAAGGTAATTGGAGCGATTCTTCTCAATTCTCTCTCTCTCTCTCTCTCAAGTTCTGATCTTACTCTTACGTCTTGCTTTCAGCTCAGTTTGGAGTTCTGCTTTAGTTTTGGTGATGGAGTAAGGACTGCGCATTTCTCTCGTTTAACTTCCACCATTGATGTTCTGCATTGAGCTCTGAGTCTATTGAAAGAGATAGTCCGTAAATCTGTTGTTGCATGTGTGTGATGATTGCTCGATTACGCGCTTTCATGTGTGTTTTAGAGATTTTCTCGAGCCTTGAGCTCCGATTACCGCGTTTTTGCTCCGGAAATGGCTGCATTTTGAGTTTTGACTGTTTGTCGATTTGACAAGAATGCAGGTTTTCTGACTCGTTCACTGACTCAGTTCTCAGGCTTACATGATGACGAATGGTAGCGAGGAAAAGAGAAAGTGGAAGACTCGTGGAGAGTCGTCGGGGAATGAAGAAGGGAGTAGTGTGGGGAAATGTGATGCAGCCATTGGTCTAAAGAAGGGGCCATGGACTTCTGCAGAAGATGCAATCCTGATGGAGTATGTTACAACTCATGGAGAAGGCAACTGGAATGCAGTCCAGAAGCACTCTGGACTGTCGAGGTGTGGGAAAAGCTGCAGGCTACGTTGGGCAAATCATCTGAGGCCCGATTTGAAGAAAGGAGCGTTCTCTCCTGAGGAAGAGCGGCTTATTATTGAGCTGCATGCAAAGATGGGCAACAAGTGGGCTCGAATGGCTGCCGAGGTAGGTAGATCTTCTTCTCTCAAATGCTTGTAGTGCTGTGCTGTCATTGAAGTGTGGATGGGTTAATGGCATTACAGTTCCCTTATTGTTTTGTCATTCTGTTTCACACCTTACAATTATCTAGTAGTGTTGTTGAAGTAGAGTTATACTTCCCAATTTGGTTAGAGTTCAATCTTTGTTGTCTTCATTAACCATGATTGAGAAAGAGAGAGGGCATGTTGCATGACAAATAATGCAACAATCTTAGAACTGGAAATTCGCAATCCGGTGATGATATTGATCACTAGGCCTTACTGACGATCAGCATCAATCTTATCAGTAAGACACCACGAGTTGCCAAAGTGAAAACTTCTAGAACCGAACTCTGGCTATATCCTATATGATGTTCTGGAATATGTTCAAATTAGAAATGAATCTCAGGCTTCTCCTCCATTTTTTTATTTGGTTACTGTTCTTGTTCTTCCTGCCTTTTTCTGGAATCTGGGTTCCTGTTTGCTATAAGACTTATGTAACAAAGCAGTCTAAGGGACCTGATGCCATGGTCTCCACATGTCTGTCTAGAAACACCAGGGTAATTAATAGGTGTTTCATGTTGACATTGTGTTTGTTTCCTGTACTGCTGTACATATAAGACTGCATGTGCATATTTAATGGTTGAGCTAATAGATTTGTATTGTAGCATTCAGACATTATCATTCGACCATCATATTGTAGCTTTCGTTTTTATACTCACATGTGAGTAACCTATTTGTCCTCCTAACTTTTTTTCCTCCCCTTATGCTTAAGTTGACAATGGAGTGTATCCATAATTTCTCTCTAAAAGTTTAGCCACTTAACTTGTATTTTAAGTTAACGACTAACCTGAACATATGATGAAAACAACTGCCATAATGTGCTGTTTGTGTCTGCTGCCATATGGTAACTTATGAGCTTATTCATCTATAGTAGACTTTAAGTGTACCAGTGACTTTGTTATTCAAGGGACTTGTTATCTTCACATTCTTGGATGGATATGTGATATTTCTGCAAAGCTCATTGGATTTCTGGGAAAGCTTGTATGTACTGTTCCTCTATATGGACCTTAGCAAAATAAGTCATGTAATTGTTTGGTTTGCGGGCAATTTAGCTTATGCTATGAGCTAGGTCACTCTATCCTGCTGCAAAAGCATGTTGGTAATCTGGAGTAAATACTGATTCGGCGATTGACTTCAATAGCATGCTTTAGAATAATTTAACTTCTGCATTTCCTGAGGTTGGCATGTTGTCTTTCTTCTTCCACAGTTGCCTGGACGGACAGATAACGAGATAAAAAATTACTGGAACACAAGAATCAAAAGACTGCAACGTGCTGGACTTCCAATCTATCCTCCTGAGATATGCTTGAAAGTTCTTGAAGGAAATCATCAAGCTCAATGCATGGATCCAAATGGGACAAATGGTGGCGATCCAGTGCAGAAGGATCACAGAGAGATCCCAGAACTGGTCTTCAAAAATTTCAAGATCAATCGGGGAGTTCTCTCTTATCTGCCAAACCTTCTCGATGTTCCAGGAAGCAACATTATGAAACAAGATGGTTTTGGTTCAAGCAATAACTATGCCTTCATGCTCCCAACACTACCACCGCCAAAGCGACTCAGAACAGCAACAGAAGACTGCATTTTCCCTGCTGTAGTAGATACTGGTGGTGTCAGCAGTGGCCTTCCACCAAATTTCAGTCAGCTTACTACAGACTATGCTGCTAGTGAGAGGATCCCAGACCCATTTGGTTTATCCTCTCCATATGATCCTTCTGATGTCAATATTACTACTTATGAGGGGCAGCCCCCATTTGCTGCTCTTCCAGGCAGTCATGCCTTCTTAAATGACGACTCTTCTTCTTCTGAGCCCATATCCGGGGCGATGAAGTTGGAGCTCCCTTCACTCCAATATACAGATACTCATCAGCTGGACAGCTGGGGGGCGATGACCCCAACGGCTTCCCCTTTGCCTTCAGTTGAGTCTGTTGATACTAATACTTTTATTCAATCTCCTCCACCGACGACAGAGCAACCTGAGTCGCCGGGTTGCCTCTCGCCAAGAAGCAGCGGTCTCCTGGAAGCAGTACTCTACGAATCACTGACCCTCACAAACATGAACTGCTTAGGGAACAATCAGGCTTCCGTGGCTGCTTCTATGGAACATCACTTGCCTTTCGATTCCAGGAAGAGAGATTGGGGAATTCAAGCTGACCCTAACTCGCCATTGGGTCATTCTGCTGCATCAGTGTTCAGTGTGTGCACGCCCATGAGTGGAAGCTCGTCCGACGAACCAGGTAAAACCCCACCTCTATAGTTTTTACTTGCACAGATACATCATACTAATTAACTACATATTTTAATATATGCTCCACTTACAATGGAACATCAACTATTTACTATTACACATTGGATGTAGGGTGTGAAATGAAGCAGGAGATGGCGAGCCAAGTATCATCCCCGTATGGGGAAGAGAAGCAAGCTGCTGCTGCTGCTGCTGCAGACTGCATGCAAATAGATTTCAACAGGCCAGATGTGCTACTTGGCTCGGGCAGCTACTTCGGATTAAGCTATGGTGGTTGCGTCGAAAAGGGTGAACCACCTGCTACTGCTCAAACTGATGCGGCAGGGGGCGGCTGAAGCCTGAAGGTAGTAACAAGCAACATGAGCCAAGCAAGAGAACAGTAGCAAACCAGGGTGCAAACGGCGTGTGGATGGATTAAGAATAAGATCGTTTGTCTACCCGTGTTTGTTGGATACAATTTCGAGCTTTTAGTTGTTTAGTCAACTAGGAGTGTGTTTTGGTTTGGTTTCCATCTGTGAATACCGAATTGTTATTGTTCTATGAGCCATATGCATGTTATCTGGAAAACTTTCCATGGGGATGGATAGTCTTTTGCAGGATAGTGAGGTAGATGTTCCTGTCTCCAGTGGGATGGATGCTTTTGGCTGATGTCCCATTTTATCGTCATGTTTGGAAGAACAACTGTCCCTTTTGCTTTTGCTTTTTTTTTTTTTTTGTTTGTCTTTCAACTGGACTGGAACAAAACAAGGGTATCCTCTCCAAAAGGTCCCTGTCTGTTTACCCTTTATTATATCTACCTTCACTATCGTCTATCAGGGCAACCTTTCCACAAAGAACAGGACTTATATAGCAACCCAGGCGAAAAAGATTATCTTAAATTTTAATCCTCAAAATCAAACATATAGTATAGTTAATTTTAGTTACTGACTATGTCATCACTTGCGGGGATAGCTCAGTTGGGAGAGCGTCAGACTGAAGATCTGAAGGTCGCGTGTTCGATCCACGCTCACCGCATTTTTATCTCTGGTTTCCCTATTGAACGAACTTTTGCAGACTGCTTGGCGCCTTAGGCCCACAGAACTGACTATTTTCTTATCAGTCAAACGGACTTGCAGTTGGCTGGGCTTGCCCATTTCTTGTGGGCCGGGGACTTGCAAACTCAGTTGCTAGGATTTCTTTGACACTATTGTTAATCTGCTACTTTCTTTTGCGTTTTCTTCTCATCAATCATTGCTTCCTCATTGCAGTTTTCAAGCACTGGATCATGGAAGCCAAGATTATTGTGAAATACGGTCAGATTTATCATGATGATTGTTGAAGTTGCAATATCCACCAACTCATCACCATTGTCGTCATGAGTTATCGAACAAAACCATAAATAACTAATCATAAAGCCGCCCAACCATCACTGATCACACTAACATTACCCCGTAGTAGATTAGTAGTTGAACAATTATTTTATTCAAGTTGTTAATCCTAGAAGGCTTTACATGAAAGCTGGATATAACAAAGCCAATCATTTACATATAATAACTTGAACAATAAACGAAAAAGAAGGGGGAAAAAAAAGAGATATCCCTAATTATTGATACACTTCTGGTCCTGCCGCCACTTCTGGACCACATCCGACAGCGCCTTGCTCGAACAACCTTCCGGAGCCGCCGTCACAGCCCTCGCCGCCGCTTCCTTCAATTCCTTCATCCGATAACGCGCCTTCTTCCCTTCTTCCCCTTCCATCAACCTCCTCACCACGCCGGCGATCTCCTCCCTCCCAATCAACCCGTCCTCTCCCTTCCTCGGCCTCAACGCCACCTTGATGTCCTCCGCCAGCATCACCGCGTTCATCCTCTGCTCCGCGTACAGCGGCCACACGATCAGCGGGACCCCGTTCACCACGCTCTCGAGCGTCGAGTTCCACCCGCAGTGCGTCAGGAACCCTCCCGTGGACCCGTGGCTCAGCACCCGAGCCTGTGGGGCCCAGGACGGCACCACGAGCCCCCGGTCCCTGGTCCGGTCCAGGAACCCCTCGGGCAGGAACGGGAAAGGGTCGCTCTCGGACCGGACCGTGAAGAACGAGGCGTTCGCGGTTCGCTCGTCCGGGCTCCTGACCACCCACAGGAACCGCTGCCCGCTCGCCTCGAGCCCCGTGGCCAGCTCGGTGACCTGGTTGTACGAGAGGGTCCCGCCGCTCCCGAACGACACGAATAGGACCGAACCGTGAGGCTGGCGGTCTAGCCAGTCCAGGCATGAATCCGATTTGGTTTCGCTTCCGCCCACGTTGACCAGAGGTCCAACCGGATAGACCGGCGGTCGTTGAATCTTTTCTCGGAGAGATTTAATTGGCCCCGGCTCCAATTCGGGGAAGCTGTTCACCATAACACCCTCTGCCAAACGGTACCGTTTGGAGTGGTGGAGCAGCCACTTGTAGGCGTCGTTGCTCCGGTCCTGAACCGGGTCGAGAAGGTCGGAGCCCCGGATGGGTATGCATCCGGGTATTTGAACCGGCTCCTCTAGATCTGAATAAGGGGAAGTGACCGATTCGTCGAGCTTGGGGAGATGTAGGAACAGAGAGAGCGCCATGGCGGTGGAAGGGAAGAAGATGTACGGCGCGGCGCCGAATTCGACGGCGGCGTCGAAGGCGTCGGTGCCGAAGAGGTCGACGACGAGGGCGGAGAAGCGGCGGCTGGCGGAGGAGAGGGTAGAGCGGAGGGAAGGGAGGGAGCGGGCGACGGTGATGGAGATGATGGTCTCGATCTTGGCGTCCGGGGGGGCGTCGGAGAGGGAGGCGGGTGGGAGGAAGACGTAATCGACGGCGGGGGAGGGGAGGGAGTCGAGGACGGATTTCACGGCGGCGGGAGGAGGGCCGTCGGCGGAGGGGACGATGAAAGTGACGGAGAGGTTGTGGTTGTTGACGAGGCGCTTGGCTAGCTCGACGAGCGGGATGAGGTGGCCCATCCCCGGGCTGGGCAGAATTGCGATGCGTGGGGATTGAGTTTCCGCCATGGAAGAGATCTTGATTTTGGTTTAGAGAGGGAATTGGGATTTTTTGATCGGAGAGATGGAGGCGAGGGGGAGAGGCCAGAAAACGACGAAGGAGAAGAGCTGAGTTGTTAGTACACACTGGCGGGGAGCAATGGTGCTTATATTGCTTTCCTTGGTATTATTGATGAGTTATGGAAATATGATAAATGCTTTAATTTCGGCCATATGGATCTCATCAACTAAGAAAAATAAATAAAAACTATTTCATTATTTGCTTTGTAAAAACTAAAAAAACAATCTAGAAGATGCGTTTATTTGGGTTGTTGGCGGCCACTATGAAAGAAAAGTTTTTATTATTTATTGTCAACTATAAAAGAATAAATTGGACCTTTCAACTATGTGCGTTGGTGTGGTCATACGTCATACGTGGGTATTGTTGACGCACCCACATATCCACCGGTTTGGATTGCATGGTTGACGAATGACGAATGAGTTAGTGCAATTTGTTTATTTATCGTGGTGGTAAAATCGTATTCGTAGCTAAGATTATATTGGGTAAATTAATAATCGAAAATTTTATATTGATTAATAGAGTAATATGGTCACACTGTGTTATCGGGATAGATTATGGTGACAACCTCGCTGTGACAATCTACCTTTTTATCATATGTTTTTTATCCTTCTTTTTAAAATGGAAGGTCACGATTGCTCTGTGTAATTTTGGAAACAACAAATCTGGTGCATTTGATCACTTTCCTTTCATGTTTGACTTTCTCTCTTTCTTTCCCTAGTCGTCTCTCCCCTTCTCATATTCTCTCCCTGTCTTTCATACACCGGTAAAACTTCCGCCTATACCTCCTACTCTCTCCGTCTTCCCTCTGCCAACCAGTACCTCCACCTCTCCGTCGTATTCCTCACATCGAAGGCAACAACTTTCCTTTCTGTCAACGCATGCAACTCTCTCAAACGCCGATGACTTTCCATTCTACCAGCCACTCCATGTCTGCAAGATTTGGTGAGTTCTCTCTCCCATGTCTCTCTCTCTCTCTCTCTCCATACCATATCTGTTTTCAACTGATATTAGTTCACGTTGAACTGATATTGATTCATTTTTAACTGGTATTAGTTCGCGTTTAACTGGTATTGGTTCATTTAAACAGATATAGAGAAGAATCGAGAAGAAGTAACACAAAGATGTCAAAGATGGTCGGAGATCTACAAGAATGAGCGAGAGAAATTTTAATTAATATGTATTTAAAATTTACAAAAATATAATATATTTAAAATAATAATTACAAATATTTGTTTTTCATATCCAAGTTGTCCTTAGTTGTTAGGCCACCACTACTATACAGTATAAAGTGACCCCCATAACCTATCCTTTATTATTGATGAATTATGTAAACATCACAAATGATTCAATCTCGTCCTTAAGAATCTTAGCAAATCAATCAATGAAAAAAAGGATATCATCATATCAGAAAAGATAAAAATTTATTCATACATTTATTAAATCAAATGTTTTTATTTATTAATTTATGGTAAACTATAAATGAAAAGTGGATCGTTCACATTGTGCGTAGGAGTGGTCAAAGGTGGGTATAATTGACCTCCCATGGCTACATATCGACACGTTTAGACTAGTTAAGAGTTAAGCAGATGGGTTGACAAGTTTGTACGAGTTGTTTTTTCATGCAATGAGATATATAATGGATTAATGGTGATGTTATTTGGACTCAATTATAACATAAATATCACATACCACAATAATATATATTATTTGTTATGTAATAATTGTACGAAATATTACATTGAATGAGTTAGAAGCAGTCGTTTTAAACTTATCCTATTATCGCCTAAGCTTTTTTATCTTCAATATCACTGTTGTTTTAGTGTTAGACATAATTAAGGTAAATGGATAGAAATAAACCAGCAAAAGGAGAAGAAGGAAAGGCTAATTAATTAGGTAAGAGTGGAAAGTGGCAAAAGGTAGAGGGTAGTTTGGGATTTTTAAAAATTAAATTTGTTGTATTCTCACAATATCACTTGTCAAGTGTTGCAACTTTATTCTAACAAAATATTATATTTGACACCAAACAACACCTCCATATACTCAATCCAAACCACTCATAAATTCAATCATTATATGTTCCTCTGTTTCATGATGTTGAAATATGTTTCAAAAGTGCAATGAACACTTGGATGGAAAACACCATAAATTATGCGAATAATGTCTTTAAGTTCAAAAATCTGAGAGACTTGAAATATCTACCCACTCATATAAGGAGTTTCCTTTGTCGGGAGTGAGTTAAAATATAAATTGGAGGTCTGAGCATATTTCACAGAAGGTTATAAGCGTCCTTCTACTTTTACAATCTCATTTTATTGATTTCGTTGACGTTGAGGAATATAGGATTTCATTAGTAGGTTGGGCTTCTTTTATATTTTTCGGCAGAATCCTTTTCCTTTTTTAATTTAAGGCTATAGCATTTTACATTAACGTACTTAAATAATGGACAAGCAACATTCAACAACATAAGCTAATCAGTAGGAATTTGCTAATGCTATGGTCACTCTAAACTCTAGGTAAAATTTATATATATTTTTGCATCAGTAGAATGCACAAGGCCAAAGAAGACAGAAAACAAGAGGGAGCAGCGAAGGGTCAGATGGAGGTAGTAGAGGTATCGATCACAATATTTCTAGGATACGTGACCCCTCTTTGGTCATCCTGTAAGATGGGAAAAAGCTCTTGCGGGGGATCTCTAGTTCGTACATACTGTAGTGATAGACGAGACTGTGTTTCGAGAGTCAGTCCGCGACTCTATTCCCTTACCGGTATATGAACCAGATTCACCACCCACTCTAAAGAAATCTTCCTCCTGATAACCGAGAGGAGCGCTGCATACGCGTGCAGAGGATCACTCCTATTCTTCACTAGTTGGATGACCATTTGAGAGTCAGACTCGATGATGAGGGTTCTATAACCAAGCTTCCAACCCAAATTCAAACCATGATAAATAACCGAGAGTTCACATCAACACAAAAAAGCGACACCTATGTTAGACATGTCAAATTCATATCAAGTTAGTCGACTTGAATAATCACAAGGTCGATCATTCGATATCCCAAGAAAGCTTTATATGCCATATAAAATAATATGGTCACGAGCTTTTATTTTTATAGATATATTTATTTGAAACGATCAACCTGAAGTGGAATGTGATCGATAGTTATAATGCACAAAAAGTATACAACATATTATAACTAGATCAATCTGCCGATCAAAGTTTTTCATCAGACTAAATAATTTTTAGTTGGAGTTTGACATCCACAACCAAAAATATAAACATTTGTTTTGTTAACTCTTGCAAAAATTAAACATTTATTTTCAAATCCATTCAAATACATTTCAAAAGTTTAAGTAATTGATTAGAGGAAAGTTTGTCTCCGCATGTACTGAGAACCAAAATAGTATGTGTTGGGCCGCATAGTTGAGCGTACTTGGGCCTCGGGCCCAAGAGAGGCGAATCGGACTTCAAGGCCCAATAAGAAGGCCGGGCCCGAGCGGAAGACCGGTTCAGCGGGCAGTCCATGATCGACTGCGAACCCGAGGAATAGATAAGGACGCCTGACATAAAGCAACTGAGCATCGTAGAAGGGCAGGGAGCCGTTGAAGATGCGTATCTGGTGTCAGGCAAGACTGAGCATTTATTGCCAGCCACAGGCGGCCTGCAAAAAGGCTGAAAGCCTGCCCAGGATGCCTGACATTACCCAAAAAGCCTACACAGGGCGCCCGACCAGGTCTGGGGCGCCCGACACAGCATTTAATGCCCCAACCACCCTTTAACCAGGTATAAATAGAGGGTGAGTGCATTAATGGTAAGGCCAACTACTATTCATCTCTCTACATAAATTCTTATCTCTCCACTTCTCTCTCTAACTTAAGCTTCGGAAGGTGTCCCGGGCGAATCGCCCCGGACCGTTGTTTTGCAGAGTATCAGGAGTCCTTCTCGACATCTAAGAACAGGCGCCTCGCCCCAGCTCCACAAACCGCCTAGTAGATACTAGGCACAAACAGTATGAAAAAAGTTTCAAGAGGATAGTTTTTTTTTTTAAGTTCTTGCTTTCAATTATTTAGGAGAAGAAGAGTCTTTTAATGATGGAAGTAGTATATTTAGTTATGGAGATAATGACATTGTTGAGAAGAAAGAAGACGCAATTCATTGGGGAGATAAAAATGTATTAGCGAGTAAGAGTAAATCTTAAAAAAATATTCTTTACTTGAAACATGTAAATTGTAATATCTACTTTACTAAAATTATGTTTCATATTTGAAAAATATTTAGCATTAAATTTTCCTTTCAATGAAATTTAGGAGGAGAAGTAAGAGAATATTAAATTGTAGATATTGGTCATAGTCAAAATAGAAGTGTCATGAAGAGATGAAGGCGTTGTTGTTGTTGTGAATGAAGCAAGTTTTTAGGAGCGGATTCCCTTCCATAATTTTTTAACTTCCGGTACTTGCGTTAGTTGATGAATTGGTTAGCCAGTCACAAATATTTATGATCCATGCTCTTTTTTTTTTCAATAATAAATAATTGAACTCTTATATGGTAGTAGATAAAAATGTAATTTTCTTGAATAATTACTATTATTGTTTACATCATTGATATAATGTATCCGACCAACGGGCCGAGTCTTAATCTAGTTAAGCTAACAATGGAGGAGCTAGGTTGAAGTCAGAAGGACCCTCTCCTCCTTCCCTCCCCCAATTATCACGGTTTAAGTTAGTTCCCCCTCATCCGAATTCCTGACTCTGCCACTGTAAGTAAGTATTGATTTTGTTAGATCAGTTTGCCGAGCTCCCCCTCCTTGCTTTGTATCGACGTTTCCAGGTGACTAGCTAGCTTTGTGTCGTCGCCATCGTCTACCGGCCGACTCCGCCTGGCTCTCTTGTGTCAACTGACGTTGTCGACGGGCAATATCTCGCCCAGGGGCGGATACATGGAGGTTCAGGGGTGTCCCAGGACACCCCTAAAATTTGGAAAAACGATTATCCAACCTTCGGTAGTAGTTTGTGTATGGGTAAAAAAAAATTAGTGATAGTGGTGTGGAACACCCTTAAAATATGGAAAATGATTATTCAACCTCATATAGTATTCCGCATATGGGTACGAATAATATTTAAGTGATAGGTCTATGTGATTTGAACTTGGGAACACTCCTACTATTAGTAAATATAGTTTCAATTAGACTACAACTCATTTGTAGTTATGTTTTAGATCAAAATATAATAGTAAAAGGCTATTCTTATCCCCAATTATTTTCAAAACCTAACGATTAAACCCAATTACGGGTTACCCTTGTCTAGTAGGATATGTCACGAGAGATTTGTTGAGCAGTGTATACACCGAATGTATTTTACCATTCTTTCATAATACGGAACATGTTTGAACTTTTATAATAACTTTTACTAGTTGAATATTTTTATATTTAATAATTATTTGATTTAATTTTTAAATTAAATTTTTTTTTTTTAAGAGGACACCCCTATTTAAAATTCTTGAATCCGCTACGGCTCTCGCCATAGCCAACTACTCATGTCCGGGCTTCCAATTGACCATTTAATGGCAAAACTAGTGGACAATGGTTGCTACTCCTCCCATTTATTAATCTCGTGACCTTACTTCCCTCACCACCCACCATGATCCCAAATATTTAAGGCTATCTACTCATATCATATGGTGGAACTTTAATGACGCCTTCTGTAACAGCATGCAAGGATTGAGGTGAGGGGCCCGTTCAGTTTGGGTTGGTCCGATTGATTAATTTGCTTCACCTTGATTCAAGTTTCAATTTTCGTAGGCAAATCCAATTCGTAGTTTAATTACATGCACTCAAGAGTAGGGGTGCTACATTTTTTGACGGCTTAATTTTGAGTGGGTAAGATCTAAAGGTTGAGATTAAAAAATTCAAGTACATATTTCCTACTTTTTTTTAAGCGACTTATATCTCCTTTGGAATAACTTGAGTTTCAAAATTATGTCAACAAATGAAATGAACTTGTTGTTATAAAAAAATATATATAAATTTTTACTATATTTAGAGAAAATTCACACTACTCGTGTACTACCTTCGTTTTAGCTCAACTTTTGACAAATTAAACACAGAAGAAACGAGTTCAATCGTAGTCTATTGTGATTTATAATTTCCTTGTGTGTTGGGGGGGGGGGGGGGGGGGGGGTGGGGGGTTTCACGACTCATGACCAACACCCTGGTATAGGTGATAACTTGTGGTGACACTGATGAAATGTAGTAAACGGCAATTAGTATATTTCGTATACCATACCCACATGGTATAATCTTATGTACTATCGAACATTACCACCATAGTATACACTAGTAATATATGTCTCAATTATTTTGTTGTCATCTGAGTTTCTGTGCAAAAGATTTTGAATTATGACTTAAAACAAAAGAGACTTGAATTAAATTGAGAAAAATTAGTTGTTTTCCGTGAATGGTTGATGGGTGTTACTAGCTCAAGATAGGGTGCATAACCATGAGTTATGCACCCATCAATAACTAAATATGGACCATTCATTCAGAAAATTCAGATCTAGGGATGAGAAATTAAAGGTTATTTTTATTTTCCCTTGTTTTTTTAATCGGCTCATATCTTCTTCGTTTTAACTCGGATTTCAAATTTTTTTTCACAGATGGAACGAGTTCGTTGTGCTCTACAAAACGAGATCTATTTTTAATATTTTTTGAGAAAAAAAATTATTGCCTCTGGGTACCAACTGCGTAGCATATGGTATCTTCTTCGTTTTTAATTCGTTTTTTAAAACATCCACCATTAATATATTGTACACTTTTGTGTACTTTTGAGGGATTCAAATTTCCTGCTCTCCCCTTCATTTGCGATAAGGATAATTAGGTAATTAAACTAACTCTTTTTTGTTGCCGACTGCATCTCCCGTTTTCATTTTTCATAACTAACCTGCTAAACTTTAGCTCTTTTTCCTTTTCTTTATTTAGTCCCTCTAACCCACGTCACCACTAAAACATAAATCATCATATATTTTTTTGTACAATAACGATTTTTTATTTCATTTTTTAAGCAAATGTTTTTGTATTTATTCTTTTTTCTTTTTCAAATTATTTTACTTTTATATGTTTGGGCTTTAACTTTAGCCCACATGATTGTTTTGTTTAGCTTAATAGTTAATAGCTCTATCATAATACACTAATACTTACTAACTACAAGATCAACAATACATATATGGCTTTATAAAAAAAATGACACTTAACCAATATAAGACCGTTTTATATAGCATAAATATCGGGACATAAAATTTGGAATTTTCAAAGAGAATTACCTAAAAAATTCAAAGTATGAAATTTATATTGTGATACATTATAAGTATTTATTAAAGCATTGTAAACTATATAATTTAAGGTTCTTAAAGTACAAGGTATAACAACCCTGAAAGGTTGAAACATTGATAAAGTTTTGGTTCGGGTATAAATCAAATAGATGATAAATTTCGAGTTTAGACAATGCTTTGATAAACATATTTTCATAATGGTGACAATCTAATTTAGTTAGCCTTATAAAACTTCATGTATTATGATGTGCGTTCAAGCAAACCCTTAATGAAAACCCAGTTCGAAAATTGAATATTGACAATCTAGAGTTATTGAAGATACACTTATCATCATTTTGAGTAAAAGAATGAGATCGTTATCTTAGTTTGAGATTGAATTTAATTTTATTATCTTGAAATTAAAATCCCAAACTTAATTTTCATTTTGTTTGTTTTCACTAAATTATTGAATTGTTAAAATTATATGGAACAGAGTAAATCACACAAATGAGATCTATCCGGCCAATTGGCCGGGACCACAATCTAGTTTGCACAGAAGGAACGAGTTCATTATGATCTATTGGATCTACAAATTTTCGGGTGAACAAATTACAGGACCAAAAAATACCACACAATATCATAAAATACCACCCTGGTACGGGGTGGTATCTTGTGGTACACAATGTTATAATTCGTAAATGACAGTTAATATACTTCTACTATCATGTATTCAACTATCCTGCAGTCTTGCTTTGTTCATACCACCATAGTACGCTTTTCAAACCATAGGTATGCTCTTATTTCAATACTAGTCAATACCATATGGTATAGACTGGTAAAACATGACTCAATTTTTTTGTTCGAAAAATATATCAAAGTGGATATCATTTTGAAGAGCACAATTAATCTGATCTAACCGTGCAAAAAAATTAAATTTCGACTTAAAACGAGTGAGAAATCGTCCGTCAAAGATTAAGGAGGGGAAAATTAAAGGCTTTCCAGGAAAGTGAGGGATGCTGATGTCATGTTGATATGGACGAGTTTCTCATGGTTACTCACCATAAGGTTACTGACCTGATTCGTTCCCGGTGTTACTGATAGTTATGCATAGGTAAGTTATTGACAAGTTCCGGAGATTCCGGACCCTTGGTTTTCGAGTCACTGGTGGGTTAATTGCTTCTTAGCAACGAATGTATGAGTTTTTTTTTTTTTTGACATGACAAATTGTTATATTTTTTATACTTGGAATAAGGTTCAAGAAGGCGCTAGATATAAGGTGTGCATCAGGGACTCGGGGTCTTACCTACCATCTAGTTTGTTTAGGCGTCGGCTAAGCGTGTCTAAGCGCTGGAAATAGAAATAACAATTTATACTACATTACGAATGAAATAACAATTTATAACACTTTTCCCCTTTAGTTCAAATCACTAATAACTTACTTAACACTTAAAAAACAAGAAAAATGGCTCCCACGTTCATAGAATCCTACCCGAGTTCAATAACTCACCAAGTTCATATAATCATATAACTCAATAGCTCACAAAGTTTTTGAGATATTGAAAATATTGAGCTTGTAGATGATGTTAAATTCTCTCATCAATATTGACTGTCTAGGTTCATTTAATTATACTTAAGTGACATCAAGGTGTAGCTTAACCTGTTTGCGCATTCTTCACAGGGGCGGACACACCTATTGGAGAGGTGTGTCAACCGACACACCTTCGACAGAAACTCTTGTGAGAGACGTATGGTTTTTCGGTATAAAAAATACGAATACGTGACCTCCGACACACCTTCGATATTTGTAACCGACACACCTTCATTATATTACAAGAAATTCGTTGTCATAAAGTTATTAAAATATGTAAATATAGGAGATAATTAGTTGGTTGTACGAGAGTAAACAGTTAATTGACTACTTAGCATGCGGAGTATTCAGAGAGTAACAATCACCTTAAAGATTACATCAATAATTTTGAATGAGAATTAATTGATTAATAAATGAGTTCAATCAAGTAATTAGATGGTGAATTACATATTATCTTTTCCCATAGCTTCTTTCCATAGATTTTTCATGAGGTTAAATTTTCAATTTGGTTTTTGATTTAGTTATTGTTTTACATTAAATTATAGAAAATTAATTTGTTCCTTTCAATTCCTTAATTTTTATCATCGATAATATACTTATCTCTATTACTAGATAACTAATTTGCATAAACATTTTATCACATCACTTCTCGTTTTTGATTGGACAAAAATGAAAACTCCATCTTACTTACATTAATAAACCTATTTATCCTCTTACCTTTTTTAATCCACATTTCTACCTCTAATATTATGTTTATTGAGAGGCCAATATGCAAATAAAAAAGGTCTCTGCTCATAGTAGAGTGACCAATTTACGAATAATTGTTTAGTTGTGCACATAAAAAAGGGTTTAATTTGCAATATAAGTGACAAATATAATTAAGAACCTTTCATAATATGAAAAGTTGTCGTGTTTCGCTATAAAAATCAATGAAATTTTAAGAATAAATCTTATATATTTATTTTTAATTAATTAAAATTCTTTTAATTAGTTAAAAAATATTCCGCTATTTATATTTACCGACACACCTATCTAGTAGAGCACTTCTACTATGCTATATAGTATTGATGCTTTAATGTACAACTCAAAGTTGTACCATAACATTAAATGTATAAGTTTAGGTTGTACCATAAAGCAATTTGTATCACTATGTTACGGTACAACTTTACAACTTGAAGTTGTACCATCACATAAAGGTACAAGTTCAAATTGTACCGTAAAAGAATTTGCACAAAAAGTATAGGTACAATCTGAAGTTGTACCATAACGTAAATGTACAATTCTAAGTTGTACTATAAAGACAAAAACCTATAGCACCAATATTATATAGCATTGTAAAATTTCTCCTATCTAGTAATGCTAGGTCTGCCACTGATTCTTCGTACCTAACTCGCAGCAAAACCAATAAACGAGATGTTTTGGCATTGCCAAGCACTTTAAACTTGTATTTTTGACCATGCACCGTAGGGACTGCCATTGTGACTCACAATTCACTTGCATTCTTCTTTCAGTTGGGTTGGGTGGGTTGCTGAGTGGTGCAAGTTGAATTATGATTTACAAAAAGGAGTTAAGGTGGATGCGTCAAGTACTACTACAAAAAATACAAGACGATAGGACGAATTGGTTCTTACGTTTGAAGAGTTAACTCGAGATTAGAAGTTTAGCATGATGATGCGATGAGCTCGACAGGTCTGACTACAAGGCCTGCTGCATTAAGTACAAGCTTAAAATCACCGACTAATCCAGCCACCTAATGAACTACACAAAGAGATGCATTTGAGCTCAGGTAAATTGATAAAAGAAATGAGCAAGAGAGTGAACAAGCTAATGATCTATCGTTCCTGGAGCAGCATCCCTCGCCACATTACTGTATAGCACTTGCTCAACCAACCACCTTGCAACTGCTTCTACTAACTTTCCCAGTGCAATTGCTCATGCAGAAGCATTCAGAAACCTCAAACCAGGTGATTTCACAATATATGATATCTTACCGACGTCTGTCAAAGAGTCCCACAGCAAAAGCAACCAAAACTGGATTCAACGTTTTCATTCACCTTTCACCAAGCAAACAAGGGCACATAGTTTAAGCCCATATCTACGATTTCTCCCTCTCCCTCGTATCACTAAAAAGGAAAAAAAGACCACAATGCAGAAAAACCACAACTCCAACGACGGGGCAGAGAGAACTAGTCAGAAGGGGGGAGTACAACAAAAAAAAGAACTAACTTAAATTTTGTTGAAGGCAGCAATGTCGCAGCTCTGGATGTATTCATTGCGGGGCTCAACTGTGAGGTACTCGTCAATGAGTGTATCCACGGAGACTTCATCATCCACAATGGTCATCATGATCGAGAGCTTCTTGATTCCGTAACCGACTGCGACCAATTTTGCTGCAAACAGAAAGCAAGGAACCCATCAGACGCAAACTACACATTCATCCAAAGCACATAAATAAGAGCTGCACAAAATATTTATTTCAATAGTGCAAAACGTACATGCTCCCCAGAAGAGACCAGGCATCTCAATGCTCCTCACTGCCTCCTCCAACTTCTTCATGTCTGTCTCATCGTCCCAAGGCTTAACATCCAACAGAACAGATGACTTCCCACCTACAGCAAACCGACACAAGGTTTCAGAATTTTCAAAGATGCTTAGAATGCAAGGCGCCAAAAGGAGAGCAGAATGACATTACTACACATTTACACAAGCAGATGAATAAAGCTTACTCTCTTTCTTCTTGGTAGAAGACTTGGCCTTCTCCCTCTCCTCTGCTGCCTTCTTATCCTCTTCGGTCTCATCGCCAAAAAGATCCAAGTCATCATCATCATCTCCAGCAGCAGCAGGAGCAGCCTATAGATGGATTGCAAAGAGTTAGGTCTAAACAAGCTACTAACTTTAACAAAACAACAGCACACCTAGAAACAAACTCTAGCACTTAGGAGACCACGATTTAAACAAACTACTTAGTTTAAAGAACAGAGCACAGTAAACCATCACGTTGTATATAAATTCTATTCTTTTAACTAACTAAACCAAAGACTCAAGCATTCATTTGCTTCTCAAGTCCAAAAATGATCTGTTTTAGACAACATGGATCACAACTTCATTGATCAACCTATGACAGACAAGCTAAATAGAAATTCGAGTGAAAGTTATGACTTAACTGGCTATCTAAGAAGCTTAGACACACAGCAGGTAGGGTAGCTAACTACTAATAAATTAGAAGATCGGCTCTTCTAGTCTTAGAGGATATAATGTTTAGAGTGACCAACACATCACTTACTATTGGATCAGAAAAGAACTAAGATTAGAGCTAAAGTAGAGGCAATACATGAATCAGCAAAAGAGAACATGCCAACTTGCGACCACAAAGAGTGCAAATCAGTTCCGCAGTAAGACTTGAACAGAAAAACATACCTCTTTAGCAGGGGCGGCGGCGGCAGCGCCACCAACTCCAACACCAGCAGCCTTTCCAGGGAAGCTAGAAAACCCCAATTCACAAACCCAATCAGCCCAATAACTAATGCATAATGCTTTAAGAAATCGCTACACGATAACACCAAAAGATAAGAACTTGAGCTCGAAAATCGATCGAATTACCCACCTTGAAGCAAGCTTTGAAGATACAGAGCTGTACCACTTGCCGGCATTGGGGAAGGAAGCGCCGGGAACGCTCTGAACAGCAGCATAAACCTTCACATCATCCTTGGTGAACTTATCCCTGGACAAACAATGAACCAATTGAAATCAGTTGGCATGAATAAAACACTCGATCGAGGTTGTGCGGAACAAAGACGAGAATCAAGAGTAAAGTAACTAACCCGGAGATGTAGGATTTCCCGGCAAGGAAGGCTTCCAGGGCCTTAAGGCCAGCCTCGGTATGGAGATCTGAGAAGGTGACCGCCATGGATCCTGAAAAGCGACGGAAGCCTTTGAAGAAGAGATTTGGAAGGAAGAAAGATCTGAGTGAGTCGTTCAGCCGGAAAAAAAGAGGAGAAGTGAAGTTGCGAGTGGGAGAGATTATATATGCGGGGAAGCCAAAACCCTAATTTCGTAGTGCGCGGATATTCTTCTATTTCTTCGCAGAGATCCTCGCCGCTCCATTTTCCACTCGGAGTCGTAGAAATAAAGCACGAAACGGCAGGTCGTTTAAGTGAAATACTCAGTTTTCGGTCAATATATGGGAAAAGGAAAAAAAAACCAGTTTTACGTCTTTGATTAAAAAAAAAGGTTGATTTGTTGACACTTGGTAGGCAAAAGTGCAAAACAATAGTAACATGACACAGGAATTGTGATTTGATTTTCTTACATTACTCATTTTTAACTAGAAAAATTAGTGTTTACGGTAATTCAGGTGACAATAGATAGCGAATCATGTAAAGTCGACAAATAGGCTGATAAATGAAGAAAATAAAGCAAAATAAAATTAGTAATTCAGGTTGGAGGTCTTAATTTATGTTAAAATTTTTTCTTACCCTTTTATGGTTAAAATAGTGAACAAATTGACCAGTCAAACCGGGTAGTTCATGAGTAACAGTTAAAACTGTACGAACGTCCACCCCAATACATTTTGTTCATCTGTTTTATCATTGATAATAATACATTTGGATTCAACCCAATACTCAAATTGGTGATGACAATTAAATCGAATTATTTAATAGGTCAACTTATTGTCATTCCTAGCAACACGGCACATGAAGACAAGGCTCTAACTAGTAATTAGAGATGGAAAACCGAACAACAACATAATCACTAACTATGACCATATCGTAAATGGTTGGTGGTTAGTTGCGGTTAACTGCATTAGTAATCAAATATACCGACAAAGGCTTCTTCTTCCATTATCATATCCAAAGTAGTTCGGGTTTTACCCATACTCACACAAGAATCGAGTAGAAAATTGAAACTATTCTTATGCTGGTTCGAGTTTCTAGTATCCATGAATATCCATGGGTATGGATTTTTCGTCATAACTTATGCAAAGATATTAACAATTACACATATATTGGCAATACACGAGTTAAAATAAAATAATAAATTACTAGGAAAAAAGTTGGAAAGAATATAATTTAGTGAAAAGATTATATATGTGTAGTAAATATAAAAGATTATGAGAAAAATAAAGATAATTTATAGATAAATACATATGCATATGTATAATCGGGAGGATTCGGGTTGAATAATGAGAAAACTATATTCATCCATCATACCGTAATATTTGAATTCGAGTTTTACTAATACCTACCAAAAATGCCAAAGGTAACACAGACGAATTGGTTGGGAGTGTGGTCTTTCGGGTCTGAGATTTGTGAGATCTCAGATTCGAACCTCGCTACACCACTTGGTGTTTCCCACTGCCACGAAGTAGCACGTGGGGTTGAGATTCCTAAATAAAAAAATACCTACCAAAAATATCTCGAATTCAAATTTTATCCTACTCAATTAGGATGTGGATATTTTTCCCATTCCTATGGTACGTTGTGTTCACTTGGAGTTGGAGCAGTGGGCTTTACTGATGACTTGTTTTTAAAGGCTAATGGAGCCTCAGAGGGCTACGTTTAGTGGACTTGGGCCGCTGCTTGTGTTGTGTGGATTGAGAATATTAACACTATTGTAGTATTGTTATTGTTTTTTTTATAAGGGTGATATAAGTTTAGGGATTTTGCTACGGTGACATGCATGTCACCGTGACATGGACTTTTCGGTCGACCTAATCCAACATGCGGTCGACCGAATGGACTAATTCATGTATGTGGGGTTCCAAGACGCGGTCGACCTCTTACATAATACGGTCGACCGCTTTGGTGGTCTAACAGAATGAAAGGTCGACCCAAATATCTCATAGGCCGACCCTTGTGCACCTAACAGGTCGACCGCATTATGAAGAGGTCGACCGCCTTCACACCGTATCCGTATTGGATATGGATTCCAACACCAGAAAGGTTCCACAATTGGACAAGGAAACGAATTGGGTCGACCCATTGACGTCCTAAATCTCTATAAATACGAATATAAGTCCCCTTCAACGCCTCCAAGTTTGAATTAGGTTTTTTTCCGATTAAGAGCCTTTGTGAAGAAGATCGTTCGCGGTTGCTGTTGTACGCGTTGGAAGTGGTCGACCAGGTCTAAGGTGAGGTCGACCTAATGTACCATTCGTCGTCTTCTTTTCTAATGCGTGATTTCTACCGGCTAATTTGATATATTGTTGGGTGCAGAATTCCATTCGGTCGACCGTGACGTCAACCAGGTCGACCTGACGAGACAATTCTGCGTATTTGAATTTAGGCCACAACACTTAGATTTCTGTACTTGCGAGGTAACCAAATTGGTCGACCTAATGGGTTTCAAGGTCGACCGTTCCTGTTTTTTTGGTTATTCAACCTGAATGTCGACTTTGGCTTTGATTGTATGACTATGTTGTGCTTGAAAAGGTCGACCGCCCCAGATATCCGGTCGACCTATACTTTTTTCGGTTTAATTTTGAACTTAAGTTTTGTTGTTAATTGTTATTTTCCTGCTGGATAGGTCGATCTAGGAATAACAGAGGTCGACCTTAATGGTTGTGGTAGTCACTATGTCAGGTCGACCACGTATTTGTTTTTTGGTCAATTGTAGAAATTTGTAGTTGAATTATGATTTAAATTTTTCTTGAAATTGTTTAGACAATGACGCATGATGAGAAACTACATCAAGATTTGGGTGAAATCATGAAATTGTTGAAAGCCACACAAGAGAAGCTGGTGGTGTGTCAAACACAAGTCAATGACTTTCAGAAGTCCATGTGTGATAGAGTGGAGCAATTGTCAGTTCGACTGACAGATATGACTGGGATGATGCATGACGGGTTTGAGAGGCTAGAAGGTGCTATCAAAGATATAAGTGCAGAACGAATGGAGAATGGCGGAAGAAATGGTAAAGGAAAGAAATTTGACTTTGGTAAAGAGGAAGAAGACCATGATGACTCTGAAAATTGCTACCAGAGCATATACGATTTATTGAAAGAGCACATTTTAAAGGTATCCAAGTATATTCATATGTGATTGAAGATATTAGTATTACTATCATTAGTGCTAATTTGTTTTGTTTATATGTTTGACAGAGTGAAACAACGAATGGCAGCAAGGGTTCCTCTCCTAAGTACAACAGACCGCGATATGAAAGTGACTCCTACACCACTCCACAGAAGGATCAATTTGTAAGAAAAGGATTATTTAGTGATGATAGCGATGAAGAAGAATCTAAGAGTCCTTTCGAAAAGCACGGGGTAAGTTTACGTTACATATTCATCTATAATGTGTGTTTGTGTTCATATGTTACTTTAATTTTAACTATGATTTGTAGGTCATGAAAGTGGAGGGTCTAGAAGGATTCACCAAAAATCTTCAAAATCCAGTTGAAGACTTGTATTATGTTGTTACTAAAGAGAAGGCTGGGGACAAGAATTGGGACAAGTAAGACGTTTTTTAGTACGTGTGGTCGACCAGATCGGTTATGAGGTCGACCGCTTTTCCAATAAGGTCGACCGTGACTGTGAACAGGTCGACCTGTACGTTGCAAATCACAATTGACATTTCTGTTATTTTGATTTTTGCAGTTTGACCATTGTGGACTTTTTTTCTGAAAACGTGCAACGACATTATTTGAGTTCGGTCATTAGCGAGAATAGCTGGGTTTGCTCATCAGTAAGTACTATACTACTACGACTTTCGTATGAATTGTGCACTATTTATGTTACGATTTATGATGATTTTGTGTTTGATTGTTGGATGGTAGGTAGTGGATTTGTGTGCAAGGGCACTAACAATGTCTAAAAAACATGATGTGAAAGAGCCAAATGTGTGGTATTTGCCAAATATGTTTTCGGTAAGAGCCGTAATGTCAAATTATTTGTCACAACCTAGTTATTTATATTGTACCATGTCAATTCATCTCAACTAAAACATGGTGCAGAAAATGGTACGCGCTAACATGAAGACCAGACAAATTCGTAACAAGTTGATGAATGATGGCGTGGTCTTTATGTCAAATGTCAGTGCGTGCCAGAAGGTTAGTCTAGTCAATGTCCCTCTATCATTAAATTTCGAACGTGCATTTGTTTGTATTCGCTGTTTATAACATATAGTGAGTGTTTCGTTGTTAGATATTTATGCCAGTTCTTGACGATGAAGCACGTCATTGGTTTCTGTATCTCGTCAATGTCCAGCAAAAAACTGCATTTTTGCTTGACAGTCTACCTTCAACTAGTGAGGCGAATCGTAGGCGTAAATCAGCACTATGCAAGAAATTGGTAAGTGTTTCCTATAATTTTCTGACTGTTAAGCGTCACTTATTATGCTAGAAACTTAAAATATTCATTATTTGTGTGTAGTTGTCCAATTTGGATGATATTTTCAAATCGGAGCGCATGAGCAATGTAGGAGTACCAAATTTTGGAGATTTCAATTTTGATGAGCTACGAGTCCAACGGCAAAGGAATAGTACTGAGTGTGGTGTGCACGTCATGCAGTGGATGCGCTATGGATCCAAGGATCTTGATAGAGTGGTGAGTATATCGTCAAACAAATAACTTGTTTAATTTACACTTTTTTTAGTTGTAACGAAATCTTACATGACATAATGCAGATAGGAGAAGAACACAAATTACCGGCTCGAAAGGAGATTCTATGGTATCTGGCTACACATTTTGAAAACCTTGCACGAGAAAATCTTTTCAAGCATGTAGTAGATGAATGCATGGAACGAGGCAAAGAGAGACAGAGTTCAAACAAAAAAGCAAAGAAATGAAGTCGTTAAGTTACAATGTTGCATTATTTGGACCATACATTGAATTTGTATTTGCGAGATCGTTTCATTTTGGATTTTGAATGTTTATCGTTTATTAGATTTATTATACAATTATGGATGTGACTGAATTTACGATTTCAATCGTCTAGAACAAGTGGTCGACCACATACTCAAAGCGGGCATACCCAAAGGCAGAGCACAGGTCGACCTCGTGACGCTTAAGGTCGACCTATGATACCGTAGCAAAGTCAAAAACCATGTAGAACATGGATGGAATCTCGTCAGTTTGGCCTTAATAAAATACGGTCGACCATTCGTGTCAAGAGGTCGACCTGTTTCACATTTATAAACAATGGTCGACCATTTCAGTAAAGAGGTCGACCTGTTTCACATTTACCCAAGACGGTCGACCATTTGTGCAAAGAGGTCGACCTTAATGAATCATGTCCTTGTACAATTAGGATTTTGTGTACTTGTCCTTGTCGAATTATGATTTTATATATCTTTCACCAATTGGATAAGGAATTCGTCTACATTATCTATAAATAGATGGGAGTCTGAAGACTTTAATCGTACTTCGATTTATGCAATTTGTTGGAGTGAAGTTGTAATATCATCGCTCTTATTGTGATCGGGTGTTGGTGGCGGTTTATTTTTATTCCGGTAGACCGTAACAATAAGTGGTCGACCTATTTGCTAAGGTATGTCTCGTATGTGCTTGTTAATGCTTGTATGTGGTTGAATTTTTCCTACCATCCGGTCGACCACCTTCACCATCCGGTCGACCGTGCTTTTGTAATTATATGATTAGGTCTACCTTTCAGTAAATTCTGGTCGACCGCATGTTTGTTATTTAGTAATAAGGTCGACCGTACAGTTCATTCAGGTCGACCTGACGAGCGCTAATTGTGTATGTTTTTGACATTAAGTTCGTATTCCGATCGTTTCAGGATGGATAACAGAGATGATACAGATGATAGAGATGATGATGAGGTTAACTTCGATGAGGAACCTAAGGATGCTCAAGAAGGAGCTATGGATAATTCAGATGATACAGATAATACGGATGATGAAGTGGTTGGGGATGATAATGAAACCGAGGGTGCTGAAGAAGAATTTATGGATAATGAAGAAGCTACTGAATATGAACAACAAATTCCTTCCATGGAGTTCCAAACATTAGAAGATGCAGAGAAATTTTACGATTCCTATACTAAAGCGAAATGATTTAGCGTTCGACGTAGAGATCTTCGGAGGAATCGTCGAGGAGTAGCAATTGGGAGGACAATGGTATGTTCGAGAGAGGGGACTAGAGATAAGATGCATATAGATAAAGAAGGTCGGACTCTACAACATCGTAAGATGACAAGACATTATTGCAAGGCATCGTATACTGTATGCTTTGATCGGAATAAGAAAATGTGGGTTGTTTCTAAGTTTGAGAGGAAGCACTCACATCGTTGCTGCAATGAAGAAGAAACTCAATTCCTTCGGTCTCATCGAAATGTGAGTGAAGGAGACAAGGCTCTGGCGATAGGGATGCGCAGTCAGGAATAAAACAACGCAACATTGTTCAGTTCATGAAGAATAAAGTTGGAGGATATGAGAATCTGGGGTACACTCCAAAGGATTTGGACAATGCTGTTCAACAATCCTGAACAGTTGACGACGATCTAATAGGAGATGTTAACCGAACATTGGGTTACTTGCAAAGTAAACATACCTCTGATGCAGACAGCTTCTTCAAGTACACAACCAACGATGAAGGTGAATTAGGCAATCTCTTCTGGTCGGACTCCACATCTAGAGCAGATTACCATTTTTTTTTGGGATGTCTTGGCGTTCGATGCATGCTACAAGCGCAACAAGTACAATCGACCATTTGTTATGATGGTTGGTGTAAATCACCACCACCGTAACATCATATATGGTTTTGTCCAGTTGGATAACGAGACAATCCCCAACTATGTTTGGTTGTTGAATACTTTTCTGGAGTGTATGAACTCTAAGATGCCCACTTCAGTGATCACAGACGGAGACAAGTCTATGCGTGGTGCCATTGCTATGTTCTGGTTGGAGTGCCTCACCGTCTTTGTATTTGGCATATTGAGACAAATACGACAACGACCGTTCATAATAAGGAGTTCGTTAGCGCATTCACTTACTTGGCGAAAGCACAAATATCGATTGAGGAGTTTCAGAGGCGTTGGGAGCATTTGATTAGTCAGCATGGTTTGTCTGCAAATAAGTGGTTGCAGGATTTGTACGCTGACAAATTACTGTGGGCAGAGGCATACTTGAAGGATATTTATTTCGGTGGACTCCAATCAACCTCGCGATGTGAGTCATGTAACCATTGGATAAATGGGTATGTGGGAACTCAATACAGCTTGCAACGTTTTGTTCAGGGCATTGATGAAGCACTGGAAGGAATGCGTTTCACGGAGGTGCAGGATGATTATACTTCTAGGCACACGAGGTTGGTCTGCAAGCATGCCCTTCGCACTTGGGAAATGCAAGCTGAAAGTATCTACACTCATCGTACATTTGCTATCTTCAAGTATGAACTAGAGAATGAAGCTTCTTATGTATTAGCGGAGAGAAGAACTAAATCAGATGGGACAGAGACATTCATACTGAAGAACTACATGAACCCAGATCGGATAAGGCGGTTAACATTTACTACGTCCAATCAAGATCTAAAATGCGAGTGTGCATTATTTGAATCTAAGGGGTTTCCATGCAGACACATGCTTACAGTAATAAAAAATATGGGATACACCGCACTACCCTTGTCGTGGTTCAAGCTACGATGGACCCAAAATGCGAAGACACTAAATCGTCATCCTGGAGTTGGAGGTGATGTGGGAGAGAAAGTTGGTCAACTGATAAGACATGGAGGATTGGCTCTAAAGTGTAAGCGTTTATGCGACATCGCGTGTGGTAGTGAATCTGCTTTTAATCATGTCTCTAAGACGTTGGACGACCTAACTCAATGGGCAATTGAGTTCGCGAGGGAGAGAACGGACAACACCACACCGGCAAACCCTCCAGCACCCCTTCGAAGTGTGAAAGATCCAAAAATTGGGAAGACCAAGGGGACATTCAAGTCAGCACGAACTGCATCGGCAAAAGTTTAAGAAAGTGTTCGAAATGTGGGAAATATGGTCATTTTCGCCCTAAGTGCCCGAAACAAAGTCCCAAAAAATGATCTTAAATTTCTTCTATTGTTTTTTATGAGTTTATTTATATTTTAATAACTGTGATTGCATTGTAATTTCTTCGAATTATCTTAATAATTTATGAGTTAATTGATTGTTGGTTGAAATAAACAATAGCAATAAAACGGTCGACCTCATACAAATAACGGTCGACCTGAACATACACGGTCGACCGAACAAGTCAGTGAGGTCGACCGCGTATTTAATTCGGCCGACCAAACCGGTTTGTTTGCAACATCCACCCAAACCTCCCCCAATCCTCTATTTAAGGAACCCTCTCCCACTCATTCTACACCACAATCAGAACCCTATCCCACCACATCCACTCATTCTTCCTCTCCTTTCCCTTCTTCATCTTCTTCTCCATTTTCCAAAAACTCCATTTTCCAAAAACTCAAAGAAAGCTTCATCCTCATCACTTAGAAGAAGAATGACACGTCCCGTCTCTTTTCAAAAACCAAACCATAACTCAAACCAAAAACCGGTTACTCCGGAGCAACCAAACCACTTTTTAAATAAACAAACTGACATTATTTAAGAAGTTCAAACGAAAAGCCCTAACACTTGGGCAATCAAAATCCAAATACTTAAACAACTTAGCCCAGCATCTTGAACCTTGAATCTCCAGTACATATACTCATAATCATAAATTAACTTTCAAGTTTTAACTCTAACTCTTCACCCAGCTCCTTGACATCTCACTAGTACTGGCACGTCCGGTCACCTCATCTTACTTTTTCTCGGGATGCACTTCCGCTAACCCAACCTCAACCTGGTGAGTGAGAAGGGGTCAGTCTCGTCGTTACTTCCTAAGGTCTTGCTCTAAGAAATCTCCTTACTAAAACACGTTATTAGCGTTTCCTTTCCTTAGATGAAAGTCATTCTCACTTTCATCCTTCACAACTCATTTCAACTTTAACTCATAGAAGTTCTCAATTTTTAACCTTAAATCTTAGAAGTTCTCTACTACTACCTTAACTTATATACTTATTACTGGGAAATCACCGCGTTACGTATCGCCGTCCGGTGTCCCTATCCTCAAGGCAATGGTACTGCGTTACGTATCGCCGTTCAGTCCATGCCCGGTCAACTACTGCGTTACGTATCGCCGTCCAGTAGTGACCCGACCATCTACCGCGTCCAGTAGTGGCCCAACCGCCCGGGGGTCCAATTATCATCATCCATACATCATAAACACACACATACATAGCACAACGCGTGCCTCCACCCTTACAGGCGGTGGGATGCCTCACACACATAATCGCGCTTACTTGAAAATTAAATAACATAACTGAATTAAAAAGGCATAAACTGAAAGACCTCGACGGAGATTTTACCCCCTTTACACTCACCTCATATCCGTCGAAACCGACTCTGATTCTTATATAAAATTCTCATACTCGCCTCCAAAATAGTCTCCTTGCTTCCTCGATTCCATAGGCGTCGACGGTTGCTCGTTTGGACGTCAAAAGGACAAGGTATGGCCAAAATAAGAATTACGTCAGATTCTAAAATATCAGGTACCAAATCCTTAATTTTCCACGTCAACCCTTTGACCCTGAACCTTCTGTAAAATTTCTTATTCAATCCACCAATTTTTCGAATTACCAAGAATGGTACCTGAACTTGATAGATTTTATCCAAACTTTGGAGGCTCGATTCTCCTTCGTCCGATGTCAGAATTCGATTTTGTTGACATGGTGATGATCCTGGGATCGTCATCTTCACAACCATATCCACCCTTTTAATTACGATTGAAGTCATCAAAGTCAACAACGCCGGGGTGGTCGCCTATATCGTCGACGGAGAGGGATCCAAAAGCCGCTCCACTCCCTTTGTTCACGGTCGTCGTTGCTGGGTTCGCGCTCTTCTCAGCGTCGTCCCGTACCCGTCTCTCATCCTTGCTGCTGCCGCCAACTCCAATCACGTAAGAAGGGGGAGGTGGAGCTGTTGTCAGTTCGGTTTCGCCAGCGCTGTCTGCTCCGGCATTGTTGCGTCTGCCTAGCGAAGGAACGGGATGTAGGGGGGAAATGGGACACGCTCTTTTGCTACCTGGTTGCTTCGTTGGGGCTGGGAAATAAATAGACAACTGGAGATGATTCTTTCTTCCACTCTAAATTGCTTCTCTCGGTTACAGGGGAAATAAAAGGAAATGGAATGATAGTAACGGGTTTTGGGGTATTAATGGGCAAACGTTGGGGGCTTAATGGTGTAATGGGTTTTGGGATTTTTCTTTTATTGTTTAATTGTTTTTTTTTCTTTCTTTCATGGCTCATGGGAGATGAAACGTGTGGGATGGGGATGATGATGTATATTATAATAATAACAACAAAAGTTAATGCTATTATTATATTTCTAATTCACGGTTTCGAATCTTCGTACGTAGTCGTGGCTCTAACCGCCTTTGAACTTTTTGGTCGAACTCTGATCGAACTTATACCCGGATTTGGGGTGTTACAAAGAACAAGGTATAGCTTTCACTCCTCTCTTTCATTTGAGTCGATTCTTGTCTTCTTCTTTTTGTTTTCAAAAAATCTAAAGATGTAAAAGAGGGATTTTTCCTTCTGTTCGTCAGAAGCGGTCGACCTGTTCATCATCGTAGTCGATCGCAACTGGCTTTTAATCTATTTTATTTCTGTTTTATGGACCGAGGTCGACCTATGATGATATTGAGGTCGACCGGTGAAGTTCGAGTTGAGATTTCTGGCCTTATTATTTAGATCTGTAGCTTGAAAATATGGACTTTGTCCTTCTGTTCGCCAGATGCGGTCGACCTTTTCATAATCATGGTCGACCGCATCTGGCTTTAAATCGATTTTTATTTCTGTTTTATGGACTGAGGTCGACCTATGATGATATTGAGGTCGACCTATGATGATATTGAGGTCGACCTGTGAAGTTCGAGTTGAGATTTCTGGCCTTATTATTTAGATCTGTAGCTTGAAAATATGGACTTTGTCCTTCTGTTCGCCAGATGCGGTCGACCTTTTCATAATCATGGTCGACCGCATCTGGCCTTAAATCGATTTTTATTTCTGTTTTATGGACTGAGGTCGACCTATGATGATATTGAGGTCGACCTGTGAAGTTCGAGTTGAGATTTCTGGCCTTATTATTTAGATCTGTAGCTTGAAAATATGGACTTTGTCCTTCTGTTCGCCAGATGCGGTCGACCTTTTCATAATCATGGTCGACCGCATCTGGCTTTCAAGCGATCTTATTTCTGTTTTATTTGTGCGAAACTAACACTGGTTGACCGCTTCTATTTATGAGGTCGACCGAATCTGTTTTGCACTCAATTGATACGAGCATTTGGGCCATTTCTTTTGTTTTAATTTAGCCGAGGTTGACCTATGATGCTTCTGAGGTCGACCTATGAAGGCAAAAGTTCGAGTTGTGCTTTTGTCTTTGAATTATTTGTGCAAAACTAACACTGGTCGACCTCTTCTATTTATGAGGTCGACCGAATCTGTTTTGCACTCAATTGATACGAGCATTTGGGACATTTCTTTTGTTTTAATTTAGCCGATGTCGACCTATGATGCTTCTGAGGTCGACCTATGAAGGCAAAAGTTCGAGTTGTGCCTTTATCTTTGAATTATTTGTGCAAAACTAACACTGGTCGACCTCTTCTATTTATGAGGTCGACCGGATCTGTTTTGCACTCAATTGCTACGAGCATTTGGGCCATTTCTTTTCGTTTTAATTTAGCCGAGGTCGACCTGTGATGCTTCTGAGGTCGACCTATGAAGGCAAAAGTTCAAGTTGTGCCTTTGTCTTTGAATTATTTGTGCAAAACTAACACTAGTCGACCTCTTCTATTTATGAGGTCGACTGGATCTGTTTTGCACTCAATTGCTACGAGCATTTGGGCCATTTCTTTTCGTTCTAATTTAGCCGAGGTCGACCTATGATGCTTCTGAGGTCGACCTATGAAGGCAAAAGTTCGAGTTGTGCCTTTGTCTTTGAATTATTTGTGCAAAACTAACACTGGTCGACCTCTTCTATTTATGAGGTCGACCGGATCTGTTTTGCACTCAATTGCTACGAGCATTTGGGCCATTTCTTTTCGTTTTAATTTAGCCGAGGTCGACCTATGATGCTTCTGAGGTCGACCTATGAAGGCAAAAGTTCGATTTATTTGTGCTAAACTTATTGAGGTCGACCTGTGATGATATTGAGGTCGACGTCGACCTGTGATGATATTGAGGTCGACCTCGGGACATTTAAATCGATTGAAAGCCAATTGTGACTTTCAGAAGGAGTGCAGTGCAGGACATTAGGCCACCTTGCAATGCACTCGAAGACACAAACGTTTGTGTCTTCGAGTGCATAGCAAGGTGGTCTAATGTCCTGAACTGCACTCCTGCTGAAAGTCACAATTGCCTTTCAATCGATTTAAATTTTCCGAGGTCGACCTATGTTTTTTCTGAGGTCGACCTATGATTTTCAATCGATTTAAGTTTTGTACTTGAATTGTTACGGGTTTATGTCGACCCATTCTCATTTTAAATTAACTGAGGTCGACCTATGATTCTTCTGAGGTCGACCCATTCTCGTTTTATATTAACTAAGGTCGACCGCTTTATGGAGTGGTCGACCGCGTATTGTTCAATTCGAAAATGTGACTAACGTGTATTCTTGCTTGTTTAATGGCAGGATGTTTGGCAAAAATAAGAAAAGAAAGTCACAAAAAGCTGCTGCCTCAAGTTCGGAATGGGAAGAGTTCAATCCCAAACTGTTCCAGACCAAGGATCAAAGTGACAACTATGAAGAGAAGAGAATGCACAACCGCATGGTGGCTCCTGGAAGGCCATTGACGACGAATGCGTATTCTCATTTCGAGAATTACGGGTTTCTGGGACCCTTCATCGAGCAAGAGTGGCTGAAGGTGATATCTCTCAATGTACCATACTACCCAAAACTGGTACAGTACTTCTACAACAACATCGTCTACGAGCGCAATGCAAATGGATCCATTCACGCATTCAAATCCTATGTGAATGGGGTGGCGATGCGCATCAGCAAGAATGTGTTGGCACAAGTACTTGAGGCTCCAAACGAGGGGAAGAGAATCAATTCTTACGGTGCTTGGAATGAAACGCATTTCACGAGAGCCAAGCAAATCCAGACGGTATGTGGTCTTGATGAAGAGGAAGATGCTCAGGGGCGCAATAGGCCAACGAGTAACCACCTGACAGTTCAAGCCAGAGTTCTTCACCACATGCTTTCCTACAACATTCTGCCAAAGGGTGGACATCGGGAGACCGTCACCTACTTCGACATGGAGCTCCTCACCAACCTACTGTTAAGCGAGAAGGTGAACTTGCCATACTTGATCTTTAATCACATGCTTACTGCTGCAGAGAGTTCAAACAGGAATCTTCCCTACGGGATGATCCTCACTGTGCTATTTGAGCATTTTAATGTGAATTTAAGTGAAGAGGTGGGGTTAAGAATCTCAATGCAGGAGTTCTATACTGTTTCATCTCTGAAAAAGATGGGCTTTGAGCTGCGTAATGGTGAGTATGTCAGAGTAAACAATGCTCATGGTGGTGATGATGATGAGGGTGATGAAGGAGCTCGAGACGAGCCAATGGCGGAGGCACAGAGTTCAACTCCACCGATCACCTTACAGCATGTGTGGGAGCGCATGGATGGCATGTACGAGTACATGGGCCAGATGTCCACCCAGATGACTGGCATGCACGACTACATGGGGCAAATGACCGCCCAGATGAGCACAATGCAGGTGACCGTGAATGAGATGCGAGATGAGTGGCGATCTTTCAGCGGAAGATACATGCATCCCACCACATCCGACCACCATCATGCTAGCACCACCAATGAAGAAAATGTGGATGAGAGAGAGGGGGGAGATGAGTAGGAGAAATGAGTTTTTATATTGTGTGTTTTAGTGGTCAAAACGATTGTTGAGTGTTATTCTGTTGTTTTTTTAGTTTTATTTTTATGTGTGAACAATTATGATTTCTGTTTTATTTTTAGTTGTTATGCTATGAATTGATGAGTCCTTGTTATAACTATTTATGACTAATTATGATGGTTTGAAACATAATTTATACGATTAAAAGAACCACACAAATCGACATACATAAGCAAAAAAGACACGGGGCATAGGGTGACTTTCTTGTATTCGGTCGACCTCGTACCGGATTAGGTCGACCGCGAAACCAACACTTGATCTTGATTTTATGTCAAATAATTGGACACTTTGATAGAACACTTATCTTCTATCTGGTCGACCTCTTTCCTCATCCGGTCGACCATTTTGTTAATGACTGTCATCAAGTGGTCGACCTATATACCTTAGGTGGTCGACCATGTTGTTTCTGACGCCAACGAAATGGCCGACCCAGGTTTTATTCTGGTCGACCAAAAATAACAACTTAAACTAAGTGCGGTCGACCAGGTGGTCGTTGAGGTCGACCGCAATGCTTTCTCGTGCTGCCCAAATTAGTCGATTCGGTCGACCACCTTCAGCAATAGGTCGACCGAAAAGTGCATGTCACCGTGACATGCATGTCATAGTAGGCATACCCTAAGTTTAGCTAGTGGTATTATCAGTTTATCATTAGATCAAACACTTGTTTTGTAACTATTCATGGTTAGAGATGACAATGGGTCGAGTTTGGCTCCGCTGCTTGTGTTGTGTGGATTGAGAATATTAACACTATTGTTATTGTTTTTTTTATAAGGGTTATATAAGTTTAGCTATTGGTATTATCAGTTTATCATTAGATCAAACACTTGTTTGTAACTATTCATGGTTAGAGATGACAATGGGTCGGGTTTTGCCAAACCCCAACCTGCTGGGTATCTGCGGGTTCATGGGTACCCACGGGTTTTTGTCGTAAAAAATTTACAATAACAAGTTCCTATCAAAATTAAAGTCAAATATCAATCTCTCAATACAAATTATCCATATTTAAAACACCATTCTAGAAAATTCAAGCAAATCAAAAATTAACTATACAAATTGTTTAACACCAATCTAGAAAACTCAAGAAAATTGAAGCAAATCACAAATTATCCATAAATAACATGATTAATTGAAATCTTATTCCTTTCAATTAAGTTTCTTCACTCTCCACTAGATAACATCAACTTCATTCTACACAATTAGAAAGAAAAAATTAGACATGTCTCCACAAACATAAATAAGATTAGTTGTTTATAATATTAAATATACCGAGAAAATTAATTATATGGGTGTGGGCGGGTACCCATGGGCCGGGTTTACCTAAACCCAAACCCAACCCAACCCGATGAATATTGAACGGGTTTAAACCCAAACCCGGCCTAAAGCCCGTCAACACTGATTTTACCCGCGTTGACCGGGTTGGGTCGGGTCGGTACCTGTGGGTTCGGGTTTTGTTGCCATCCCTATTCATGGTTTATTAGGTGTGGTTTGCAGTTATTGGACTAACCACAAAACGATAAATTCTCCTAATCGCGATCGTGTAAGACATTCTTTACATTGTTAGTGATTAACCGCTAATCACACTTATTTGGTCCAATACTCTACTAGGATGACAATGAGACGAGTTTGGGGTGGGTTTGTCTAAATCATCTTCATCCCTATTTTTAAATATCAAAATCCATATACTCGCCCCATACCCATGCGGAGAAGGTTTTGCAACCCCATTCCCATGTTCGTAATTTTTGGATACCCGTGGGTAATACACGTCTCCGGACATCCAACATTATTATACGTAAAAATTTACATGTAAATTTTCAAATTTAACTCTAAACGAACCTAATAAATCATGAAATCGACAAAAGTACAATCATTCTTAATATGGTCCAAATTATCTAACCCTAAACATCCGTTAACCGATGAAATAAGTACAATACTACCCAAACCATTCATCTACTCTGAATATATCTACTTAGCAATAAATAACTAATATAATCTTGCTGACAAAGAGAAATTGAAAGAGTGAAGGGAGAATTGAGGAAAATGAATTAGATTTCGATTTAGATGGCCACTCAATTATATTTTTACTATTTATTTAAGTTATTCTCATTATCATTAATAGGTGACAATTTAATCACTCTATTTTTATATGTGAAAGGAAGATGGTAATAATATGAATTGGAAATGTAAAATCATATCCACCCTATACCCAATAATTACAAGAATCCTCCCCATTGATTGGATCGAACACGATCAAAATACACCCGCGATCCCAAATTTCAAAATTTGGTTGTTACCCCTATATTCTCTACCAAACTAGACATTACATTACATTGGGAACCATATGTTCACTCTGTTCGTCCCATGCCATCTAATTGTCGTGCTGCTACATTTTATTACTGATAAACGTGAAGCATACCGTCAACACCAATGATCTTTAACAACGGCAAGAAGAAAGAGCACTGAGCACATATCGTCTCTTAGTTCCCGCCAATTGTCATTGCTTCCATCAACGTTGGGTGACACCATAGAAGAGGACATCAGCAAGAAAAGCCGGCAACCCTACCTGGTGTAGAAACCGTCAACATAGGGATTCACTCCACAACCTCTCCGCCTCCAAAGTCCAAACTACTTCCGGACGGCATCTGGCCCTGAAAAAGAATCTCTCCATGAATTAAGTTTGGCTTCATTGCTCCAAAACAAAGAAACCCAGAAAACCTTCCCCTTTGGAATCCCCGATCCAACCCATTTTTCCTTGAAGTTTCCAAGGCCATTATCAGGTAATTGTCCCTTTTTTCCTAGGGTTATATGTACGCCTAGCTTCCTTCATTCCCCCACCCAAAGGCCAAATCTTTATGGTGCTTCTTCCCTGAAAAGAACAGCAAAATTGTTCTTGTTCAATGGGTAGGGAGGACTTGACGATGATTGTGAATCCCATCTTCACCCCATCTCAGAAGAGGGTGGTGGTGATACAGGACGCCTTCAGTCAAGTTTCCCCCATTGCCATAGCATGGGCTTTGAATGGATTGTCCCTTAGCTCTGGGGATTCTCTTACCCTCCTTGCAGTTCTTCACCGGGTCAATAACTCCTGTGAGTCACCAAGCTTCCTTCTTTCTTTGGGTTGGTAATGTTATAGCGTTTTGATTGATGAGTAATTTTCTCTGTTTTCCAAAATTGCATTGTGTGTTTTGGCAGTGGGATACAGAACCAAAGTGGGCTCCGGTTACCCCAAGAAAGCTGTGAACAGAGAAGCTGCAAGGAAGCAGGCCGAGTTTGACAGCAATGTCGATCTTATGCATGTCTCCAAGAAGTTCGAGGCACGCAAGGTTGTTTTTTAATTCATCATTTCACTTGAGCTATGATATTCTGCAGTTGCTAAATGTACATAATAATGAATTTCTGAGTAATTTGATGCATACATACAGGTCAATTTTGTGGTAGAGGTGGTAGTAGGATCTTCAGCAAAGGGTGTTGCACTTCAAAAAGTGGAGAGTCTAAAAGCCACTTGGGTGGTACTCGACAGGTCAGCAGCCCATCAAAAGTTTCCTTCAGCCTTTTGTGTTCTGGGAGATATGATTGGTTGTGCTAGCCTACTGATCTTCTAATTCAGTTGTATAGGCAGATGAAGAGACACAGGAAATTCTTCCTCCAAAATCTCTCCTGTGGGATTTCCAGGATTAAGAAGAACAACGTCGTCAAACAGCTGAGAGAGCCTAAAAAAGCCATGATCACCAGTCTACACACTGGTCATGATCACGAGCAGAAAAAAGTGAGGCCCGTGACTTATGGCGAAATGTTGCCTGGAACTCCTGAAGAAGATGATCTCTTCAGCCTCGAGCTTCCACCACGTAACTATTTTTGCCATTTCTGATACATGTGGCCACCAGTGCTGCTTCTTCTTCAGTGATCTAATTGCGTGTTTTTTTATTTATTCTGATGGTGGTTTGAACAGCACGCCATGTTCAGGAAGAAACAGGTAATAACAGCAGCAGCAGCAGGCTAGTGTTGGAGAAGTGGCAAGCAGAAGTTTCATTCCAATGTTCGGTGTGTTCGGTCTGCAAAACCAGAAGGGGATTTCCAGTTGATCCAAGGGGTTGGGGATATGAATATGAAGAAATCCAAGCTGCAACTGATGATTTCTCATCAAGCAACTTCATGTCTGGGGATGTTGATGCAACGACAGGGTCCACCTTTTTCAGAGGGCAGCTGAAGAACAGCAACAACCAGAAGATCATTGTGAAACGATGCAGGAGTTCCGTAAACATGATTGGAGATGCGAAATTCAGTTTTGAGATTAATCTTCTCAGGGCAGTTAGGCACGATAATGTGCTGATGTTGATGGGTTCTTGCTCAAACGGCCACGGCCTCAGGCTGCTTGTGTATGAGTATGCCTGCAACTGCACACTTGATCAACATCTATCGAGTAAGCAGCCAAAAAAGTGGTGTTTTGATATTGATGTTGGTTTCTCATTCATCTATCAGTTAGAACTGAAAAAAGATTGCTTCTTTCTGGCAGAAACTTGCCCATTGCCCTTGACATGGTCAGATAGGGTGAAAGTAGCAGTTGGAGCAGCAAGGGGGCTAAACTATCTCCATGAGAACAACATAGTTCACAGGAATGTGAAAGCAGACAGTATTTTTTTAACTCATGATTTTGAGCCCCTGGTAATAATTCTTTTGTGCTAACAATCAAACACTGTCCTGACACAATGATATGGTAAAGCTAAAAACCTGTCTATTGTGTTAAAATTTGTCAGCTTGGTGATTATGGGCTTTCAGAGATGGCAGATTCAGCACCAGAACTCTCTACAGCAACTGATGTGTATGCGTTTGGAGTCGTTATGCTCGAGTTGATCACAGGCCAAAGTGCCAAGGAAGTTGTCGAAACTATGGCCTCGGGGAAAACAAGTCTTGTTGGATGGGTAAGTAATTGATCAAGCTCTATCCCATATGAGAAAGTTACCATGATTCTTTTTATATGTTTTTTTATTCTTCCTGACAGGCAAGGCCAATCCTGAGAGAGAGAACTCATTTTCAGCTGATCGACACAAGAATCGTCAGGTCCCATGATGGCGAACAGCTCTACTGGATGTGTAGATTGATACACAAATGTCTTGCTGAAAACCCAAAGAAAAGGCTGGCCATGAATGAGGTATATTAAACAACGTCCAACAAAAGACCGCACCTTGTCCTCTCTTTGCCATCAGGAACTAACTAACTTACTCTATGTTGAACTTTTGGGGACCATATGTACACAAAAGGTGGTATCTGCATTGGAGTGCATAGCAGAGAGGAAGGAGAACAGCATACTGGACGATGTTTTGGCAGTGAGATCGAGTCTGTCTCGCAGCACATTCGAAGAAGAAACATCCATGTGGACGAATGAAAGGGAGAACTTCAGCAGAGATGCAACAGATTCGGAGATGAGCAAGGAACAGAGCCAAAGAACATCATCACATTCAGAAATGATTTCATCGAGCTCTTTTTTCAGCGGGTCTAGTAATGTAGGAATGAGGACTATGGGCAGACCAGCTTTGGTTTATGGAGAAATGCTTGTTTAATCTCTTACCCCACCCACAATTTTTCATTGCATTTGGAAAGCTATTTGGTCTAGTTTTGGTACACTTTCTCAGTAAATGGTGGCTGATAAGATTTTTTTGCACATCAGTTAGAAATGTAAAGAAGCAGGAGTCACTTGTGATATTACTATACTATACTATACTGTTCTCTCTTTTTGGCAATCCCTTTGAGGCCGGCCATCTATGTACAAGAGGGATATCCTGAAACTCTCCAACTGCTAGTAAAATGAATCCACAACACGGACTTGCAGAAGAAGAAACAGAGATGAAACTGCTTGCAGTTTTTTAATTGGGATGCCCGAGTTTCTCCACTAGTTCAGATAGAATGACGGACCCTGCACCTCCAATGAGAAGGGAAAGAGTAACTTTCCCCCCAGGAACAAGTTCCGGCAATTTCATCGACAAAGATGTGCTTGAGTAACGATCCGACCAAGCCATTGCAGCAGGAAGAATCCCAAATAACACCAGTACTAACCAAAAGATAAAAAGCACACAATGAAACCAGGAAGCAGTTTGTCAGCTAGAACTAACTCTGATTCCACCAAACGTGAATTCCAAGCTAAGTACCAGAAAGATGAGAGCGAAGAATAGTATACCTCCATATGTCCCTGCAAAGTCCAAGGCCTTGAAAAATATCTCAGGATCTAGCAGTGATAGTACCAACGGTGGAAACAATGTTAGAATGTAGGGTAGAGCGCTATTCTTGCCAGTGGGGAGTTCTAGCACTAGAGAATTCAGAAGAATGAGAATTGTTAGCTCCCAAGAAATGTCACTTATGAGAAGATCACAGGTAGTATCAGCTATTTCAAGAAGTCACGAAGCTGTACTCACAATCAGAAAGGAAGTCAGCAAGGCCGAGAACAAAGCCAATATAAGATGTCGCAATTGCGAGAAGCGAGAAGACCTCAACTATTGCCTTCAAAGAACAGGAAAACATATTCAAAAGATGAAGTAACGATTGAGTGTGTTTTATATATGTTTGAAAGTCAGTCAGCAGAATTATGAAGTTAAGCTCTCACCCCAACACCTCCATTGGTAGAACGCAGCTGCTGCAAAGGATCAGTCACCATATTGCTGGTTTCTTGGCTGACAAGGGATCCAAGGATTACAGCATTCCAGACAAGAAACAAGCCTAGAGGAATGGCAGTGCCCAGTACGATTGCAGTCCTGAGAATTTACACAAAGATAATATAACAAGTAGCAAGAAACAATAGCAGCATGACTTTGTTGCATTGATACACAGTAGCGAATACAAAGGAACTGGTCGGTAATAGGATTTGCACCTTACTTTTGACAGGTTACCTTCAAGATTTGTGCAAATAACAGGTACCACATTCTGCAATCAAGATACAAATTATTACAACTACCTCAATTTCGAATGAGTTAGGTATTTGACACATTACAATACCTGATAAACAAAGGAAAGTGCTATTATTGGTATACTCATTGGAACAGCTTCAAAATTTGCTTTTAGAAGAGCATCCCAGTGCAGGTTTGCACTTGCTACAACCTAAAAAAGACTTCCTCAACATCGAACGCAAAGGAATGGAATTGGAAACTGCACAAATGAATGCAAGGTAAAAGAAATTACCACTAGCCCTGTGAAAGAAATGATAATCCCCACAACAAGAGATCCATTAACAGCACCAATGACTCTCTGGCTGCAACATTAAGGTGAGTACAGGATCAAATTTATCCATTTATAATGGGAGACTAAGATGAATCTCAAACTTCTTACTGAATATGTAAAAGTAGTAACAGTCTAACAGACCAGTCAAGTGACCTATTTACTTCCATGTTCTGGTTTTAGACATTCCTAGTGCTATTCTGGAAGTTTTCACAACACATTATTTAGCTGTCAGATGAGCTGATTCTACCTCCATCAACTTCTAGTAGAAACAGAGACATACATCTCGTAGTTGCAATAGTAGAGACATCTTTTTCCATATTCACGAGCAAACAAAACAAGGAATATGTACAAGTATACTTCATCAGATAGATATCAATCTCAACATCCATATACAGACCTTCCAAAGTAGCATATGCTTCCCAAGCCCAAAGAGAATAAGGCGGCACTCTCCCATCTGTAAACACATTGTATCTATCAATACTCAGATGTATAAAGCCCCATCAGAAAGCAATCCACAACAAATTATGATAAAACAATCAACCATGAGTAGGAAAGGTATAAAATACAGAAGAGGCTTTATGATTTTGTACAGTGGAATGCCGAGAAAGTTTGTTATAATATCTGAAGAGCGAGCTACATAGGCCACAAGAAGGGCATAATGGATGAATATGTAAGACCAGCTGCAAGAGCAAACACATGGAAATGATCATTACGGCAAGGTCTGAGAGTTTGTGAAATTAAGGAATTAATGCAACTCTCAAAATGCCTTTCTGTTATCAACCATTACTAACAAGGCTATGTGTAGACATTAAAGCATAAGTTGTCCATGGAAGAGCTTATAGTTATGAGCATCTACCATGAGAAAAAATCAGTTTTTTCCCCAGTTTGTATCGCTTCTTGGACGTACACCTACCAGGCAATTTGAACTCCTGCTGTCCCAAGGGTACGCTTGGCCATGGATACCTGAAGCAAAATCACATTTAAGATAGATCGCATGATGAGCTAAAAATAGTGCACATGAGTGAAAAATAATTACTTTATTACAAACAAGAAGTGTGAAAAAAATAAAAAAACTGCCTCAAAAGTTCTTGTTAATTCTCTAGTATAACATTACCAATGACACTCCACCAGAGCCCAATTCACACATGGTGTTCACATTAACTTCCGCAACGAGCAACCCTGTAGTAACCTGTGCATCAATGGAAAAGGCTAGGGATTACAATCTTGTTTCAACTATCACCAACCACACACACTAAACTAAAATAAACTCGACTCGACTCAACTCAAACTCAAAATTCATGATTCTACTATCCCAGAAAACAAACCATCAATATAATGAAAGGTCTAAACTCTACAGCGGCAAGTATTTTTTAGTTTTTCAGTACCAGATCACTAATTCCACTAAATGTGTTCAAGGGAAGTGGTTCAGTGAGTTTGTACCATGAATATCCAGCAAACAATGCAAGCAGCCGCAGAGGCCAAGAATCCAGAATCTTGGGTAACTGCAGGAATTGCCAGAATCCCAGCACCCACCTAGACAATTCAATCAAGCCAGTCGAGTTCATTGATGAAAACAATTCATACATTATTTACTATTTACAAGCAATCCACTACTCTTACCGTGGTACCCGCCACGAGGAAAATTGCACTGGACAAGCTTCCTGGCATTAGAAAATCGAGAAATGTTTCTATCAGTAAAGCTAAGAAGTGGGTGCCAGCATTTTACAAAGAAAAGCAACAATTTAAGGTGGAATGGGTAGGTGACCGGGTTCTCTCTTCAAAGTGACTTGGTTAACGTTGGAGAATAGCCTCTCAACCTCATTTTCTTCTGGCTTCCCTTGAGACCTGCACTTTGTGAAACTAGGTTTTGGTTTTGGTGAGATGCTGGTTCGGAACTGATGGTTTTTGGGAAGCAGCAGCCGCCGTCGGTTCCTTGGCGAGCTCGAGCGATGATCAAGCAGTAGAGTATCGAAAGTTTGGTGCTTTTTCGAGGGAGTCAGAAGGGCTGCTGCTGGAATTTGCAATGGGAGAGACGACAGAGCATGCATTTTTACTCTGTCTCGCTAGTTCATGCGTTCTTCTGACTCCTTTTGGATTACAAGAAAGAAGCAGAGAGAAGATGGAGCGACAGAGGAAGGCAGGGGGGAAAGAGTATCCACCTGTCCCATTTCTGCTAGGATAAGGTCATCGTACTGTTTTGCAATGGGGAATGTCTACTGGCATAGTGCCAACTGCCAACTAGGCATTCCATTTTTACGATGGAAAATCTTAATGCTTACATTTATTTAGGTTTAACGATGAAGATAGTTGTATTGTGTTAGGCTAATATCTGCAATTACTAGTAGAATCAAAGTATAAGTTCAGTTTTGGATTGTAAATTCGCATCCTCACAGAAGCTCAACCCAATGAATATAATGCAAGTATTATCATTACCGACGGAAAACATACACCTTTATCAACACACCTTTCAGCATATTATAAGTAGTCAATCGTCAAATTTCGGTGGCCGGCTACTTACCTACCTCTGCTCTGTTGTATGAAGTAATGAAATCGAAGAGTAATCTAGTGACGAACAGACTCAAGGAAAGATCAATTGTTTAATTCTGACCATTCCAATGTGCTATCTAACACATGCATAATGGCTAAATTTATAATGATGCTAGTTTCCATTTTCCCCTGATTTTTGCATATACCGATCATAAAAGAACCATCGATAAAAATAATAATAATCTCCGGGGGACACAAGGAGACAAAGCAGGGAAGGAAGCCGTCTGGGAAAATAAGATGCTGTTGGCTGGCTGTTCAAAAATGGCGGTAGATGTTCGTTCTTCCAATACAATAAGAAATAATATAAAAAACCTGTCCAGGAGCAGCCAGTGCCCACTTCCCTACAGGATTCCACCTTCAATTTATCTAATCCCGCAGTCCTTGTAACTCTCTGAACTTCCGCTTGCTTCCTTTTTTTTTGTTGTGGAAGGCATCACCAACCCCCGCCATCGCCAATTCGCCATGACTGCCTCTAGTTTGCTCTGCAATAATCCAATCTTCAACCCTAGTTCCAATTCGTTCGGCAAAAGCAATTTCTCCTCCTTCATCCCATCTGGGTCCGTCTGTTTCACGCAAAAGTTCCAATTTCAGAGGAGCCCAATTGTGAAAGCCAGCAAGAAGCAAATAGAGGTATCGTGATTGTTTTTTGCTTCTTGTTCGATTGAAAAGAAATGAGCTTTGGTTTTGATTTGGTTTGTTGGTTTCATGAATTAGGTAGTGTATAATCCTGATGAGAGGTTGAACAAGTTAGCAGATCAGGTGGATAAGGAAGCTCCTCTTTCCAGGCTCACTCTATTCTCTCCTTGCAAGGTTTTTCCCCTTCTATATTTGATTGACTATTATAGCTGCTTTTATTTGTGCATCTTTGAGATCTTCTTATGATTTTTTGAACTGGTTTGGATCATGGGTTTCTTGCAGATTAACGTTTTCTTGAGAATTACCAGCAAGAGGGCAGATGGCTACCATGACTTGGCATCTCTTTTCCATGTATGTCTCTGGTTTAGGCCAAGTTGTTTGATACATTAGGAGATTTGATCTTTTTTCACGGGTTTAGTTCCACATTCAGTCCAATACTAACAGTTTATCCTTCTGCTTTGTTCTTCCTCCCAGGTGATTAGTTTAGGAGATATAATTAAGTTCTCGTTGTCCCCTTCGGATAAAACCGATCGTTTATCCACCAATGTGTCTGGGGTACCCCTTGATGACAGGAATTTGGTAAGGCTGGAAAAGTATTCTTCTTCTCTTTAGTATGGTGTCACCTCTCTCACTCCATATCGCTATATCAGTCTTCTGAATGAGTGTTGCAAACTATTTATGCAGATTATAAAAGCCCTGAACCTCTACAGGAAAAAGACAGGCACTAACAAATACTTTTGGGTAAGGTCTTGCAGTGTTATGAATAAGACCTGTAATGAAATGGGTCGTAGTTAAAGTGTGTGCTTAAGGTCAGTAATGTCTCCACAGATTCACCTAGATAAGAAGGTACCAACTGGAGCTGGACTTGGTGGTGGAAGCAGTAATGCTGCAACTGCTCTGTGGGCTGCCAATCAATTCAGTGGCGGTCTTGCTACTGAGGAAGAGCTCCAAGAATGGTCTGGGGAGATTGGTTCAGACATTCCTTTCTTCTTCTCCCATGGAGCAGCTTATTGTACCGGCCGTGGTGAGGTAATGAATGCACTTCTTTTAGATGCAGGCTTCAAAACATTGTCTATTACCTTCATGTCCTGATGATCCTTGATTGGTGAAGAGCAATCTTGATTCCAAATTTGAGACAGTTGACATTTTCTTTTGCGCTCTTTTAAATGATAAAACAAGCTGTTCGATGAAAAAAGGATTTCCAAGTAGATGAGTTAAACCAATCTCTTTAGATACAAAATACTCCTTGAGACTTGAGAGCATTATCCGGGAGCTTGAATTGAATTTACATCTTTCTATGGCAATGCATCCAAAGAAACATATTTAGCTTTTGTATGACATTTCTTCCCTTGGCTTGTTCAGGTTGTCGAAGATATGCCTTCACCTATTCCTTTAGACATTCCCATGGTTCTTGTTAAGCCTCCACAAGCCTGTCCAACTGGTGAAGTTTACAAGGTATTGTGGTTTAATTTGCAACAATCTTGAGACCTTCATGCAAATTAATTTGTTGTCAATAACCTTGTATTGACAATGAACTTTTGATATCTTAGCATCTCCAAGTGGACCAAGCTAGTCAAGTCGATCCGTTGACTCTGTTGGAGAAGATATCAAGGAATGGCATATCACAAGATGTTTGTATAAATGATCTGGGTACGAACTGACATATTTTCATAGTTAAATTCTCAAGTTATCTGTCTCCTTCATCCTCATTTCTTGAATTGCTTAACATTTCATTTATTGTTCCAATTTGAAAGCTACTATCTGTCCTTGCCTGCAGAACCTCCAGCATTTGAAGTTCTGCCATCCCTTAAAAGGTTGAAGCAGCGTATAGCAGCGGCTGGCCGTGGACAGTATGATGCTGTTTTCATGTCTGGGAGGTACTGACTAACTTTTTACTATCCACACTGCCGCTTGATTTGAATTGTAAGGTAGATGTGGTCCAAGACCGGCATAGTATCATCAGTAGTTCCAGAGTTTCTGTGAAGATGATAACCTACCTTAATGGAATGATCTTTTTTCTGTGCATTTTGCCGATATGTTTGATTATTTCAGTGGTAGCACCATTGTCGGCATTGGTTCACCAGATCCTCCACAATTCATCTACGACGATGAAGAATATCAGGATGTTTTCTTGTCAGGTAAAAGTTCGAGCCTCAATGCTTCATATAGAAAATATAAGGGGGAAAATGGAGGAAATGGTGACAGTGTATCTTTCAAAACCGTTCTTCCTGCTTTACTTCTTACTATAGAGCTCGCACCAGGAACCAAGGCCTTTACCTTTCACCTTGATCACTGACCTTTTGGGATACACTTTTCTATGTATTGCAGAGGCGAAATTCGTGACGAGAGAACCTGATCAGTGGTATAAGGAACCCGCATCCACCACTTCCACCATCTCCCCCTCGGATTTCTCACGATCTACTGGTCGAGAATCCAGTTTATAGAAGAAAAAAGAAGCCATCTTTGTGTCAATAGACGGTTGGTCTTGTTATTTTCATTCTTGAGGGGGTGTGCTGTAATATTTTTCTGACACTTATTGGTGAGAAACCGCAAAATGGTGGTACAAGACCATAAACCACAGCTGGTCTGTTCGAAAACCAAGCATCTTGTACTTGGAGAGGTTGGGATCTTGTTGCGAAGACGACGGGAAAAGTGATGCTTAGTGTTGTATTTGAAATGCAATAACAATAAGAATGTTCTCTTCTGTATTCAAAGACTACATAAACAGATCCAGCAGGATAGAATCCATATCTGCAGATCCAAGTTATGGCTGAACAGAAACAGATGTCGGAGAGGACAACATTGAAACCATTGGGATAACATTTCCCAAACGATATCGCTTATCGCCATCTACGTCTACGATTGACAGAGGACGATGATTAATTTACGAAGGTTTAGAAGCTCAATTTCAGAGGTGAAACCATTTCTGCTGAATGAATCACGGAAATTCAAAGGGAAAGGAAGTATTCAAGAAAATGAACTCTTTTGAGATGCCACTTTTTACTAAAGGATATTCAACAAATCGACAAAAAAAGCAGGCAACCCAACAGCAACCATAAAATTCAAACACATTTTTCCTGTCCTTCCCTTTTTTTTTTTTTTCTATTTCATTTTTATTCACGGCGCCCCCCAAACCACCCTACTACAGTGAAGGAGAAGAAACAAACTGTCTGGGTAAGCTAAACAGGTCTTTCCCCTCAAATGGAGACGTCCATTCATGCGAGCCGCCAGCTGATGTTTCCGGGTTGGTCACCCCGCCACCGTCCTGCAGCCCTGCAAAGCCACCTACACCATTCATACTTGGAGTTGCTCTCATCGATAGCTTTGCACCCAACCCCGACCCTGTAGGGTCATAACCCTGGGTGGCACCATTCATTAACGACCCTTGCCCGAGACAGAATGTTGTATTAGGCCTTGGCGAAGACGAACTCCTATCCAAACTCCAGTCTATGCTGGTGTAGTCTAACTGTGCCATCGAGCTTGCAGTGCTCCAATCGACAGGTGAGGAGGCCCCCGAGGAAACAGTTGAACCGAAGCCAGAGAAGAGTCCGAGGTTAGAAGCAGCAGCAAGGGTTGAAGCGGCCCCTGTTCTATTACTCCATAACCCATTCCCTCCTCTGCTTGTATCTAGAGGACTGCTTCCAGGAATAAAATGTTGTTGCTGCTGCTGCTGCTGCTGCTGCTGTTGAAACTGCAGATGATGGTTGTGGAACATTTGATTAGAGGAAGTGAGGTGGCTTGGGTTTAGGTTGCTTGGAATCTGGGGCACAAATCCATTACTGGGCTTCATCATATCAATGCCATTTGCAGGGTACCAATTGAGGCAAGCAGACCCAGGTGGAGGAGATGAGCTCATGCTTGTTACTGCTGGAAGCTGTTTTGTATTTACAGTAGGTTGAGGTCGCTGCATCATGATAACAGGTTCTCTAACAGTAGTTCCACCAGGGTGAAAGTTCTTGTTGTTATATTCACTCCCAACAGATGATGGTGTATACCTGCTGCTATCTGCCTTGGGTGGCTGTGGTGAAACTTGCAAAGGAGACGACAGAGAGTAAGAAACAGATGGGTTACTATTAGATGCTGGCGCACCAGTCCACCTTTTCTCTGATACCACCACACCAGAGACCAACTTTGATGGTTGTATTCTGTTCAAAGGCTGCTGCAAGTTCTTCACCATCCCAGGTTCTGGAGATGCTCCTCCTCCCAAGGGAGGAGGAACAGCTGCTTTTGTGTAGTTGAAGTCTCTATTATCATCTCGTCTCTGTTGTACTACCATGGAAGGTTGACTATGATTAGGTCTTACTTGAGATCTCATAACATTCTGATGACTGACAGCTATTGGACCCCCCTTGCCACTGTTAATCATAGTTGGGGGATCGCCAGTTTCGTCAGGCTTTGGAGGTGAAGGAGGGGGATCGAGCTTCATCCTCCTTAAACTCTCTGCAGCTTTATCGAGGTCACCTTCAGAACCAACTACTGCACGTTCAACCTCTTGCTTCGTGCACTTGTATCTCACTTCTAAATCAGCAATCCGAGCAAGCTCATCAGATATATCAATTTTCAAATTCCCACCACCACCAAGATTCTGATCCCTGTGTTTATCATCTGCATCTTCACCAACTTCAAACAACCATGATACAGATTCCTCTACTTTACCTTCATTAAGTATTAGAGCCATGGTAGCTCTTTCATGCGAGAATCCCATGGCAACTAGCTGCTGAGCAAGTGCTTCGAGCTTCCTTGACATGAGATAGCCACTGCACCGCTCGTGCAATTCTTGTGCCCGCCTTTCCTTCTGACGCTGATGCTTCCTCTCATTCTTCTGACGGATTTTCTCTCTCTTATCATTGTCGGCAGCACCAGGTATTGTTGCGTCCTGGCGTGCGGGAGTGTTGGAGGTCTTCTCCTTGTGGTGATCTTCTGAATCACCAGACCAGCTTCCATTGTTTGAGACAGAATCATATTCCACGCCACCAGCTCCCCCAAACTGATCATCTGTCTCATCTATGTTGCGGAATCTGCCATTGTTGTGTATGGGAGAGGTGGCAGATGTTGGCACGGTTTCAAGTGTATGGAATGTTCCAGACAGTGGATTATATGCACTGGCTGGGATGCTACTACTGCTACCCCCGTTAACAGTGCCTGATGAAGGCTTTGATAGTGCCTTCTGAGGTTCTTTGCCAGATTTCTTGTCCTTGGACTTGGCTCTTGATGCCGGAGACATCACTACCTCAAAGTAGAGACTGTGGCTCCTGTAAAGTTTTAAGACAACAACACATTTTCAGGTCAGACTTACCCTAGGAAGTATGCTCATTATTTAAATAAGAAACAAAAGGTCGAATCTTAATATAGACAGACTCCATAATGGGCAGTAACTTGAGGAAAGGCACAAAGCAACAGTTTATTGTATGCACATATAAGTCTAACTTGAAGAAAATTGCTAGCCACGATTATTCCGCCACAGAAAATGGGATTCCTTAGAGTTCAATTCAACAACCGCTCACACTACTATCTTTCCTCCTATATTCATGTGGCCCAGTTCATCCCATTCTGGTTTTGTCACTCTTATACGTGTAGCGGATGTAGCCCATGCAAGAAGGAATTGCAGGCCCCATACTCTTGAATTTATTCCGTTTCAAACGGCTCAAGAGAGTTCCAACAAAAACGTGCCATCTTCTCGTGTGAGTAAAAGCCAAATTACCACATGAAAAAGCTATGAAACACTTCCCTTCAAATTACACATAATGCAAAAGTACACTACCCAAGGGACATTATGATACAAGCCATACCAACAGCTGTTAACTGTCTTCCCACAGTTTTCTAATTTTCTATGCCAACAGATATAACCATCAAATATCTATTTTGACCAATGTGGGAATTCCATCCAAAGTTAGAAGGACCACATGAGATAGCAATCCCAACACTGTCTGAAGCATAAAAAAGACCATATCTTATGCAAGTAACAGAAGGATTGGTACTCAAAGATCTCTGCAATGAAGGTAAGAATTCCAAGATTTGACCAGATGCTCCATAGTCCATCCTAACCACATGACTGCAAGCATCATATCATATGCTAGAGGTAGACTTCTCGGCTAGATTATATCCACTTCAAAGCCATTGCTGATGAACCCTATTGGACCAAAATTCTTCTACAAACCCACAGAAAATCTCATGAATAAACAACTCCAAGGGATTGCCTAGTGGTGATGGGTCGATAAAAACATCCAACCCACTCTCAAACTTGGGGCCAGCATCACCAAAGAGAAGAAAGATGGTGCTACATTTTCCATTTCCACCTACGGAATGAAGCACAACAGCTAGGGTTGGAAAGAACAAGGATGATTAACAACAGCAACCAGGCCAGCAAACTCAACTCCAAACCTTGATAAACTCCGTTCCCACTTCCTGTCTTCCTCGTAGTACAGAGTAGACTACTAGTTAGACTCATCCGTCCCTCATCAGAACTCATCAGACATTATTGCCGGAACAGAGAAGAATCAAGATTCTCCACTCACCCCGAAGAACAGCCAAGAGAGTACATAATCCAGTTTAGCAGCTGATCCCAAAGCATAAGAAAGGCGATTGAATATAACATTATCAAAGAGGGAAAAAGATCAAAGCCAAATGAAGCAGAAAAAGGCGGGGGATTTTCCATCACAACTGATCAGGCCGGCAGTAATCGGGCAGAATTAGGGATTTAACAAAACAGAATCACGCCATTCTCAACATCAGCGACGACTGGCAACCAAGGAGATCCGTACCAAAACTTCACACCACGGATTCATCCCCCCCAATTCCGAATCCCGAGCCGCCCAAAACAATCGAATTACAATTGTGGCAGACTCGTCGAGGAATTCACCCCAGAATGAGAACGGAATTCGAAATGACGGGAGAAAGATACATGAAAGAGAAAGGAGGGGGTGCCAACCTGGAAGAAAGATGGGAGGGGAGAGAGGAGACGAGACGGAGTGATCGATGCTGCTGTTGACGACCACGGCAACGACGACGGCGACGGCGACGGCGGCTGCGAAAGCGATCGGCGAAGGGCAATCGAATCGCGCGAGAGATCGCAGGTGGAGCAGACGGATTGATTTTGGACAGGGAGCGGTTAGCACGGTGGGAAGAAGAGAGACGAAAGACGGGATAGGTGTTTCGAGGCCCAAACTGAATCGACGGAATTAGGGTTTTGAGAGAAAAAGGGGCAGAAATGGAGAGCAGACAGAAGAAGTTATTTTATTTAATATCAAAACCAATAATAATGTTGAAGTTCATAATGGCTTTATAATTTTTTTTTTTTTTTGTTTTTCTTTTTGTTTCTTTTACGGACTGAATAAAAGTCCAAACACAAACAAAATTAACTTTTTCGTTATTATAAAATAATATAAAATCCGCACCACGTAGCCGGATAAAAGCTGGTTGGCTTTGTCCGACCCGCTCCCCTCTTTGACACTTCTTCTTTTCTAAGGGCACCTTTGACACTTTATTCCAATCCAAGGTTGTCAACCCGCGGGTCGATCCGCAGGTTGACCCACTTTAACCCTGATCCGGTGAAAAAAACGGGCGGCACGTATCCGTCGAGTCGACCGCCACAAGGTACCGGGTTGGAGGTCAAATTGTGTCATTTTTTTCTTTGTTTTGCGAAATGCGCCTATTTTCCAATTTTTCTTTTCGCCTAACTCAATCTTTGGAATCTTAAGTTGAACATTTGAATATTAATGTTATATAAGTGTGTTTGAATTTTCACTATATGTTGAATCAAAGTACGGAATGTTATTTTGGTGATATTATATGTTATAACTCATATGTCATATGAGATTTGATATAATTTATCAGGATAAGTACAATATAATGACGCTTTCCATATTTCCGGGCTAAACCGAGCTAAAACGGGTGATCCAATAACCCTTGACCCACTAACTCAACCGGGTCCGGGTCAATCCGCGAGTTGACAACCTTGCTTTATTCCGTTATTTACATGAACCAAGGCAGGCATTGCTGAAATTATATAAAAAAAAAAATTAGGCACAAGTGCATGTACGTGAATAACATACTAGTTTAGCTATATCATGTTTAAGTTGTCGTCTCAAATTGTCTGAGTTCAATTACGAAAATTCTGTGGGTTAATATTACGACTATAGTCTAAATCTATATTGGCCAAGTAGACATTTAGGATCAATGAAGGGTTTTCATCATAGATGTCAATCACCATTCACCGAACCATCAAATCCTAACTAGAAAATTTTGGAAGTCGGATTGATACATATTTCTACTAACCAATAGAGAAAGATGGTAGACATATTTCTACTAACCAATAGAGAAAGATGGTAGACGAAAAACACACTTACTCTTTCAATCTGTAATGCATATGATTAAGAAGATGTGCTAAGTAGACGATCGAGCATCTTTGTTACTCACATTGAACAACGACTAAAATTGCAAATGGAATTTCTTTTTCATTAATAACGAAATAGTATCCAAACAGGCTAGATATGGGTTTATTTGTATCACATCTCTAATTTGATGAATGTAAACCAATTGTATCTCTCACACACATGCATGGTCGACAAAAGCCTCCAGTTTCTGCTTTTCCCTTTTTCAATTGCTTACTCCCAACTGGCAACTTTGATGCCTTGAATGCATCCCTTTTGCTACTTTCCACTCACAACTTTATACCCCATTACTGAAAGCCACTTACCCACTTTGTTTGGTGAGACTTTCGTACATCCACCGCCATAACAAGGCTAGCTCTTTTCACCACAAGCAGAACAATCCCCCCCAAAGAGCAGATAGAGAAGCATATTGTTTCTCAGTGGCTATCAGATTAATCCATGCTTATCCAGAAAGGCTTTAGCCAAATTGCTGAAGCTTACAGTATCAGAAGCAGCATATCGCCTGATAACTTCAACGACTTCTGGCTTAAGGATCTCGGCTTTGGCTGATGAGTCACATAGGTAGTAAAGGGCCGCAATAGAATAATTGACCTGCAATAGTAGTTATAAGTGCAGTTACAAACAACGATTCCATTGTTCGATTGCCGCTTTGGCTGCTAATAGACATGGTCCAAACATATTGATTCAGAGAGACGAGGCAGAACAAGAAGGAAAACAAAGAAAGTAGAAAATGTAAAAAGGAGGTGGAAGTTTGAGAGCTTCATCCTTTGCAGGTGGATTGGATGAAATGCAGGCCATATTCCCAGAAAGATGACCCAACAATTTGTGAAAAGAAATCCAAATAGGTCACGGTTCTAGGTGGCACGATTTGTTGACAAGGGTTCTGATAGCAATGCTCAATACAAAAAAGGCAACGCTAACATGGTAATACAGATATGCACAAAGAAGATAAAACGGCAAGGGGATGATAACCTACAGTGTTTTTGACCGGGCTCGATAAACACTGGATAACAAGAGGTACTCCACCATTCTGAGTGACAACTGCAGCATTTGATGGATCTGCGGGCAGTCAGGGACAGCAAAAAGACCAATCAGGTAAACAATAGAAAATAGGCCAGCAAACACTTGGGGATACCTTGTCACAGTTTACAGCATCAGTAGATCTTCATGGTGTATTACCAAAGTAAATAATATATGCAATTTCAGTTTCATACCTACACAGGAATTACAGATTCCTCCAACCCCAAACTCAACAAGCTTTTCATTTGGTTCTGTTAGGCAGTCTAGGAAGAGTTCCAAGACATTGAGCTGTCAAAAATATGTAGACCAAGTGTGAATACAAAATGCTTCTAGTGTCTAGGTTCAATAAACTCTTTTAAGAACAATAGAAGCTATGAACCTGGCGTAAGAAAGGATAGTTGTAAGGATCATAAGCAAAGTTTGCCAAGTTAGCAACCAGACGTTCTTTTGTTTCTGCATCCAGAAGCAGGACAAATATGTCATATAACATTGAATGACGGAATCTAAGAAAATGAATCGATGTGGCTGTTAATTAACACAGACAACAACAAAATCCCAAATGGGAAGTAAACTTGGTAGAACAATTGATCTGCAGAGTTAAGCTCCAAAGTATAAATCTCGGCGAGTATCCAAAGTAAGAGGGTCTAACGTGCCCAATTTCCGGACCCTTTATCATAGTCTATATAGTCGATAGGGATGGAAGCTTTTGGAATTCATTAGACATGCTATAGAGAAACATCTAGTATGTATACACAAGCAGGATATCATAAATAAAACCATTCAGATTTATAGCTCTACTTGCAGAATATATTCAAAACCCTCCTGTCAGGATCCAAATCATAACCAGAAATCTTGATGCCTGGTTGGTATGCAGAGAAGACCATTTTCAATCTGAAACAGGTTGCCCTCTCTCAAAAATCTTATTCATTTACAAGTATAGAATTCTGCAGTGGAGCCTTTTTAACAACAGCAGGTTTGCCACAGACCATTCAAGAGATAAAATCATAGATTGCATATACTCTCAGAAATCATGTATAGACCAGGTAAGCACATGGCGAATTTGGCATACCTTCATCAGTTGCGTTCTGGAACTGGCCTACCAAGTCCTGCAGCAAAACAAGGATCGCATACATTTCAGAGGGCACAATTATAGAGTACTACAAAATCGATCTATCCTCCTGTTTAAACAGGAGGTTGGGTGAACAAACCTGAAGGTATTGCAGCCTCGGCGTTCCACTTTTTCCTGTTCGTTCCTCTTGCCTACGGTCATTCGTAAACATATCTACTTCCTATTACGGCATTGACGGCGAGAGCGGCAGCAGGAGAAGAGAAGACGGTCTCCTGGCGAATGAACAGCGTAGAAACGGTTGGGCGACAGTAGTGGAGGAGAGCGCGACAAGGGAGAATCGCGGCTGCGGGAGGAAGAGGACGGGTGGAGAAGGCCGTAGCGAACAAACATGACTGTATGTTCTGTTTCTTGGCTCTTGGGGGTCAAACAACAATTTGGTCACCAAACTCACATTGTTTATCACATCGGTTCCTTATGGAAAAATAATCCATTGGTGTAAGTATCCATCATAATCATAATCATAATCTTGATATTTTGATAGGAGAAAATTGAATCTATATTACTTTTAGTTGAGCTTTTTTCCGAATTCGACAAAGATGGTAACAGGTTTGGTGATTTTAGTATTTTATCTATTTATACCAAACTCACCTAAATAAGTGTAACAACTATGAAATAGACTCACTCGCGCTTCCACACTTCAGTTATTCATATCACTTGATTATTATAATTATCATTCAAGCAAGAATCTTACTAATTATTTCTCACTTTTATAAACAATACTTTAACAAAACTTGAAAGTAACTTCAATATTGTGAAGGAAAAAAAAAGTTCCCTTTATACCAAGAACTTTGTATACGATAATTTGAGGAAGGTGGAGATAGGCTTTCTCTGAACCACACACGAGTAAGTTTTGATATGTCATTTTACAATCCCGCCTACTTTTGATTTCAACGCTAATGATGATTTCAAAACCATAATTCAATAATAATATTTAGAAAAATTACGCCATTCGAACCCATTGTCCCTAGACTAGACGACTAGACCAGTATCCAGTAAGTTAGAAAAACAAAGTAGAGGAGTCAAATTATAGCCTTCAGTTAAATTCAGGGACCTATTGGTAACTTCGGCTTGGAATTTAGCAAAAGTAATTTTGAAACCCTAAATTACCCTCCCCGCCGTCGCTTCCCAAGTCTATCGTGTCGCGAGGCGGTCAATTGCAATCCAAAGACTTCTTTTTTTCTTTCGTTGAATTAATCCAAAGACTTTCTTTGTACACTTCTTTTTAGTTTTTTTCCCCAGTTTATTTATTTATTTATAAAATAGACTGCAATTGAAATTAAGATGGGATTGCCGCTACTGCTCTCCTCATCTTCTCTTCCAGCTCCTTCTCCTGCTCTCGAGGGTTCTAGGGTTTTGGCTTTCGCCGGATCTTAATCTGCTCGAGTGTTTCGCCTACTTTGAAGAAGGAGATAGTTTTGCTTGCTCGCTCGCTCGCTAGTTCCAGCAATGAAGAAAAAGCTCGACACTCGCTTCCCCGCTGTACTTACTCTTCTCCCTGTTTCTTTTTCCCCCCCTTTTACCGTGGCTGGCTTCGACTTTCTCTCGCTTTATTTTTCTCGTTTGTTTCTGTGCGTTTCCTTGTTGTGTTCTCTCTGGTAGAAGAAATTGTTCCTGAAGGTACAGTCTGAACGTTAGTTTGTTTGGGTGGAATAAGGAATCCCTGTATAATCAGTAGCGCTATCTCGTATGAGATTACTGTTTTTGGTCGCCCGTCATGCCGTGGTTTAGGGTTTATGTTTAGAATATTTTTAGTTAGAACAGAAACGGATGCAAAAAAGGCTCTAACTCAGAACTGACTTGTTGGGAATGCTCTTTGAGTTCCTTTTAGTTTTTACCAGAAAGGTTGGTTCGCTTGATGTTTTGATTTTGGGACTTTTTTGGCTCGCGTTTTAGGTTTCTTGAAGGGTTGTTGCAGTTCTAGTTGACAATTTTAGTGGGTGAGATAGCATCTCTTGGGCATTAGTCAGCTTGTTGATAAGATTGATTAATTATTGGTTTTAATTTTTATTTAAGAGTATGTTATGGCCGGTTCTCTCTTTTGGCATTTTCCCAATACTAATTAGGCTAAGCTTGTATCAGGCTCGCATCAAGAAGATTATGCAAACTGATGAAGACATAGGGAAGATAGCGATGGCTGTGCCTCTTCTAGTTTGTAAGTTCTGTTATCTCTCACTTTTAACTTCCTTTTTTCTCTCTTCCGTTTATGCTTTGTCTGTTTGTTTGTTTCAGTACTGTGAGGTGCAAGGTCTTTGAACTGCACCATTAAGAGTATTAGAGGAAAGCTAATATATATTTCTGATTTTGGGTCGAATTTCAGCAAAAGCTTTGGAGCTGTTCCTGCAAGATCTGTGTGATCGAACCTACGATGTAACTCTGCGGAGAGGAGCCAAAACCTTGAATTCATCGCATCTGTAAGTGGAACTTTGATCCATTGCGAACTATTTCTGAAATGCCATTCTTTGTGATTGATGATACAATTCAATTGAGTTTGTAGTCTAGCTAATTTCCTGGGAGGTTTGAATTGCTTGTCCCCATAATATCTTCCCTGTCTGTTCATCTCTCTGTCTCTGCCAGTATTGTGTACTGCCTGTAACTGAATTGGTTCTTGTTGGTTCAGGATGGGTCGTCTATGCAACTTCTGTCTTCTGTATGTGCCTTGTCTTGGTTCTAAGTTGATATGAATCTTTCGCGTTGGTTATTGCAGGAAACAATGTGTCCAGAACTTTAACGTCTTTGACTTCCTAAGAGAAATCGTCAGCAAGGTTCCTGATATGGGTGGTCCTGAAGCTGCCAGTGATGATAACCATTGCGTCAAAAGAAGGTTTGTTATTTGTGTGTTTTGTGCTGTTATTAGAAATGTCGAATGTTTTCTATGACTAATTCGTCTATAACTCGATGTGCTTCAGGAAAGTTGCTGATGTTGAAGGCAATGGGAACGATGAAGAGTTCCATAGGGGTGTCAAAGCTGTGAGTGTTTAGCTATTTGCTGATGTCAATCATTTAAGTAGAAACTATTTATGGTTTTAGTCGTGTGTAGTTGGTACTAAGTCAGTCCTTGCGTGAATTCTGAATTCGATATTTGTTTTCGCAGCATGATATTGTCAGCCACACAACAAGCAATGGCAGAGGGCGCGGTCGCGGAAGAGGTAGACCTCGTGGGAGTGGTAGGACTACTGTTGAGAGGCAGCATCCTACAGCCCACTACGACAAGTACGAAGACGACCCTGATTTGGGGCATGGTGATGATGACGAAGACGATGAAGGGAAATATAGTCCTGGTGTCGTGGAAAGATTGAACAACAATTGTGGGACACCTGTTCATGATTTCGACCTGAATGCCGACTTGGATGAGAACGGAGAATCGAAGCCAGTTTCACCTCCTCCTCCTCCTGCTGCTGCTGCTGCACCACCGCTTGTTCTGTTCCCTGCATCTGCTGCTGCTGGTCAACAACCGAGCCTCTCGCCCAAGTCACCTCTTCTGAAGAAACACATGGAATTCCTTGGCTGGTCGTTTGATGATGTCGAGAAGATGGATATTGACCCCAGTCAGCTAGCGAATTTGAACAGGATGGATGAGGATGATGAGGAGGATTATGATGAAGAAGATTGAAGCTCTAGCTTGACTGATTGTATATTCTAGTAGTCTAGAAGTAGCCAAGTAGAATGCCTAGTCGGTAGAATAGAACCACAGTTGGGATGTTGGAAACCTGAAGGGATGGATGATTGTTGTAGGGCTAGGTCGGAATGGGCTCGTCTTATTTTCATCTATGCAGAGAGCCATTGTAACATAGATAGCTTCATGTAACCGGGGTTTGGTAGTGTTTTTTTGGATGCTTTGGCCCGGTTGGTTCATTGGACCGTTTTGGAATGGTAAACAGCAAAGTTACTGGAAATTTTTGGGGCAGTAATTTGGAACCTACGGTATTCATCATATTGGGTTTCATGGAGAAACCACGAAATTTTACGTTGAAACTTCATACTCAATGTCCTGTGCGAAATATGATCTTCAACTCTCAATAAAACTGAAATTTGGATTCCACGACGATCACTTCTGTTGCACTTGCAAACAATCAAATAATGCATTCGCCTACCTTTAGTCACGCAAACTAACCACAATACAATTAGAATTTAGAACTACTTACAGAACATGATTTTCTCATTGTTTTGAGTTCACTGGGTTACAAAATTGCATAACCAATAGTACAATCAGAACTTAATCAATACGTGAGTTTGTAATAAATGACACAACTAATTAGACAACTAAACTACGTGCCTCTTCTTCATTACAGAGCAAAACCACTCAGCAACCCTCTTCCTAGCTCTGGAAAGTCTTCTGGAGAGTGTTCTGCATCCAGTCTTCTTCCTTTTCCTCCCATTCTAAACCTGCAAACCTGCTCTGTACCGCTCGCAAAACTCATGAGGAAGCAAAGGAAAACCAGCAGCTCCAGGGAGCCTCTGTTTTTGCTGAACCTGTTCGATCACCTTCGTCTTCTGGAATCCACATCCACCGGATACAAAAGGATGTCTGAGGAGCGAATCCGCATCGGGGCGGCGGTGGTAATCCTTTGCGAAGCACTTGCTCAGGAAGTCTTTCCCAGATACCGACAACCACCCTGGAAATTCCGGCCGGCATCCTTCTCTGACCTCCATCAACACATCTTCAATGTCGTGCAGCCTGGTCCACGGTATCTCTCCGGTCAGCATCTCCAGAACCGTACACCCCAATGCCCAAATATCCATCGCTGGCGTCACTCTCCCATCCACCACCACCTCCGGCGGCACATATCTCGGAGTTCCCCTGTTCTTGTTGCCCCTCCCCTGAATCAGCTTCCATGTCTCTACCGCCAATCCGAAATCCGCGACCTTCAATTCCCGAATCGTTTCCTCTCCCCTGATTCCATACTCTGACGCCGGAGACCCAGGGAAGGCTAGAATGTTCCGCGGCTTGATGTCACAGTGGACGTATCCCAGAGAATGGATCGAGGAAAGAGCTTGGAGGATCATCCGAGTGTAAACCCTGACGTGATTCTCCGGAATTCCGGTACCTTCTTCCTCGCCGTACTTGGAAATCAAGTCGGATAGAGAACCTTCGGAAGCGTACTCCAAAAACAAGTTGTAAGTTCTCTTCTCCGATGGCCCGCCGTCGAGGCACTGAATGATTCCCGGCGTCCCGAGGAACTTGCGGAGAATTTGGTGCTCGACAGAGAGAGACTCTGCCCTGTCTTCCGATGATGTCTTCACCGCCATCTTATTCTTACGGGACTCGGGATCCTTTGGGATTGCGATGAATACCTCGCCAAAACTTCCCTTGCCCAAACGCATTCCTCGATCCCACTCCATCTTGCCGCCGGCGAAGCAGGGGATGAGGAAAGAAAGGAGAACAGAGCAAGAGATAGATAAGGTGGAGATTGCAAGGATTCTGAATATGGCAACGGATGTATAAATAGAGGTGATGAGATTGAGAGTAAAGTAAATGGAGGGTGTGGCGGCCGGTCAAACCCATTTCCGATTGGGAACTGGAAAGAAGAAGAATCCGTGTTAAGTTCGGAGCTCGGAGTTGTCCTTCTCCTTGAGGGACTCGGAAAACAAATGGAAAAATAGGGAATGCGTTAGAGTGATAACTAAAATTCTAGTAGCTATCATGGCTACATCATTATTTGTCGTTCATTTTTTTTTAATCTCATGGTTAAAATTGCTTCAGGGTAATTTTGGAAACAAAAAAGAGTTCGGAGCTCGGAGTTGTCCTTCTCCTTCAGGGACTCGGAAAACAAATGGGAAAATAGGGAATGCGTTAGGGCGACAACTAAAATTCTAGTAGCCACCGTGGCTACATCACTATCTGTCGTTCATTTTTCTTTTTTTTAAATCTCATGGTTAAAATTGCTCCAGGGTAATTTTGGAAACAAAAAAGAGTTCACACCCGATTATTCTATATATTCTATCCAAACCCTAATTCCACACTGTCCTTCATCCAGCCAAACCCTACTTCATTGACGTCGACCGCCCCGGCTGCCCTCACTCCATCCCACTCTCCTCCACTGCCCTATCTCCCCTCCGCCCACCTCTCTTCGCCGGCGATCCCTCCCGATCCTCTCTCTCTTCCCATCCATTCTTCCTCTGGAGGAGACCCTCCCCACTATTCCTCTCTCTTCCCATCCATTCTTCCTCCGTAGGAGACCTCCGCACTCCTGTATACCTAAAGGCTAAAAATGACGGCTGGAAAAAAGAATTTTTTTTGGGGAACTCGACTAGAGAAGACGACATCTGTTTTTTTTATTGGTATGTACTTTTTTGCATTGGTAGTGTTTTTTCCGTAATGGTAGTGTTTTTTCGCATTGGTATTATTTTTTCGTATTGGTATTGATTATTATGTAATGGTATTGATTTGCATGTATTGGTAGTTAGTTAAATCTACAATGGTATTGGTGTTTTGTGAAATGATAGTGTTTTTTCCGTAATGGTAGTGTTTTTTCGCATTGGTATTCTTTTTTCGCATTGGTATTGATTATTATGTAATGGTGTTGATTATCATTTAATGGTATTGCTGTAATCTACAATGATAGTTGTTAATAAGTGGTAGTGGTAGTGTTTCGTGTAAGGCTGCAGTGGTAGTTGTTAACGTTTTGGTATTGGTTTCTTGTTTTTTTCTTCTGCAATGGTATTGATTTTTTGTGAAATGGTATATATTTATATTGGTAGTTTGTTTATATTGGTAGTTTTCGTGTTTTTTTTTTCTTTTTTGCAGATAGATTGAGAAAAATAAGGAAGGGCATCTGGCTGGAGATTACGAAAGTGAGAGAAAGAGAGAGAATTGTAATTAATAGATATTTGTAACTAAATAAAATGAAATTTATTAAAATAAATGAATTAATACAATTTATTTTTCCATACCCAATTTACCCTTAGTAACCATGGTGATTACAACTTTGTAGTAATCACCGTAACCTGTCCCGGGAAAATAGCAATTTAGGTGAAAGTCATCGAATGAATTGGGCCACTTCTTACCTTAGCTCAAAAGGAAAAGGGTTGTTTGTGGGCTTATGGTTGCTACGGTGGACTCCTCCCAGTCAAATTGGGCCAATACTTTAAATCGCTCGAAAGAGAAGCCCATGAAGGAGCCCATTCTGAATCCTTTTCAACCAGTCACATTCTGTACTTTTTTTTTTGTTAGAAGACCAATTGCACCCTAACTTTTTTTTTATCCAAGATAAGCCCCAGGGCATGGCCGAACAACAAATATTTAAAACTGATAATAATAAAGAATGGTAGCCCGTATGCAACCGGACTCCCAATAAAAGAGCCTTTTTTGCCACGAGGTGGGCAGCTCTATGAAAGCTCCGAGGAGCAAAGACACGAAACTGACACAGGGAGTCAAGAAGAGAGAAAGAACTTCCCTTAAAATATTTCCGACTTTAGAATGGGAAGACTTCCTCGATGTAGCATCCTGATGACCGGTTGAGAATATCCTCGAGAGGTAACAACCAAACATTATGAGTAAGACCCTTTCTCATAGTAATAGCATAATAAATTTTACCAAAAGCAAATGAGACAGTTCCATCACCTGAAAATCTGCCAAAGGCAGTTTGCACATCCGTGAAGATTCTTTGTGGCCCAATCAAACCGAATGAATATACTTTTGCTAGGGCAGGTTATATCTAACCCCAAAAAGGCATCCACTGTGATGCTAGAGATCTCTATCTCAAGAGATTAAGGAGTGCCCTTTAGGCAAAGGCGACATAACCGAATGTAAAATATCAATTGTAAAATTCATAAAATGAAGTATAATAGATCTCCATTTGTAGATGGATCCGAATTACCCAATATACAACATTCTAAAAAGTGAATTACCAAATATAATTAAATAAAATTCTATTTAGCAAAAATTAAGAAGAAGAAGAAAAGAGACCACTAAATATGGACGTTTAAATGCTACACAATAAAGATGATAATGATAAGGGAGAAAGAAAATGAACCCACTTAATAAGGAAACGATGATTGCTGCACAATAATGATAAAGCAAATAAAAGGGCTAGTAACTAGCAAAGTCAACAAAAAATTCGAATTAGCAATAATTAAGAGAGTAAATAAATTAGTAAAAAAGATTCCAAATCTTACCTTAACGTAAACGAACAAATGAGACATCACCGGCGGAAAGGAATTAAATTAAAAAGTAAATTTTCAAATATGGCGCCGTACGTCTCGGAGCTAATTCCGGAGACAAGGCGAACATCCATCCGGCAAACTTGGAAGGCGGCGGCCGGAGGAGAGCCCAGGATCTCCGTAACAGGGTTCCGATCGCCACCACAACTGAATAATGGCTTCGTCGATAAAACAAAAGCGTAACAGGGATTATGAACAAGATGATATCCAAATCTCTTACCAAGACCCACATCCCATCTGAGGCATGAACTCGCAATCCTCAATCCTCACAACAAAAACTTCCAGAACGACCATCAAAATGACAGAGGGATTATAGAATTATGATAATGGAGATATGGTGCCAGTTGATTACTAATTAAAACTGATGATATAAGCTTATGCGAGCTATGACGGAGAAAGACAGGAAGAGGAGGGGTGATGTGTACCGGATATGACGCCGGTGAAGTAGACGAGAATAGAGATCTTGAGATATCTGCACCGTCCGAATCCTGTTGCCATTTCCGAATTGCTAGGGGAGCTGGGAGCCCAGCAGCGCATCGTGGTGCAGATCTCATGTTTCTATTGCCTTGCTCTCTGTGTTCATTTTCTTCTCATTTTGCAGAGGAAGGAATAAAGTTTTGGTTTTTTCGTCCGGTGGTGTGGTTTCATCAGTAAGATATTTGCAAGCAAGACGATGACAAACACGTAGAAACATGATCTCCTCATTTTACCTTCCTTTGTTCGAATTTGGGCACCGATATGTTCCTCATTCTGTGTGCTTCAAAATTCGCTGCTATTTAGTAGGCAGGCAAGGCAAAAGCAAAGAATAGTACTAGCTACTCTCTATTTTACTACTAGTGAAATGGACCACAGTTTTCTGGCGCCTCATATTTATTAGTTTGTTTGGACAAGACAATAGAGCATAGCAGCAGGCAATTGATCAGGGCCACCACGGCCACCATTTCCAGCTTTATTTTGAAGCAGGAAAAGGAAATGACTTGATAGAACAACAACTGTACATGCAAATATGCCGATTGAAATTCAGATACAGGGCACATACATCCTATATGCACAAGGATACAGAAAAAGGTCATGTCTAATAACAAATATACAAACTCCTTGCCTTCTGTATCAAAATGTGAGAGTCTTCTGCAGTTATCTTCGCACTACGCTCTGTAGTAATGTTGTTGTAACAATGTAGTATGGAAACTACTTGATTTCCTTATAGCCAGAAGTATAACATTGCCTGTGCATACATATAGAAAGAGAACAACCCATCATTAGCCAACACCTTCCAGTGGAAAGAACAAGTTGTAGTAATAGAGGAAAGCCATACCTCCTGGAGAACATCAAGACACGGTTCATCTGGGACAATAGGTTTCTGAGCTTTTCGACTCCTGAGTTCGGTCTGTATCCCGCCAAGTTGTTCCTGAATTGCCTTCAACAGATGCATCTCTTCTTCTGCTGTTTGCCCTCCGCCGCAAGAACCAATCTCCTGCTGCTGCTGGTGCCTCACATTGTTCCTCCCTCTCTCGAGCCTCTCGATTCTTCGCATCAGATTCTGGTAATCGCATGGTGTGACCAAATGATGATGAGGGGGAGGAGGCAAACCACCATGTCCATGGTCAACAAGTGGTGCGTCTTTTGGTGCTTTCTTCTTCTCGTTGCTTGAAGAACAATGCGACACTACCTTCACTTGCTCTCCTGATGATATGTCCTGTTTATGAAACTCAGTACTACCTTCCACATGAGGTTTTCTACTATCTTTCTTCTGCTGTTCACAAGGCTTTTTTTGACTCTCGAGATTGTCAGCCATACAATTATTGGAAGGTACATGAGAACTCAAACCAGTTTCCAAGTCTTGTGAAGTTGAGTTATCGCCACCACCATTACCGTTGTTTCCTTCAGTAAGTTGTGAATATGACGAATGAGACCAAGTCCCACCTCTCCAAAGTGCAGACTTGTGTTTGCTAGTATGATCTTTGCTGCTTCCATCCGACTTCTCTTTCAGTCGTTTGTCCAATTTCTTGATCTGTTCCCAGTACGAATTTAAGTCTCCAGCAGTATGACCCGCCACGAACTTCTTCTCCAACTCATGAATCTCTTGAAATTCAGATTCCTCGTCGATAGTAGCTGTGCTAGGTGAGGCAACTTGTTTCTTGTCAAACCCTACTCTCTTATGGATAGTATCCATCAATGCAAGCTGAGGCAACGAGTTGAGCCTCCTGACACCACCACCCTTTTCCCCTTTTAGAGTGTCGCTTTTGTGGGGCGAAAGATCGAAGTCTGGAGCATCGTTAGGTCCCATGCTGACAAACCTGTTCCTGTAAGACTGAAGCTGGAACTCGAGGGATGCAATCTCCATCTCTTTCTGGTACATCAGATCGTCGCAGAGTTCCAGCGTCTCCTCCGCGTGGCACATTTTTTCCTCGGCCATTCTCTTGTATTGGTTGGCTTCCATCTTCAATGCAGCCTTCTCTCCTTGCAGGCGCAGGATCATGGACATGGCTTCACTAGCTGCAGTTGCAGCAGCTTCCCTTTCCACGTCCAGTTCGCGGTACAGCTTCTGCAGGATCTGCTGCTGCCCGTGGAGTGCTTCTCTTAGACTAACTGCATCTGCCTCGGGCAGCAACAGGGCATGGTGGGTTTCAGCCATGGTCAAGAGATTGTTTAGTCTGGATCAATTACACCAACTCCGAATCTTCACCATGCCAAACACAGAACAAGAAGAAATTCTGAAGTCAGAACATCCATCTAATTGGCATTGAACCATTTCTTCCCAAAAGATGATTCTTTGAAGATTAAAAAGACAGATCCTCAAAAGTTTCAGCTAACAAGAAAGCATGCAGAAATCATAAACCTAGATTTTAAACTCATACGTCATATATCCATTTAACAGTGGCAAGGTCGTGGAAGAATGAAGAGGCCATAAAGGATGAGAATTGAGGACACATTTACCAGAGACATTCGGCAGGCGGAAGATGGATTGATGGCTGGGTCAAGAACCCAATTAGACGAAGGTAAAGGCGCCTGCAAAAGTTTAAAACCCTCCTCCAAAAGAACAGATTGCAGAATTCAAAACCCAGAAACGTAGGAACAATTTTTGGGGTTGGTAAAGACGCGGAGACTGGAAAAGGAGACAACTTTACATTGTTTTCAACATTTTCATTGATTACAGAAAAGAGGCGAAATCAAATCAGGGATTGGGTTGCTTTCCTGGAAAGCAGGGGAGATTAGGAAATCAGAATCCGAAAGACTAAACAGATTCAGAATCCGAAAAATAAGCATTAATTCTCTGTTTTTTTTCTTTCCTGAAAAATTGATAGCTATTCTACCAAAAACAAAAGAAAAAGAAAATTGATAGCTAAGAAATCAGTATGAAAACAGGGGAAGAAAGATTTCTTTTTTGTTTTTATGGTTGGGGAAGAAAATTTTAAGGAAAAACAGATTCAACAGTTTAATTCTCCTTCAGATTGAGGTGATAACTAACTAATGTAGTTATTCTTACGTTTTTTTTTTGTATAAAAGGTTGTTTTATAAATATTTTTACGTTTTCAATAAGTAGGTCAAAGAGAAAGGGCACTTCCAACCGTTGCCTGAAGGCCAATAAATCATATGGATCTGACTTGTGGACTTCTAAAATCTGAACTTATTGCCAAAAAGACAACATCCAAACTAACCGTCGTTGGAAATTTTTCAAGACAACATGACAAGGCCAAGAGACTAATCTAGGCTCGCACTCGTCAAAATGATGTGCGCCAAAATTCACTTTATGCCCTTTACTAGCAAAGTAGTCAAAATTGTCTTCACTATACACATGGAAGGTATGAACTTGTAGTTTCTCAAGTTGAAGTTGTTTCTTTAACTGCGCTATCCACAATTAGTACATAGTACTGGTAGTTGCTCCACATAAAGTTACCATTCACGGAATTTGTACAATCTAAAAAGGATGGATCACGGGAAATGTGATAAAAGACTAATTTGAACATTTGTCACATTTGGATATAATTTTGTATGATGTGATATTTCGAAAACAAAACTTTTGCAATCTTGTTACAGCTTCTCTCAAATTTCTCTTTGGTAGATCTTGCGAGTCAGTGTAGCTTCTCTCAAATCTCTCTTTGGAAAAAAATGAATGTATTGCTTCTTCTTGTTTATGTTGCTTCGTCTACTATGTTTCTAAAGATATAACTTACTCTTATTTAGCACGATTGCAAGAAAATTTTAATTTTCACCAATATCTCATAAAGCTATCACGAGAACAAAAATAAGTAATGAATTAGACATTGATGGGATTGCCAAGTCTACCTACTTTTCTCCATAAATTACTATCTTATTCTTATATGCAACCAAATCATGTGTGTTATGTGAAAGGTTGAGCATCATGACTAAATTGAATTTCACAACTTATATGTGTAGTTGGTATTTATTTTAACCTTGGTGGGCCAAATATGGCCCACTGTTCACTATTCGAGTGGGCAATGTGGCATGACCCACCAACATTCTCTTGCTACATCTGATCCATGTTCGGCCTCAGCCCATACGGTAGGGGTGGGCATTCGGTCGGTTCGGTTTCGACCGAATCGAAATTATGAATACCGGGTCCCCGAATTCTCTCAAACCTCAAACCGAATTCAAACCAAATTATAATTCGGTTCGGTCAGTTTAAACCGAATTATAATTCGGTTCGATTCGGGTTTTCACCCAAAACCAAATTTGTGAAGCTACTTGTATTTTCTCACTTTTAAATTATTTTTCACCCCTAATATAAACAATAAATATCAATTATATGCATCATCAATGATAAAATCAAACTTTTCAACACATAAGTCATAAAACATTTCAAATATTTAAGTCTAAAAACAACTAAAAACATAAAAATCCATCATTTGGAGCTTGCAATTATAGTATTTCGGTCGGAAATTCGGTTCGGTTGAAAGAACCCTGATTTCTGAACTATCCATATTTTCTTTCCGAATTCCGAACCGAATAGCATTAATTCGATTTCGGTTCGGTTTAATTCGGTTTCGATTCGGTTCGGGTTTACCGAACCGTTTGCCCACCCCTACCATACGGCACATGATCAACAACAAAACAAGGTAGGGTCAGCATATCCCACGGTTTCCATTGGTACTCCTCACATATACTTGATCGGATTCGATGCTGAGACACTCGAGAATTCTTCTCGTGATTTCCATCTGGGCATCTTGTAGATCGATCAAAGCAGGCTGGAAAAAAAAACAAAGACCCTGTGGATGTTTCAACCTGCAACAACTAAACCATGGATTGTATAACCGTGTCGGAGGTTGTACAAGAAAATTCAATGATATAGTATTTCGTACTTAAATCGTGGTTTAACCATCGTTCAACCATTTCATATCACTAAATACCGCCTACGGATCTAACATCTGATATGATGTTTTTCCCGTCGAACCATAGGTCCGGTACGTTTTTTCAATCCTTGGTTATAACAATATTTTTCTTTAGTAAATTCGAAAGAAGATTCGAATAATTCAAGAATCACGTCTTCCTAATCTATGAACATCATTTAAACCTAATCTATGAACATCATTTAAAGAGCTTTCTAATCATATTTTTGTTACGGAAAATTCAAGTGATCCATACTCTTATAACATTGTACTACAAAACTGGTAGAAACAATAATCCGAAATTTTAATTTGTATCTAATCAGTTAAAATTTAACCGGTGGGGCTTTCAAGAATGAGGGGATTCATCCAAAAAAAAGACATTTTCGATTTAAATAAGAAACTAGCTTTTACCCAACCCGTTGGTCGGATCAATTTCATTTTACTAGGTACATTTATGGTTATCAATATTTATATTTTAAATTATTTAAATGTTTATAGTCTCCCCACAATTGAAAGTAATATTTGTGATACTCGTTGTTAATGATATTACGTGTAATTAGTTCATATGTATTTTTACTGATCTGTATACATTTCTAGCCTCTTTTCTCTTTTGTTAGATATCAAATGGAGGAATCAATTTTTTTCATTGACCTATTGATTGGATAAATTTCATTTATTTGTTATAATCTTATGCTTATCGAGTGTATTTTTACACAAATTTGAAAATTTTAAATGATTTATTGATAATTTGAAAGTAAATTTTTTATTTGGTATTATGACATTACTGATAATTAGTTCATAGGGAGTTTTAATAATCATATTATCGTAGGTTACTTTTGTTTATATATTTTTACATTTCATAAGAAATCTGTGTACTTCTTACTCGTAGCATTAATTATTTAAATATTTAATAAGATTCGATATTATTAAATTATTTTTCTATTAAAACCAAAATAATGTAAGACAATTATATAGTAAAATAGTAATTAGAAATTCCAAGGGATTGTCCTATTGAATATTGATAATACGAAAGGATAAAATTCAGTACATAGTTGGTTCGAACTTTATGGTCAACAATCAACAAAAAACTAATAGTTAAAGAAAGTAAATTACTCAATATTAATTCATAAATAGCATATATATCACATAAAATAGTAGTGGTTGTTAAGAGCTTACATTAGTATATGAGAAGAGTTCAAGGCCATCATAATACAAAAAGATAAAATTCATCACATTTTTTTCAAACTTTATGGTTAACAATCAACAATAAAAATAATAGTTAAGAAAGTCAATTACTCAATATTAATTCATTAATAACTCATATATCTCGTAAATTAGTTAAAACTGTTGTTAAGAGCTTACATTAGTATATGAGAAGAGTTCAAGGCTATTATAATTGTCAAATAACAATTTTTTTTTTAATTGCCAGATCACACACTTAATGATCAACTCTAATAGTTGACTGCCACATCAGATAAATTTAACAGATTTGGATGAAGAGTGACCAAACTTGAAATGTTTAAGTAATTTTAGTGACTACTAATGAAATTAAATATTTTTAGTGACCAAACGCGAACGTTTTTAGTAAACCCCGTTACCAACCATGAAATTAACCCATTAGAAAACCAAATGAATATTTAAAAAGAGATATGGGGCATATGGATCATTGATTTTGGTGTTTCATTTGATATTCAAATACAACACCTCCGAGATTTGTCAAACTTCACCATTTGAAGATACTAAAAATGTATACCAATTACGTAGCGTCAGTGAAATTTTTGTCCAAAACTGTTTGAGCATGAATTTATAAAAATTCATATCACTATATGAGATTTAGCAAATTTAACATATCAAGTGTCGCATGCTTAAATATGTATTCCACAACTGGTGGTGACAAAATTAATTAGAAGAAGCATTGTAATTAGAAAATCCAAAGAAGTAATCATATATCGTCTCATCCTGATCTCATTTGAAGGCAAAGGACTCGAAAGCTTCGTCCACCTTTGTGTTCCTTCATCCGTTTTGCTGGAGCGTCTGGAAAGAAAGGAACCATAAATTTTCGAAGACCAAGTGAAGTCTGCTCCTGAGATTTTGCTTCGGAGTTGTGAGAGTTGTTTGAGTCGTTCCTCATTGCTCTTGACGCATGCAACATTTAGCTTGAATGGTTAACCTTGTGTGTCCCTTCTGTCTTGAGTGACTTTAGCTATTATGAATACAAACACGCACACAATTCTACGATGGACTCAGACACCATTACCAGATCAGCCTCCATTGCAGTAGAAAGCTCAGAGCTGACCTGCCTCAAGTCAATGCATGGAATTCCACAGCCATTCGCAACAACTCTTACCGGGAGTGATAACGAATTCTCTTCGGAACCATCTGAGTTGGTGATCATTGCATTTGGAAGTAGCCCTCCAGCTTCAGCAGCTCTTCTAAGAATGTCACAATGCCATAACAATGGCAAACATCCTAAATGATAGACTGGCTACTGAACATGTAAACAAAACGCTTCCAATTAAAATTGGATCATTCAGAGCATGAACATAGTTTGCAACCAACACAACCTGCAAGTGATCCCATTTCCATCTTCGGTCTGTTAAATTACAATGGTCACCACACTCTTGGTGAAGGAACAAAATCTCAAAAAAGCTAAGTGCTCAATTTGAGCTTAACTTTGTCAAAATCTGGTTGACAGTGGGGCAAAAATTGCCAAATCCGAAATCATTACGGGGATAGTTAAAGTGAATGGTTTGTTTAGGTGAATGGCAAGTGTTTTAAGCTTTAAATTGATCCACATAAGGATGGGCCAGAGGACTATAATTAAAGTTAATTTGATTCAGTACGTGGGAGTTCTACCTTATCTCATTAAGGTGGGAGGGTTTTGTTTTCTTCTAGTCCTCTCTTATTGTACTGCGAACAAAAGGGTTCAAGGTAATACAAACAAATTATTCTGCAATTGACAAAGCATTCTATATAAATGCCCAACTCCATTTAAACACCACGTCTATATTAATGCTAACTCCAATTTTTTCACTTCTCAACCAGCAAATCAAAGTTGAATGGAGATCAATTCTCATTAAACCACACTTTAGGTTTCTCTCCAAAAATTAAATAATGACAGATGACCAAATGGATCAACTGGAGAAGGAGCAACGGAAGTATGCTTATAAAAAGTTGCTTTGTCAATTGAAGGTAAACTCATTGTGTCGGTTTGGAAGAAGTTTGTGATCACAAAGAGGTGTCAATGGGAGATTTGATTATGCATTCATTCCCACCCGATGCTAACTGACTGGGGTATGAATTTCATGTCTGAAAGTAATTGATGCAAAGGAGGTGTGAATGGTATATTTCATTATGCATTCATCTCGATCAGTGGATTACACAAAGCACTTGCAACCAAAGTGAGACGTATGTACCTGTGACTGTGAAGATGAGACTGTATTTCACGATTTGAAGCTCTTGTTCTGACTGTAGCTCCACTTCTTCAAGAATGCATCAAAGCTAAAAGGTCTACCACACATGCATCCAACATCAGGAAAGAAAGCATCCCATTGAGAAGAGAAAGAAAGCATGTTTATCATTCCTAATGCACTGAACAACCGAAAACTGAAACAGACCTGAAAATTCATCCATCATCAGGAAAGGGTCCAGAGAACTGAGCTCACTCCTGGAATGAAAGAAAATCCAAATTCCAACCACAACCCACATCAAAGACACAAATTTTGACAACTTGGAAAGGCAGTTCAAGCTTAAGGTAGTTCAACAAATTTGGATCTTGGGCAAGCTACAACAAAAATAAAAACTCCCATCTGTAGTCATCAAGAAAGATTAGAAGGGGAAGATAGATAACTGACTGACTTGTACTAAAGAATACTCTCTCCGAGGAACTGCGAATGTGTGTGTGTGTGTGAGAGATAGAGAGAATGAATTGTGTTGTTTATTCATTACCAATGTCAGCTGATTTAAGACACTCTCCTTCATGATCAGGTCCAGACAAGATGGTTCCCGATGGCGAGACAATGCAGCTAATTGAACACAAAACCCATCCAAGGCCAGCCAGCCAATTCATTCATCAGAAAACAACAGAATAACAAAAAAGGTAACAAAGGAGGATAACATGCCTGATAGACGAGTTTCCTTTGCCGACGGCAGAACTCGAGGTCGGCAGCCCTGTTCCTAGAAATCAGTTTGCCACGCTACCACCGTCGGTCGCCAGTCAGATCTATTTCCTTGCTACTCTGTTCTCCCCCGCTACCGTTGATTTTAAGCTTCCTTACCTCGCCATCGCAGTCGTTATCACCATCTTGACATCCGCCAATTTTGTTGCTGATTGTCGGTCCCAGAAGCGAACGGAAACAGGGAAACCCCTTCTGGCGTCGCCTCTCCGTCTCCCTTCTCCCTTCACCAGCCCATCCTGCTTTCCCCGCTGGGCTCGACTTCAAATCGCCGGTTGGCTGGCAAGGGTTCAACGCAGAACTACCTAGTCTAGATTGAGAGAAGCAGCGGGAGCAAACAAACCGAAACAATCTCGCCTCCCCTTCGAATCAGCGGTTGTCTGTAGAATTGTTCACCGCATAACTACCAAATCTCACCTTCCTCCGATCAGCAGCAAGCGCCAGTCCCTGTTCCCAAAATTGTCCGCTGACAAATGGACTCCTGCCGTGCTGCGGGAAGGAGAAAGCAAAACATAGATAACCCAGAAGAAAATGGAAGGTAATTTCAGCCGCAAAAAAGTAGTGGGAACCGACGGTTTCTTATCTCTCCTTGAGGCGGGGATTTTCTAATTTAATCCCGCGTAAACACCTTGCCACGTCAGACTCCTAAAATCACTCTATGGCCAGGAAAATTTGAATGGGAGTTGCAGTTTTACTTTTCAGCTATAAATGATACTGTTGATTGAACTCTTGAATACAAATACAAAATTGGCAGATTTTTTAATGGAACATATTCGAAAGTAAAAGGAAAAAGATAACCGCCGTGAAGAGGTGAACAAACACACCCGTAAACCGACCCATTCGTCCAACCCGACCCAACCCACCCGTATTTATCGCTAAAACAAAGGTTTCGGGTTGGGTGAGGGTTTTCTTTTGTACAACCCGCCTCTATTGGGTTGGGTTTGGATTTTGGATTACACAACCCGTAGAACCCGACCCAACCCGTGTTCCAACTATTGGTAGGAGTTCGTATCCAAAAATATTTATGTCATTTATAATTATGCTAAAATTAAGATATTTCACCATGTTTTTCTCTCATGGTCTCCCTAATTTAATGCATTCTTAGGTTTAAAGTTTAGACATAAATTTAATATAGCTATGATTCACGTAATCCTTTTTCTTGTGTACAATTTTAATAGAATAACATATTATGGGTGCATTCGTTTATAACTTTTTTAGCCTATTTTAACAAATATCGTGAAAAAAATTAGACATATGTTGAAGTAAATCACATTTTATTAAAAATGAAACAACATTTGTGAAATTTGATGCCTTTCACTCGATTTATTCATTTAAAATTTAGTTATTTATAAAATATATTTTATGTTGTAGAATAATTACATATTTTGTGTTGGGTTAGGTTTTTACTTAAAAATATCGCCAACTCGACCCAACCCAATTAGAAATAAACCGTAGGGTTTAATTTTTTTTTGGGTGGGTTTGGGTTTAATATTTCTCAAACCGTAGTGCATAGGTCGGGTGATTAAAATGGTTAAACCCGAACCACTCGACCCATGTACACCCCTACCGCCGTGAAAAAAAAAAAAGAGAGAATCGCCGTGCATTATGGAAAAGAAAAAGTAAAGAAGTTAACAAGCACAATCTGACATGGATTGCAAATGCAGGAGAGCTTACGTGGCCAAGGCCATTTTCTCAAAATGCTTTAATCAACAGTATAATTTATAGCTGAAAAGTAAAACTGCAACCCTCATTCAAAATTTCCTGCCCATAGAGTGATTTTAGGAAGCTGATGTGGCAGAGTGTTTAGCGGGAAAAAAAGAGTCCCGCCTGATTTCAGAACCAAAAAACTCTCCACTACCCACTTTTTTCTCCTTCCAGACCCACGTTCTCATTTAATTTGTATAAAAAACTCTCCACTACCCACTTTTTTCTCCTTCCAGGTCCACATTCTCATTTAATTTGTATTAATTTGTATTTTTTATTTCCGATTTCCCTTCCTTCCACTCTTTCACCTCATTCGAATAAGTTTCTTGGCCTTCAGAAAAACCAAACCTTGACTCAATCATCTGGTTCTTTTATGTGCTTGCATCTACCTTTGATTTTCGTTCTCTAAGTGTTAGATCGGTATTGGTTTTGCCGTAAGTTATTCTTCCTCTTTCAGATTTCTGTTTGTTGTTGTCGCTGCTTTTAAGTTTTAGGGATTCGGGTTCTGGGGTTTTTTTTTCAGGGATTCGGTTGCAAAGATTCATCTCCCTTACCTTTGGTTCATTCCGTTTTCTTTATTCTCTCTTACCTTCCTCGCTTCATTCTGTTGATTGGATTCTCTAGAGATCAAAAGGGGATTTTTTATTTTTCCCTTTCTCTTAAAAGTAACAAAGCTGCTTATTTTAAATTCCACTTCGCTTAGACTGTCTTCCAGAGAGCAGCCGACTGCCGATTTTGAGCTGAGTTTTTCCGGGCCGCAGAGAAAGAAGAGGAAAGAAAGAGACGTTCGGCGGCGGCAGCCAGGTACTTCGTCCGGGTCGTTTTCCGGGTCAGTAAACCGAAGGGCCGGCTATAAACTACCGCTGGCCTGGCGGGGGAAAAGGAAAGCGTAAACCATAAGGCCTCGGGGATCCATTTCTCTCGCCAGCCCATACTTCAGAGGCCCAGCCTACTTGAGTCCAGAACCAGCCCATCGCCGACGAAATTTGGCGCGCCGTCCCCCACCCGCCACCACGTATGAGACATAATCAATTTACTTTCTGATGTTAACTCTGTTGCAAGTAAATGTCAAAATCCAACTTGATCAGTAAGGTTTTCTCTCATATGTTTCTAGGTTAATTAATCTAATGGGACTGGCTATGATCTGATAATGTACTTTCAGCTCTAATCACTAAAGAAGTATAAAGTAGGCGGTATTGATAAGCATGCTCCACTGGTTAGTGTATTGGTTCTACCAGGCTTTTTTCCCGTTATTACATAAGATCATTGGACAGTTTTATCTCACTCCATTAGTTTGTTTTATTGTTCTTCAACTTCATTTGCATTGTATTTGTATTGTGACATTAGAGTTGGAATCCATTTGTGCTAAAAGTACAAAGCGTAAACTGCATAATTGAAAGAAGGGATAAGCTTGGTATAGTTAGAAGAACTAGAATTGGTAAGCACTTATAGTGCTTTTCTTATTGCCAGCTTGCTTCTTTTTCAAACTTCTCTTTGGATATGGTTTTTATGGATGCCTTTGAATTATATTTGTGTTGGCCATTACATTGTTGTCCTTCTCGCTCTTCCTTTGCATCCCCAAGCTTGGAAGCCATTCTGTTATATGTGTTTTGTTCATCAATTTAAATTATGCCTTATATAGTTATATTTTTCTTCGACTGTTATGTTTGTGTGGTGTGTTGTATGTGTCATTAACTCGCACAAACTTATAATTGGTGAGGAGTTCAACTTCTGTTGTAACAATTAATTAATTTATATGAATGGCAGCTGCAAAATTTACTGGAACAGGTGCATCATTTACCACGACCTCTATTTCAGATTGCATCAGGTTATTGGAGAATTTAATATGGATAGTGCAAATGTCATCCCATCTGCCCAACCACAGATTTATCGATCGTCTGTATCATGTGAGTGTCATGATTTAGCACGCAACTGCTTCAATGCAAACTGACATTAATA